TATTTTCGGTTTTCAAAGATGAAAATGTAATTAATTTTTATTTTTCCATTTACCTGGAGAGTTAAAAAAATATGTTGGACATAAAATAAGTTTGATGGTTTTTTTCTTGAAAATTTATTTTGAAACAAAAATTTTAAAACTCGTAAATTTTCAAAATTTTAGGTTTCCAATTTTTGTGGCCATAAAATAAAATGCGTATTAAATTAATGGAAACATGTTTTAATACTTTTTATGGCCATAAATATTGAGAACCTAAAATTTTGAAAATTTATACAAGTTTTTAATAATTTCATTTAAAAACAATTTTTAAAAAATCAAAATATTTTATGTTACTTTTTAAATAGTAATATAACTATACATTTTTAAAAGAAAAATCATTTTTTTCTAAAAAGAATGCTACAATAATAGTAAAAATAAAAATTTTGAATCACCAAATGTTTTTTAATGTAAAAACACATTTTTCAAACAAATGAAGTTTAGGTTTTAAGAAGTATTATTTAAAAAGAAAATTAACAATTAAAATTAATATTGTCTATTTTTGAAATCAATTTTAATATACTCGAAAATATAAGCCGAACTCTTTTAAATAACAAAACAGTTTTAAAAAAAAGTGTTTTAAATTGTGTAATCTCAAACTATTTAAAATCAATAAAAAAAGAAGACTTTTATTATGATGAAAAGGTAGGAATAAAATATTCGAAAAATAATTCTATAGTATCAATTTTCAGAAGTATAAAAACTATAAAACTGCGGAAAACCGATTCGACAGTAAATATAAATCCCGAGTACAATAAAAAAAGAACTCTAAATATTCAATTCAATAGAACTATCTAGAAAACAATTTTTCCAATATTTAAAATTCCTTTCCCAAATATTTCCTCATTCATATTTAATATCGAAAAATTCAAAATTTCCCTTTAAAAATTCACACCCTTAATTCTCCGACAATTTCCCTCTATTAATCCCCACCATATAATTCAACCCTCGACGCTTCAACATCGTTGAAAACTTGAAAAAAAAATATGAAAAAGTTAAGTGCTCCGTTATTAATTGGAAAAAAAAATGTGAAAAGAAATGAGAAAATTTCTTTTTTTTTCGAGAAAAACTGTTAGAAAAATGTATATAAGTATATAGAATAAAGAATGAAGAAAGATAGAGAGAGAGAGAGAGAAAAAAAAGTTAAGAGAAACTAGAGAATCGATCGGAAATCTGAAGCGTTGAAAAACTGGAAATTCAGCTAGATTTTCTCTCTCTCCGTCAACGAGTATATAAGCGAGGAAAATATTTTTGGAACCCCTTTTATATATATCGGGGACTCCTCCAGTTTGGTACGCTTGCGCCGGCCCTTAATCCGGCCATGACGGTACCAACGTTGCCTGCCATGCCTCTCTTTACTCGCACACAAGCCAACAACAACTCTAACCTGTCCATGCGCCCATGTGCAATGAGCGCGAACCAATGGCAAGGGGAGCGTGGAGAGGCAGGGGAGAGGGGGGCGCACGCTAATATCTGGGGCTCCGGCGGCCGCGCGACTCGCCCCCTAATCGAACATGTCGCCTCTCCCCTACCGTCCCTCCCGCACCACCACACCATCTCTTTCTCTCTTTTTTCCCTCCTTCTCTCTCTCCCACAACCACTCCTTTCTCGTCCGATCAAAACCACCCCATTTCTTATTCTCTATTCTGTTTTCAACTTTCTATCCTTCTCTCTCTTTTTATTTCGAAAATTTTCGAAAAATATTTCCCATTCTCTCTCAATATATAACTGAAAATAACACCGTATTTCGATTACCTGTCGTGCCACCCGTCAAAATTTTCAACACTCAACCAGAGTCAAGAATTTTAACCAAAAAAATTATTTCTATAATTGCTAATAAACATTTTTTTGTTTTATCCATAAATATGATAATTCCCCTCAGCGAAAAAAAAAACAGAATTTTTTCCTAAATCAATTTCCTTTTTATTTGATTGATTTATTTGTTGGTTTTTTTTTTTAATAATTTTGATTTAATTTTTGAAAAAAGGCATTTTTTGAAAAGCAATAGTCAGAAATAGAAAGTCCGAGAATTGTAATGTTTGAAAATTGGAAAATACGGTTTTGAATGTAACATGTATTTGTTTTGCATTTTTAATTAGGCAATGTGACCACGCGGCTTTGGCTTTTATATATATATATGCATTACATATACAATACGCGCTAACCTTACACACGTTTTAGGCGATTTTAGGTTAGGTCTCTGAGTCCAATACATAACAACGATTACCAATACCCAAGCACGATAAGAGATTGCATATGTGTTTGAGAAACACAATCGTTTCCGCCACTACTTGTTACTTGTTGGTATATCTAACCCGTGACAAGGAAACGCAATTCGTTTTTTTCATGTTTTTCTTTTTCAAAATCACGTTTCGAAACTTTCAAAAAATATTATTTTTATTACACGTACACGAAATTAAATTGTTTCTCTTATTGGACATTTTTTTCAAATACTATAGGGTACTTTGAACAAAATTTTTTATAACACAATTTCACTAATTTTGTTCTTATAATTTATTATTTGTTCCTAATTCAATTATCAAAAAAGTAATTTTTCTCTAAGTCAAAATTTTCATTTTAAGAAGAGACTTCAACTACATTTTTAACTATATCAAGAAAATGATTTAAATCTTTCATGAAATTAATTTTATAAATGAATTGTATGTCAGGATTATTCTTGTTGACATAATAGTGAAATATTTTTATTTTAAATTTCACGACGTTTCAACGCCAACGTTGGTGTTCTGTTCAGGTGTTACATCTAATGAATATTTGTTGAAAAGTAAAAAATTATTTTAAAATAAAAATAGAAAAAACATCACGGAGAAAAATATAAAGTAACTTTTACTACTTTTATAGCAAAAAATTTCCGGTAATTTTTACTACTTTTGGAGTAAATTTTGCTACGTTCGAAGTAAATATTTGTAAAAATTAGTAAAATTTACTTCGAAAGTAGCAAAATTTACTCCAAAAGTAGTAAAAATTACCAGGAATTTTTTACTATAAAAGTAGTAAAAGTTACTTTATATTTTTCTCCGTGATGCCTCTAACAAGAGGGACATGTTTTGTTATTTACATTTACATTATTTTAATTTAGTTTTCCAAATTCTCAAGTAAAACATGTGACAGTTGTCGAGAATAATTTAAGGTTATTAATTATATAGTAATTTTTAGAGATACACTTAGAGAAAATATATATTAAATTTTGTAAAAGTATTTTTCAATTTGAGGAAAAAGTACAACAAACCGAAATGTTGACATAGAAAATACTAAACAGTGAAAGAAATAATATGAAATTTAGTAGTTATATTAAAATTTAACCAAAATTCTTATATTTGATATATAATTATAATAAATTTCACATAAGTTTTTTTTACAGTTTAGTATTTTTTATCCCAAAATTTCGCTTTGTCGCATTTTTTCCCCAAATTGTGAAATATTTTTACAAATTTCAATATAATTTTCTCTCGGTGTATTCACAAAAAAATTGGCGAATGAAAAAAATGATTTTTATTATTTTTTTTATGCAATTTAAAAAAACTGTGTTTTAGGTTGAAAATGCTAGAAAAATACCATTGTTTTTCACTTTTTTTCTATGGAAATTCACTTGTTTATTTTTCAAACTAATTTCAAATCATAATTTTATCATTATTTTTTTTGTACTTTATACTTTTTATTCAAAAAAATTATGATTTGAAATTATTTAGAAAAATAAACAAGTGAATTGCTAAATAAAAAAATTGAATAACAATGGTTAACAAACTTTTCTTATTGACAGAAAATTGTACCTAATTTTTATTCAAATGCAACTTTCAATCGTTTTCAAAATTAAATTTTTCCCCTTTCCACAAAAACGAATTTAAAATTTAATTTGTCTTTTTCTTTTAATTTAGGAAATTATTTGGATTCATGATGGATATAGTCTTCTTTAAAACAAAACGTTTCTTTTCACAAACAATTTGTAATAATTTAAATTATTACTTATGCAAACAATCAAAAATATGGTTTGAAATGTCACAATGTCATTTACAATGTAAATGACAGTCTTTTACCAATTTTATGAAAAAAAAAATTCTTCACGAATAATTTGTGTCGCTGTCCATTGAAAAGGACCTTACGTATGTCAAAAATTTATAGGTTATGTTCAGGAAAGTTTTTACTTGATTTAAAAGATTTGAAATTCATTTTTAATTATCTGAAGTCAAAAACAATTTGTAATAACTATTTTGTATACTAAATAATTAATAAGAATTGTTTTTAAGTTGGGATAATTAGAAATTAATCTTAAATCAAGCAAAAACTTTCCTGAACACAACCAACAATTTTTTGTCGCGTACGGTTTCTTTCCTTGGAAAGCATCCCAAAAAACAAAATAAATGTAATAATAATCTAGTAAAAATATTCGAAATTTTTACGTAATTCGTGAAAAATGGTAATTTTTTATTATTATTAGTATTATTGTTATTATTATTATTTTTTTCACTATTATAAATTAGAATTAACTTTCGAAAAATTTTCCGATAAATTTGTTTGTTAATTAAGGAAATGGCAAAGTAGATACGATTTTTCCATTAAAGCTCTTCGTAAAAATCGCATTTACTTTGACATCCCTTTAATTTTAAATTATATAGTTCTTCTATTTTTATTTATTTCCAGGGTGGCCGCAAGATTGACTTTATCAATTTCCCTGACATTTTACTGACATAACAACGAATTTCCCTGATAAAAATTTTTTTGTTTAGAGCAAAAAATGTATTGCATGACCGTCTTAATTTCTTTAATTGCCCTGACAAAAAAATTTTTCCTGACATTTTCCTGACTTTACTGACATGTGGCCACCCTGATTTCCTATGTTCGCTATTTTGAATTCGAAAGTTTCTTCCAACAATTTCTATTGTCAAAAAAAAATTCAATCTTTGTCTCTAAATAAATCGCGTTTGTTAATTATCAAAAATGATTCTTACCCCTGAATCAATTCCTTGAGTATTTGGAGTTGTTGATCGTTGCTGCATACTATGAAAATTCTGAAATAAAAAATAAAAACAAATTAGTTTTCAACACAAATTTATGTATTTCAATAACTATTTGTTTTTACTTATTTATTCGCCGAGTTTTTAATTTAATAACAAAAATAGAAATTTTCCAACAAGTTCATTTTTAATATCATCAATTTTGAGAGAACAAATTTTCTCTCAGAAAATAGAAAATAATTTCAAAAACAGAAAATTCTATTTATTAATTTTAAATAATGTAAATTTAAAAACAAAAAATTGAAGTATAATAGTTTTGTTATATTTGAATTCATTTTTTTCAATTCTATTTAACTATTCTAATTTTAACCAGATTAACAAACACATATAATATTAATTACAGTTTGCAAAAGTTTTTCATTTATGAAAATTTATTGAATGAAGAGAAAGGAAAAAAGAAACGAAACGAAATGAAATCATCAATGAATATAATGAATAAAACATATGTTTATAAATCATTAATCAGCGACAAAGCTTAAATATACAAAAATAAATTTTGCAATTAACGATTCTAAACTCCCTGAATTTTAAAAAGCATCCAATTTTTTCTTTTTTTTTAAGCATCCTGATGAATAAAGCTTAAGAGTCAAAAGCCTTCGAATACAAAAGCGAACAAATTTAAAAGCCTTTGAATAGAAAAGACAAACAAATGTGTACTCTGCACACACAAAATTTTTATAACAGAATTTAGATTATACTGATTGTATCCGCATACTCGGTGTGTTAGTTTTAAATTATGCAAAAATTTTTTTTTTTAATTACATTTTATCAACAATTAATTTAAACAAATATAAAAATTATTAACTACTTCTATTCTGGAATAATTTCCATTTTTTTTTTCTTTCTTATTGCTGTTTCGTAATTTTTGCAAATCGAATTTATTACTTTACATTTAAAATGCATAATAAAATACTCTCTAAATTTGAATTAGTAAAAATGTTTACTAATTTAAATTATACTGATTTTTTGCTTTTGAATTAACGAAATTTACCAATAAATTAATAGAAATTACTATTTATTAGCAAAATTTAATTAAAAAATAGTAAATTTTACTAATAAATAGTAATTTCTACTAATTTATTAGGAAAATTTGCTGATTCATAAGCAAAAAGTCAGCCACTGATTCAAATTAGTAAACATTTTTACTAATTCTTACTTTTTACTAATTTTTACTAATAAAAAATTTAGAGAAAATATAATTTCACATAAATTATTAATATATAGTATAAAATTGAATAAATTTTGTTCTCCTATAATAATACTTTCAAAACAGTTTTCGAATTTTCTTAATATTAAAAAATTTCAATATAGATTTTATGAACTTAAATATATAGAAATAGTTATAATATTAAGATTTAAAAGAATGTTAAATAATGATTGAAATAATATAATAGCAACAATAATAACAATAATAACAACAATAATAATAATAATAATAATAATAATAATAATAATAATAATAATAATAATAATAATAAAATAATATTCAAAAATATTGAAATAATAATAATTCCAACAATAATATATTTTTTAATTAAAATATTTTTATTTCTTTTCATTAAAAGAAACCCAAATGGGTAATTTCAATTTTTGTTTTAAATTAATCTCTTCAAAACAGAAAAAAAAATTATTGACTTAAATTTTTTTCGATTTTAATAGTTTTCCTAAAGTTTTGAACGTTCGAATAAAAGACGATATTTTTTTAATTCCTTTATTTAATTTGTATTAAAAAAAAATTTCTGTTATTAAAAAATTACTTCTTGAATAAGTAAATGTTTGACTTTAAATGTTCAAAATTTTCCCATTTTTTAACAATGAAAACAAAAATTAGTCCAATTTCATTATTTCGTTTTTTAAACGAAATAAAAAACTAAACTGCTTTCTCTGAACAATTTTTCAGAAAAAGTATTTTAAATTCTTTTTGATTCAAGGATAAAGTATTTAATCTTCAACATTTTAAATTTAATTTGTCTTTTGATTTTAAATTTTGAAATTATGTCATTCGACAAACTTTTGTTCTGACCGTTCGTAATATTATTTATTATTTTTCTCTTTTGTACAGTAATTTTTAAAAACGTTTAAACAGAAAAACAATTTCGTTCACTTGAACGTTTAAAACTTTAGAAAACTTCTTTTTAAATTTTCAGAAGCTACTATATACTGTCAATGAGAAAAGTAAACTAAATATCCATTAAATCAATAAAATTATTCCTTTTCACTATTAAAGCATCTTTATTTATAAAGAAACATTTTTTAAGAAAAAAATTGAAAAATTCGTTTTTTTAAACGTCAAAAACTAGGAAGATACAATTTCATAATTTACAAAAATAAATTACTACACAGAGAGAGTAGATTTTGTAAAAATATTTTACAATTTTGGGCAAAATGCAACAAAGCGAAATTTTGATATAAAAAATACTAAAAATTAAAAAAATATACGTGAAATTTAGTACAGTTATATCAAATATGAAGAATACTAATTCAATTTTAATATAACTTTACAAAATTCCACATCAGTTTTTTTTAAAGTTTAGAATTTTTTATATCAAAAATTTTGCTTAGTCGCATTTTTTCCCTTAAATTTTGTAAAATACTTTTACAAAATTTAAGGGCATTTGGAACTTGTTAACTTCAATTGATACATGTATTACTATTCTCATTAGGTTTCTTTAAAAAATATGAAATTTTTGATAAAATTAAGGAAAATGTTATTTCAAACGTAAACGCATGGATCTCTGGACCAATTAATTCAAAAATTTGCTTTAAAATATTTTTTCGTTAAGTTTTTCGTTTCTTTTCGTTTCTATTTTTCGTTAAATAAAAAGTTTGTTTTTTTTCGAGAAGAAAAGGCAATCGAATAAAAATTAACATACAAAAAATTAAATAACTTTATATTTTTCCATTTAAACATTCATTTTTTTAAAATGTTTTAAATATCAATTGTATTCCATTGTCATTTCTCTTCGAAAATTGTCAAAAATAATTCATGTTTAAATAGAAAAATATATTTATTCAATTTTTCGAATGTTAATTTTTATTCCACTGCATTTTCTTCTCGAAAAATAAACTTTTTATTTAACGAAAAATAATATTTTAAAATAAATTTTTGAATTAATTGGACCAGAGGTCTGCGTTTAAGTTTGAAATAACATTTTCCTTAATTTTATCAAGATTAAGTTTATATTTTTTAAGAAAGATTCTGACGGACAGTCAAAACAAATGTTAGTCCAATATCATAATTTCGTCTTTTAACAGAAAAAGATATATTTAATTTTAAATTTATTTTGGTGGAAGAGTTAGTATTTTTATTTCCGACATTTTAAACATTTAAAAGTTGCGTTTGAATAAAAATTACAATTCTTTGCCAATAAAGAAATGTTTTGTTAACTTTTAGGTTATGCAATCTAAATCGTTTCTTATTAACAGAAAATTGTAATTTTTATTCAAATGTAACTTTAAATTGTTCAAAATATTAAAAATTGAGTTCTTTACGCTTTCACAAAAAAATTTAAAAATTAAAGTGTCTTTTTCTTTTAAAATACGAAACGAATTAACTTTTGTTCCGATTGTTTCTCTGATTCTTCATTAAGAAAACCGGTGGAAAAAGTAATACAGGCATCAATTGAAGTTGTCTGGTTCCACACATGCCCTTAATATTTATTCTCTCTTTGTGTAAAATCAAGAAAAAAAATTGTTTCATACAAATTTAAAATTTGAGACAGTATTAAATTTTGAAAAAAATTAACTTTCGAAGTATATTTTTTACATTATTTATATACCTGATCTTAGTTTTTAAAAAAAACCTGTACTCCAATTTTTCATTCAAAGTAATAAGACTGAAGTCCGCAACGTTTTTAAAAACGAAAAAATATTCCGACGATTTATTTATTTTGGCATCAAATTCATGTTATTTTTGACCAATTGTTTTTTAAGTAACAATATTAGTTTTTTAAAATTCTAAGCACATGAAAATTACAGATGAATTTGAAAAGAATTTCGTTTTTAGAAAAGTTGCGAGAGGCTAAAGCCTCTCAATTCAAAATTTTACCCAATTATCGACTTTTGGCATTATTGCGAATTTTCGCATTTTTTTCTGTGAATATTGTAATTAGGTTGAAATTAGTTTTCGAATATTCGTTAAATTACTATCAGAAATGTAATAGTAAATTCGTACCTGTGGTTGACCAGTTGGTTGTGGCTGCGGCGACGCAGAAGGTGGCGGTGCTGGAGATTGTGAAAGAGCACGTTGTGGAGACTGACTGGATGGGTTGGTTTGATTTGTCGGTGGAGGTGGTGGATTTGGTGGTCCAGCTTGATTCCATCCTCGTTGATCTGAATATATACTTGACGGGTGTCCACCCTGGGTATAGGAGTTGATCTACAAAAATTTATTTATTTAGTTTCTCTTTCGCAAAAAAAAGTGCATTTAATAAAAAAAAAAAAAAAAGAAAAAGTTTTGTTACCTGGTGATGACCATAGGGCGAGTGTGGTCTCGCTGGCGAAGAGTAACGTTGAGAGTATGGTTGATATGGCATGGGAGTTGGAGAAGGACCTCCTGGTCCAGGGTGCAATCGTGGCGAACCCTGACAAAAAATAAAACAACATTAATCATCATGTATCAAAATAAGACCAATTTACCAATTCAGTCGAAATTTCTTTCATTTTTTTTTTTGCACTTGAATAAAATTACAAATTTAAATAAAGAAACTAAATAACTATTTAAATTTGTAATTAATTTATTTAAAAAATATATAAATTGCAAAGACTGTTTCTTATTTGCAAAATTGTCCAACTCTAAAATCTAAATTGTCAAGAATTTCATTATAAAAAAAAATAATAATAGAAATTTTCAATATAAATATTTTAGAGCGCTAATTGTTCAATTAAGCAATTAATTTCTCAATAAAGCAAGCGTTTATTGGTTATCGATATCTTTTTTTTCCAAGGATATTTTCATCTCTTTTCATTAAAAACATTAAAACAAGTCTTTTCATTTTTCTTCTTTCTAATGAATTTTCTTTGAAAGACAATAAATTTTCATATCCTCGCAATATTTACGATTAAAAATCAATTATTTTCCATTTACACGAGATGTCAAACGAATAGTTAACAAATTAAGTAATTTTCAAAGTTTGACAAAGCAGCATAATCAATATTCAAAGGAATTGTTTTAAGGTTAGGTTGACTCAACAAATTTAAAAAAAATAGAAACAACGAATTCTCTTTTTGTGCAATTTAGCAATTTTTTTTAAAAAAAAAGAGAAATTGTGAGTAAAAATCGCTTTTATTTTTTAACCAAATTATTTGTGGAGAAAAAAAAATAGAATATTGACCCGAAATATATTTTCCTATAGAATTTTTTTTACTGAATAATGATACACAAGTTTTAAACGTTCAAATGAAGGAAATATTATTTAGTAAAAATATTTCCATAAATCACTGATTGCAATAAAAGTAAAAAAATTCAAATTTCACTTAGAAAATTAAAAAATTGAATTTTCTTTCTAGTGATGCAAAAGTATTGTAATAAAAATTTAATTTGAGTTAGAAATAAATAAATTTCATTCATTTGAACGTTCAAAACTTTAGGACCATACTGAATATTAGGGAAGAATCCGACAAACAATCGGAACAAAAGTTAGTCCAATGTCATAATTTCGTATTTTAAAAAAAAAGTCAAATTAAATTTTCAATTCCTCGTGGTAGAAAGGCGAAGAATTTAATTTTCTACATTTCGAAGTAATATTTGACTAAAAATTATAATTTTTTGACAATAATAAATCATTTAAGTAACATAACCTAAAATTTAACAAATTTTTTTATTGACAGAAAATTGTAACTTTTATTCAAATGCAACTTTTAATCGTTTTAAATATTCAAAATTAAATTCTTCGCCTTTCTACCACGAGGAATTGAAAATTTAATTTGTCTTTTTCTTTTAAATTACGAAATCATGACATTGGACTAACTTTTGATTTGACTGTCCGTCAGATTCTTCCCTAAATGAAATATTAAAATATTACAAAAAATAATAAACAATAAATTGTTAATATTACAAAAATATAATATTGAGTAAAAAAGTAATTTGATAATTTAATGAAAACATAATTTAACGATTCAAACAAATGGAGAGAAAAGACAACTAAATTTAATTGTTGAGTAATATCATTAAAAAAAAAGAAAATTTATACTAGATATTTTTAATAATTATAAGCAATAATAAATAGTAATTAGAATCGAATCCTGATTGTCATTTCTTTCTTCGTGTAATTTTTCAACTCTCAAGTGAATTGTTAAGGAAGAATTTGACGGACAGTCAAATCAAAAGTTACTCCAATGTCATAATTTCGTAATTTAAAAGAAAAACACAAATTAAATTTTAAATTCGTCTTGATGGAAAGGCGAAAAATTTAATTTTGAATATTTAAAATGATTAAAAGTTCCATTTGATCAAAAATTACAATTTTGTCATTAAGAAACATTTGTTAAATTTTAGGTTATGTTACTTAAATCATTTTTTTGACAAAAAATTATAATTTTTAATCAAATATAACTTCAAAATGTAGTAAATTAAATTCCTTTCGCTTCTACCAAAAGGAGTTTACAATTTAATTTGACTTTTTTTTTTAAATACGAAATTATGACATTGGACTAACTTTTGTTCCGATTGTTTGGCAGATTCTCCCTTAAATGAAATATTAACATATTACAAAAAATAATAAACAATAAATGTTAATATTACAAAAATATTATGTCGAGTAAAGAAGTAATTTGATAATTTAATGAAAATGATTCAAACAAATGCAGACAAAAGACAAAATTTGTCTTTTTAATATTATACTCAACAATTAAAATTAAATTGTTGAGTATAATATTATTAAAAAAAACGAAATTTATACTGGATAATTTTAATAATTATAAGCAATAATAAACAGTAATTAATAAATATAATAATTAGAATCGAATCCTGGTTGTCATTTCTTTCTTCGTGTAATTATTTAACTCTCAAGCGAATTGTTAATGCTTTGCATATAATTTTTAATGCTCACATAGCTAATTTTTAGTTTATTTTATTATTATGTTGATTCTTTTATTGTATTCATTTTATTATTGATAGTCTTGTGTGTAACCCCTTCTTGTAACATAGAGTATTTAATAAACAAGTCAAATAAACAAATAAATAAAATAAATGAATAAAGAAAATTAATTAATTAATTAATTAATTAAAATAAATAAAAATAATAAGAATAGTAATTAATTTAAATTGAAAAAATCTGAAAAAGAAACGTAGGATTTATTCTTGTACTATTTTGATGAACTTTATTGAACTATTTTAATAAACAATTAGACAACCATCATTCTTGTAAACAATCACAATTTAATTTTAATTCGAATTGTAATTTGAGCACAAAATAATAGAAATAGAAAAAAATAGAAAACTAAAAACTAATTAAATTGAAATTCTATTAATTTTTAGTAAATGATTTTGATTTCAAAACTAATAAAAAATTTTCTTTTTCGAAAATAAATTTTTTCTAATTATTCACTAAAAAAAGGCATTTCTCAATAACTTTCAATTTTAGTTTAAAATAAACCGCGTCAATAATTCCATTAAATATTTCTATTGAAGCGTATCATTGTTTTTCGAAAACTTTCTCCTACTTTTTGCCTTTTTACATTTTTTAACGAAAAAATTATTTACATCTCGGAAACACCGGAACAATGATGGGATAATAATGACAATAACAAAGAAGTGAATGGTAAAAATGCGAAAAAATAGAAAAAAGGAAGAGCAAATTGTTGACTTTGAGAATATGCAGAAAAAAATGATTTTTCTTGTACTTTGTTAATATTATCAATGAAATGAAGGAACTTTGATTATTATAAATAAATAAATATGAAGAGAAGGATGTTGAGGGGGAGATTTGGAGTGAATTGAGAAATAATTACCGTTTGCGGAGGTCGTTGTCCAGGTTGAGGATAAACAGGAGGAACGACGGGGGGTCGCTGCATGGGCCAGGGCTGCTGATAGGACTCGGGTCCGATTCCGGGGTAGTTGGAGTGAAACCGATGCATGGGGCTGGACGCCTGGAGCAGCTGATTAAGCGTAGGGGTTGGGCCCGTGGCCTGGGAGATACTCTGGCCCGAGAGGAACCTGGGCTGTCCGGGAAAGGCTCCGGGGCCGGCGCCAATGTGAGCGAGTCTCGGCTCTATCTTGTAGTGCTCCTCCATCTCGCTCTGATGATGAACAACACCACCTCGCTCGGGCTCACTGGGCATTTGCTTGCCGGGATAGTCGGCGTGTTGTTTCGAGAACTCGTTGCTCTTGTTTGATGCATACTCGTCGGAGTAGTCGCGATTGGGCGCAAAGGGATGATTCGCCGGATGGCCAGGACCAGAGGCGTCGTTGACGGACTGCTGCTGGTCCTGGGGGTTGTTCTGTTGGGGTTCGCGGGGAGATTTGACCTCGGCGGCGGTGTGTCCGCCAATGTCCTCACGGTATTGACTCATCTCGAAACCTGAGTCCGCGCGCTTCACATAGTTCAGCAGCTGGGCCGCGCCCCGGGTGGCTGCTTTATCGGCCGGCTCCTGATCCAGCTGCTGTTTCGCACTAGCACTTGAACTATTCGCAATGACTTGGGGACGTTTTTGAATGCATTTCACGGACTCACTCAAATTCACATCGTTTTGTTGGCTCTCGGCTTGTGTCGCAGCCATGTTCTTTCACGGAGCCATCCTTTCGTAAGTTGGCCAATCGCGGCGGTGCCTACCGCGCGTACAGTGCGTGCACCGATCCAAATACCTTGATTGGTCCAAACAAACGATTTAACACAATTTCTGTCCACCACATTATTCATTAAGAACGTAGGAAGACCAAATGTAACTTGACCGACGGTAATTTTTCACATTTTTTCGAGCAGAAACGATAATATTAACTTTAAACAGGGACGTCAAAGTAGCGTCGCATAATGTACGCCATCTTGTGGTCGCGGATATTAACCTCGAATTACGCAAGTTCACGAGATGGGCGACTCGAGGGAAAAAAGCCTCACGTGCGAACGAAGCGCGATCTATTGCTGCGGATCTCAAGCGGAAAATTGGAAAAAAAGACGAAATTCCTTTATGCGATTGGTAGAACAACTGATATATTATAGACATGTTCCCTTCAGCCAATTAAATTTATCAATCTTGACAGAATGCTCAAAATTCTTTTGTTACAAATTTTCAAAAAATTCGCTTTCCTTTTTTTCAATAAACAATTGTTCGTCGCAACAATGAATAATTTATCTAAACTATCATCTTTGACAGGAATTTATTTCTATTTATACAAATTTTAATTCAATTATGACGATATAATTATTATAATTACCATCATTACAAACACAACTATTTTTTACTTTGATTTTGTGTTTCACATTCCGTCAAGAGCATAATTTGTTTGCAAAAGAAAACCTTCTTCAGCTAGAATATTTCCTACTGACTATTGAATCTTTTTTTATAAATATATATACGTCTATAGAAAAGCAAGGAGAACAAAAAGAGAAATCGCAAGGCTAACTAATTTACGGTTAGGATTTATTTGACCAATAAGACACTGTAAAAAATCACTCGCCTCTGGTTGGCTGAATATTAGTTTTTCATGCAACTACGCCCTTAAGTTTATGAAATTTCCGCGTTGGCGCCACTCGCGGCAGGAAAATTCAAATTTACAAAATGATCTGTACAGAAATTATCGATAATAAAAATTAACAGGGTTACGATAAAAATTTTATTTTATTTTTCCTTGATTTCCAAACAAAATTTTTCCTTTTTCCTGATATTAAGAAATATTCCAATTTACTCTATTTATTTATTTAAATAAAAATTTTTTAAAATAATTGAATTTTGTAAAAGAATATTATTACATAATATAAAGATAATTGAAATTTTGACAAAAATATTTAAAAAATTTTTAACATTATTTAATTTTTGCGAAGAATTTTATTACTTTTGAAAATAATTAAATTTCTGCAATTATTTGTAACTTCTCCAAAATTCAATTTTTTTTATTGTTTTTAACTACAATTCTTTTATAAATCCATTATTTTTAATAATTTTTGAAAATTTTTTTTGAGAATTTTCAAATCCATTTGTATACAATTTAATTTTACGAAATTTCGATTATTCGGAAATTCTACAGTGAAATTTAAACTAAAATTAATTTTTAAAACAATTTTTATTTGTATTCAATTATTTAAATACAAAAATAAAATAATAATAATTTATTCAATAATTGAACTTTTCTTAACATTCAATTCTCATAAAGAATATTATCAACAAATATTCAAATAATTGAATTCTTTCGACGAATTTTAATAAAATTGTATTAAAAATAATACAAAATTGTAATAAAATAATTTTTTTTAAAATTTGTAAATAATTGAATTTTTGTGAAATCAATTATCAATTATCAATTATTTTTAATAATTTTTGCAAAAGTTTCTAGAGAATTTTTTAATTCATTTGTTTACAATTCAATTTTATGAAATTTTGATTATTCGGAAATTTTTCAATTAAATATATTTAGAAAATAAAAACTTCAAACAATTTAAAAAAAATCAATTCAACTTTTTCAAAAAAATTAATTTGCATAGAATTGTTAGTTAACATTATGAAAAATTCCGATTTTCGAAGACTTTAATTAAAAACCTTTTCAAAATTCAATTATTTATAAAAATTTTTAATAAAATGCTTTTAATACTCAATTATTGTCTAAAATTTTAACTGAAATTCATTTTTAAATCAATTTTTATTAGAATTCAATTATTTAAATACAAAAATAAATAATTTATTGAACAATTGAATTTTTCTTAAAATTGAATTCTCATAAAGAATTTTATCAACAAATTTTTAAACAATTGAATTCTTTTTACGAATTTAATAAAATTGTGCTAAAAATAATTTTATTTCTGCGATGATTTTATTAGATATTTATGAAATTAATTAAATTCCTTAAAAAAATTTTCAAATATCTAAGTAAAGTTCTTTAAAATTTTTAATTAAATTCATTCAAAGTTGAAATTTTATAAAAGTTAAAATTGAAACATTTTGAAGTTCATCTGTTTTTGAAAATTTTAAAAGCAGCCTTTTTGAAAATTTAATTAATTTTGAAATATAAGTAAACTTATTCATTAAATAATTTATTTGTAATAATTTTATGACAGTTTTATAAAGCAAACAGAAAAGATACCAAAATTCAAAATTTTTTTATAAATTCTAAATAATTTAATTTTTTCCATTACTTTTTATAAAAATCCCTGACTGACATTTAAGAGTTCATAATTAAAATTAAAAATAATTCTCTTCACGTGAAATGAAATGCCCTTTTAGTATCATTACGATATACACTCATTAACTTTTATTCTTTGAAATCTATTTACAATAATAATTATTACATTATTATTCTTAGCATTACATTTATCACGCATGACCAGAAATATTTATTGCTTAAAAAAAACTCACGTGTTTTGTTGCTAAAAAGGAGTTGAAAACGGCAAGACTCCTTTAAATTACAAACTATAAATAATTAACTCTCCTCTCCTGACTTGTAATGTCCTCTTACTATTTTTTTTTTTAAATCTTAATCAGTAAAGTCATAAATTTAAATTTTTTTGATTTTAACGGAGTTGGACTCGATTTATTATTTAATTATTAATATTTATATCATTATCTTCTCAAGAGTTTAAATATTTATTAATTCATTATTTTCATCTCTCACGAATTTTATTAAATTAAATTATTCTCTCCTCTGTCAAATTTAAATAGTTTATTAAATTATTCTATCAATTAGATAATATTTTACTGATTTTTTTTTAAATTTTTTTTCAGCTATTATGCAAGAAAAAGTTTATTATAAAAAGGAAATATTCGTCACTTTTTTTTTGACTGAGTTGAAAAAATTTTTCTTTTTTGGCTCGAGTGTAAAAATACCTCCGCTATTATTTTTTTTTTTTGTAATTAATTTTTATTCCCTTTACGTGATATTTCATTCGTGTAAAGTGCAGTCTCATCGTGTTGCCCATCGAAAAAGAAAAGACTTGCCATCGCTTAAATATCGAGTCGAATTATTTTAATAATGCGATTCGGCGTTTAATTTGCCACTGTAGATTTTTATAAAATATACATATTTCTTTTGTTTTTTGTTCTAGATAACATAAATGCAAACAAATGCAACTATACATGGGGCGTAAAATTCTTTCGTCATTCATTTTTCCTTTTTTAAATATATCAAAATAGTACTAGTAAGAGAGAAATTAAATTTACATTTACAAAACTGAATTCAATTAAAAATGTGAAAATAAATTTTTTAATTAATCGTAGTATCTACAAATTGTTGTTCTATTTTTTCTCTAAAATAGAAATAAATTAAAGCAATTAAGCGAATATAAATTTTTTGTTTTAATTTGTCGGATTGTCATGCATTTTACATGTATAATATATATAACAAAATCCTGACACAAAAAATCTTCTATAAGAAAAAAAAATACATCCCGTTCTATAAATTAATGAGAAATTCTTTACAATTAATTAATTTATTTTTTTTCTTCTTTAAATAAAATATCGCTATGTCAATTTATTCTTTTTTAAAAACATCTTTAAATGACGTTTCTTTTTTTTCTCACTCATTGACTGTTTCTTTTTCCTACAGAAATTCTGACGATGGGAGCAAGGCACAAATTTCTAAAATTACTTTTTTAAATACGCATCCATTTATAGATCGAGAAAAATTCCACACAATTCACTACAATTTCACGCAACTTCATACTTTTTTTTCAATTTTTTTTTTTTTTTTTTTTTTTGCATTCTCCAAGGGTAAATTGTAAAAATGCGATTTGAAATAATTCTTTTCTAACAATGATTAAAAATTGACAATAAGAAAAATACTGAACCTTGTATAGACTGTACGATGTATCGTTGAAATTTTACACCTTTTTTTCGTTTATAAAATCGCACAATCTACAAGGATGAAGTTTTTAAAATGTTTTACGTATTGTAAAAATGGCTGCAACCTTAGTTTTTATATTTTTTAAATGCTGTAAAAGTTACGTGCAAAAGCACTGAAATTGCAAAAATCGTGGATTAAAAATGTTTTTTTTTTGTTTCTAATGATAACAAATCACACTTGGGATTCAAAGCCCATTATATAATATTAACTACGAAAAAACGTGAATTGAATGATTTTTTTTTATACAAACGTTTTGTACACGAATACAAAAAACGCGTGGAGCAAAAACTACTCTGATATGATTCATTTTCTTTTTTCAAGACTTATTTTTTCTTTGATACTATTTTTTTTTTTGTTCTTTTCTTTTTGGTGAAGTTTTAAATAAAAAACAAAAAAAAAAGTATATAAATATTTTTCTTTTTTCTATGAACTTGTAGAAAAAACTCCCAATGAAAGGATTTATGCATAAAAAAAGAGAAATATTTTTCTGAAATCAACTTTTCGTTAATTAGACGTAAAAACAAAAAGTAATTTCAAAAACTATATTTTATATGATAATAAAATTAATGAAATTATTAAGTATAATAATAAAACTACAAAATTGTGCATTAAATTACGATGATACATCGAAACTGAAATGACTGAATTCTCTTATGACTGAAAGAGAATATTAAAATGGAGATTAAAAAAAATCTCGCATTTTCAATCATTTCTCAGTTGTGTGCGATCTAGAAATACATTATCTAAATGGGCGTTTTTTTTGCCTTGTTTTTTTTTCTTTGTTTTTATAAATTAATAATGGTCCTCTTTTTTGTTCTCTCGATTATTTCACATAATTTGTTTACGGATAATTATATTATATATTTCAAAAAAAAAAAAAAAAAAAATAGAAAAAAAAATTGTTCATGATAAAAGTTTTTCTTACTCGTCACATTGGGGGTTGTGTGTGTGTGTGTGTGGAGGATCTTTACCGGTAAATCGATCCAGTATTGAAATTCTCCTCCGCAGTAGAATTTTGGAATGTCTCACCAAATACAGGATAAGACGTAAGCGAACATATTGTAGTGAATATAACTAGATGTTATAAAAAATAAATGAAGGACTAGGAATCGTAGTGGATCCTGTTGGATCTTTGAACCTTCAGTTTGATTAGTTCCAAGAAATGTTCCGTGTTTATAAAAATTTTCTAAAAGACTTTCCTTCTCAACCCAACGATCGTGTAACCACTTTGACAAAAGTTCAGGCTCACGTGGCACCTGAAATCAAAATTACTTTTTAAATTTCGCAATTACAGGCCTCGTATCGACTGTAAGGTGCAAAAAAAAGTCGCTTTAGTCGATTTAAAATAGAAAAAAAGTCGAAAAAGTCGTTTATTTAATTCAGTGTCGTCACAAAAATTTAATTTTTGATTCTTTTGATCTTTCACTGATTTCTAAATTTAATTATTTAAAACTTGAATAATTTCGTTAAATAAATATTTAAATACCTACTTCTTGTTTGTTTTTATACGGAAATAAAATTTAAAAAATTTCTATTTAAAACCTTCTGAAATTTAATAACTTCTAAAAATCACAACTTTAATTCTCTTAAAATTCAATTATTTTCTACAATTTTTAATCAAACTTCTTCTCGAAATCAATTATTTTTAATAATTTTCTGAAAGTTCTTAGAGAATTCAATTATTTAAATACAACTTAGAATGTTTTTAGAATCTTAATTTTTGTCAAATAAATCTGTTTATATTGTGACCTTAAGGCCATAATATAAACAGATTTATTATTTAAATACAAAAATGTTTTTTAAGTTATTAATTTTCAAAAAATTATAGGTAATAAAGAAATTCTTAAAATTAATTTTTCAAAAATATTTTTAAAATAATTTATGAAAGATAATAGTTTTTTAATTATATAGAATTGAAAAATTTCCAAACAATTGAAATTTGGTAAATTCTATTAAAAAAATAATTGAATTTTTAAAGAATTTTAATTATTAATATAAACGCGATTTCTCCAAATATTTAATAAATCTAAAAAAGTCATATGTTCTTGAAATGTTAAAAATAATTGTAAAAAATTTTAATGTTATTATTTTTTGTATGTATTTGAATTTTTGGAAATTTGTATTTAAAAATATTAAAAATAATTGAATTGTAAAAAATTAGAATGCAAAAATTCTAAGAATTATTTTTATCAAAAATATTTTAATATAATTTTTTTGTGGAGCTAATTTTCATTAATTACCATTTTTAAATTTACACTTGAAGATTTTTCATTAAAATTTTTTTAAAAATCAATTATTTTCAAAATTTGCAATTAAAATTCTTTTAAAGTTTATTTTCAAAAATTTTTATCAAACACTTTGAAAAAAAATCAATTATTTTCAATTAAATTTTACAAAATTTCAATTATTCAAACTCTTTTTTATTGTAAATTTTAAAAATTTATTTAATAATTCATAAAAATAGTTGAATTGCTTCGAAGAAAGTATTAAAAATTGTAGGAAATAATTGAATTTTATGGAAATATTTGAAAATATTTGAATTCTTCCGAGAAATTCAATTAAATATGTTTTGAAAATAATTGAATTGCTGGAAAGAATTTTACTATTTATAAAAATAATTGAATTCTTGCGAAGAATTTTACCATTTATAAAAATAATTGAATTGTTTCAAAGGATTTATTAAGATTTTAGAAAATAATTGAATTTATTCGAAATATATTAAAAATTGTTTTAAAAGTTAAATTCTTCCGAGGAATTTAATTTAATTTAATTTTCTAAAGACAACTATTGTAAATATTTTTTACTTTTTAACATAAAAAAGTCATTTCTACATTAATTTGATTCAATTTTTTTTATTTTTACATATTTTACAATACAAAATTTAAAGAAAACAAATTTTTGAAAAAGTTGTCACTTAACAGATTTTTTATAAAATATGAAGCTACTGAAAAGCTCAAGTTCGTATTTTACTTTGAAAAAAAGTTACAAGCAAAGAAAAGTTTTATAGCGGTCTGTCAGACCGGCATAGCACTTTAAAGGTTAAAATTCTTCAAATGTTGGTTTTCAAAAATTTTTTAAAAACACTTTAAAAAATCAATTATTTTTAATTAAATTTTACAAAATTTCAATATTTATTGAAACTCTTTTCAATTGTAAATTTCGAAAGTAAGTTGCATTTTATACTAAAAATTATTGCAATATTCGGAAGAAAAGTCGAAAAAGTCGCATTTTTTGAAAATAGTCGAAAAAAGTCGAAAATGTTATAATAAACACATTTTTAAAGAATTTTTAAAAAAATTCGTAATAATTAAAAAAAGATACAATTTTCAAAAAAAAGATTGAATTTGTTGTAAAACTTTTTGCAAAATCTTAGAAAAAATAATCCAGTTTTTGAAGAATTTAAATTACAAATATGAAAATAATTAATTTCTTTAAACTTTTAATGATAAATCTCAAAAAACAGATTTTTACAAGTTTTAATTTACTTTTATTAAAGATAATTGAAATTAAAAAAATTCTAAGAATTAAATTACTTAAAAATAATTAAATTTCTTAAAAGAATTTTTGGATGACTGAAAAAAAATAATTTTTTGCCGAATTTTAATTAAACATTTTGAAAATGTTTGTTTTCTCTAAAAAATTTTAACAATAATTCTAAAAAATAAGATTTTTTAAAAAATTTTAATTCTATTATTTTTTTGTAGATATTTAAATTTTCTAAAACATGTATTTGCAATGAAATTATTTTAAAAATTTGATTTAAAAAATTATAATACAAAATTACTTAAAATTAGTGTTTTAAACAAATTTTACAATAATGTTTAAAATAAAAGATTTTTCACATTTATATATAATTGAACAATTTTCCAATTATTGAAATTTAGTAAAAAATTTATGAAAATAATTGAATTTTTAAAGAAGAATGTTTAAAAAATATTAAAAGTAATCAAGCTTTCGAAAAACTTTAATTACAAATATGAAAATACATTATTTCTTAAAAATTTTTGAAATAAGACCAGAAAAATAAATCTTTAACAAATTTTAATTTACTTTTTGAAGATAATTGTATTTTAAAAAATTATGATAAAAAAAATCTAAATATTAATTTTTTTAAACTTTTGCAATGTATTGTTTTGAAAATAATTGAATTTCTTAAAGGAATTTTTAGATAATTTAAAAAACTAATCAATTTTTTGAAAATTTATGATTAAAATTGTTGAAAATGATTGAGTTCTATAAAATTTTAATAAGAATTCGAAAAAAATAGATTTTTTTAAAAATTGTTATCAGAATTTTTTAAAGCTGATATTCTGATTTTAATTAATTTTTACTTTCAAATTTTCTTTTGAAGATTTTTTATTAAAAACTTTTGAGAATTCATTGATATTTAGAATTTGCTATTAAAATTCTACGAAATTTGACTTTTAACCATATTTTTAAAATACTTTTAAAAAATCAATTAATTTCATTAATTTCAATTAGTTTCAATAAAATGTAAAGAAATTTCTATTATTTACAAATTTTTTAATGACATATTTCAAAAATTTAATTATCTTTCAAAAATTATTAAAAAATTATTGTGAAAAATTGAGTTCAGTTTTTTAAAAATATTGTAATGCAATTTTTGGAAAAAATTAAGTTTACTTTAGTTGACTATACAGTTGACTCTCGATAATTTGAAATTTTTTGATTATCGAGATTCGACTGTAGTTCTTTTTTACATTATATAAATCAAAATAAATTGCATTTTATTCCAAAAAAAATTTATATTTTGTTGCAATATTTGGAAGAAATTATAAAAAAGTCGATCTTTTTGAAAAGAAGTCGAAAGAAAATCGAAAAGTTCATTCTATTCGAGGCCTCAATTATTTTAATTGAAAGATAACGATCGTCGTTAGTGTAACAAAAAGAGGTTTTTTGTCAACAAAAAATTACTTTATAATATGTATTACATAATTTATGATTCTACTGTCTACATACCACAGAACTTGGAAATAATCTGTAGAATAAAACTGTTTCGCAAGGCGGTCTTGAACCAGTTATAATAGTTGGTAGATCTATAGGCTTGCCTTGAGGATATGCTATTGTTATATCAAGAACCCAGCTAATTTCTGGTTTTGATACAGTCATACCTAAATAAAGCAAAAAAACCAAGTCAATACAAACATAACATGAAACTTTAATTAATCACTACAATTATAATTTATGAAAAGCGTTTCAATTTAGAAACTAAAAGTTGAGTTTATACAAATTTTATACACGATTTAAATAAACTGTTTATTTTTAAAATAAAAAATAAAAAAATAAATAAATAATAATTTTAAATAAATAAAATTATTATTTTATATTAAAAAAAATAGTAGAATATTTTGGTTATTGGAAAATAAAATTGGTGCCTTCAAAAATAAGATCTTTTTAATTAAAGAAAATATTTCCATTCAAATATGAAATTCAAATTTGAAAAAATTTTAATTTTTCCATCAAACGCATTGTAAAAATGTAAATGTTTTGCATTTACATTTTGCACCGAATTATCGAAATCAATTTAAATTTTTAACGAGTAATGCAACGTTATCAATAAAAAGGAAACAAATTGAAACAATTTCCATTCTTAATTTTTATCAAGAAAAAAAAAATGAAACAAGAGGAAAAAAAATTACTTGATGTGTTGTTTAATTCCTGATTCGAATTATTATTTTGCGTTGGACCAACTACATCGAAAATTGTTTGAATAGCTCCGACTCTTGGTAAACTGACATTCTCGAGAATTGGTAGATTATTTTTTTTCGCATAATTTTGCGAGACCTCACGCCTTTTACAAAGAAAGCCACCCTCAGGAAAAAGAATCATCCACTTTCTGTCTAACGGAATGTAAGACTCCTTTAGATGCTTTGTCAGATGTCGTAAACTTTCTTCACGTTTTTTACGACCCTTGAAAAGTGAGTGAAGAAAAAAAAAAGGAATGAAAAGATCAAGTAAAAATTAAGTTGAATGAACTTAGTGTGCACACAGATAAAAATAATATCAACTCACCGACGAAATAAAGAAGTCCTCATGTAAAATGGAGACAACTCCAAAATTCGTGTATTTAAAGACCTTATCCATTATCCACATAATATTTGGTAAAACATTTTGCTTTGCATTGAATGTCGTCATCAAAATAGGAACGTCTCCTGTACTTTGATGATTCGCAATGACCAAAGTCCTATCACTGATTGCTTTTTGAATGTCATCACCGTGCTCGATTACTGTAAGCAATTATTTTTTTGTAGTTTTTTTTCTTTCATTTCAAACATTTAGTTAATATTGTCATTTACTAATTAAAAAAAGTTGAATTGCTATTGCAGGCCTCGGATCGACATTAAGATGCAAAAAAAAGTCGCTCTAGTCGATTAAATATACAAAAAAAAAAAAAAAATTCGAAAAAGTCGTTAATTTTATTCAATGTTGTAACAAAAATTTCTGTTTGTACATATTTCCCTGACCTTTCACTGATTTCAAAATTCAGTTCTTCAAAACATCAATAATTTTTATTAAATTAATATTTAGATACTATTCACTTATTTCTCTACAGAAATTAACATTTTTCAAATTTTAATTTTAAACCTTCTGAAAAATTATTTCTAAAAATTAGAACCGTAACCAATTCAAAATTTAATTATTTTCTAGAATTTTCCATTAAAGTTCTTTCTCTAAATTAATTAAATTCAATAAATTTCCGAAAATTACAATAATTTTAACTGTAACTCTTCATGATTTCTTTTAAAGTTACTAATGTGAATTATCGAAAACATGCGTCCAAAAAGTATTAACAATTATTAACAATAATTGACTTTTAAAAATATCTATAATAAAAAGTTCTTTCTTAAAATTAATTGTTTAAAGGAATATTTTTAAATAATTTTTGAAAAATAACAGATTTTTCTATTTTATAGGTATATAATTTGTTGAAAATTTGTCAAGTAATTTAAATTTAGTAAAATTTTTTGAAATACTTTTTAAAGATTAAAAATAATCATGCTTTAGAAGAATTTAAATTACAAATATAAAAATAAAACTCCAAAATTTTAATTAATAATACGCCTAAAAAAGCAGAATTTTACAAATTTTAATTTACTTTTTTAGAAGATTGAAAGAAAATTTTGGAAGAATTTAAAAAAATAATTAAAAAATTCTGAGAATTATTTTTTAAAAAATATTGTACCTACTATAATTTTTAGAAAATATTCAAATTTTTTAAAAGAATTTTTCGACAATTTAAAAAACTAATCAATTTACTGAAAAATATTAATTAAAAATTCTGAAAATAATTGATTTCTCCAAAATTTTAATAATAGTTCGAAGAAAATTAGAGTTTTCGAAAAATTTAAATGTTATTATTTTTTTATGCGGATATTTTAATTTTCAGAAATATGTTATTAAAAATATTAAATATTATAATGTAGAAATTCTAAAAATCACTTTTTTATAGAAATATTTTAATAGAACTTTTTGAAGATAATTTTCATTAATTTTCGTTTTCAAATTTTCTTTTGAAAATTATTTATTGAAGTTTTTGAGAAATTAATTATTTTCAAAATTTTGAAAATTAAAATTCTTCAAAAAATGATTTTCACTAATTTTAATGAAATCCTTTAGAAAATAAATTATTTTCAATGAATTTTTTTTACAAAATTTTCATTATTATTGAACTTTTTGATTCTATATTTCAAAAAATTAATTATTTTCAAAAATTATTCTCAAAATTCTAAGAATTACAACACTACCAACTGTTGAATTGAACTTTAGTTTAAATAACTCAATGTTGTTAATAACTTTTAAGTACTTTTGTACAAATGTTACTTTCTAGTGCCCGTATATTGAATAAATAAATAAATAAAAAATATATTTTACAAATAAAATGTAATTTCTCGAAAGTAATTGAATTTCTTAGAAGATTTTTGGAAAATTTATAAGAAAAATGAATATTTGCAGAATTTTCATTAAAAAATTTCATTAAAAAATTTTAAAAATTGATTAAATTTTCTATGTACAAAATTTTAATTATTTTTTAAACACGGCAAACAAAATTAACTGGAAAAGTTGCAAATTTCACTGTATTAGCAAAATTTCTACTTGTTTCAATTTAAACTTTCCGTATTTTAGAGAAACTTATCGCTGTTCCAGTAAAAAGAATTTTTTCCGTCTAAATATTTGAATTTCTGAAAATATGAAATCGAAAATACTAAAAATAAATGAATTTCTAAAAAATGATAATTGAAAAAAATTCTTAAAATTACTTTTTTTAAAAAATATTTTAATTTCATTTTTTGAAAGTTTCTACTTTATTTTTTTTCTCCTTGAATTTTTTTTTCTTCATAGTACACTTTTTTTTTACAAATTTGACTATATATTATTTTCCGTAGATTGTTTTTACTATAGATATTTTTTATACTTTAAACATTAAATAAATTGCATTTTAGACCAAAAAAATTGAAATTTTGGAAAAAAGTCGAAAAATTCACATTATTTGAAAATAATAGAAAATAGTTGCCTTTTTGAAAATATTCAGAAAGGTTTAAAAGTCAAACTATCCGAGGCCTGTTATTGCAGATTTTATTATTTATTAAAAATATAATAGTACATAATATATTGCAGGGTTGCCACAAAAATTATTGAATTTTATTTTTCCCTAACTTTTCCCTAAATTCCAGACTAAGAATTTTTAAATAAATATTTAACCATTATTATTTTTCCATAGGAATTAAGATTCAATTCAATGCAATTACTATTTTCTAAAATTTTTAATTAAAATTTTTCTTTAAATCAATTATTTTAAAAAAATGTTTTAAAAAGTTCTTTATGAATTTCCAAACCCATTTGTTTATAATTCAATTTTACGAAATTTCAATTATTCGGAAATTCTTCAATTAAATATATACATTAGAAAACAAAAACTTCCAATAATTTCAACAGAAATTCAATTCAACTTTTTAAAAAAAAAAAAAAAAAAATTAATTCTACAGAATTTGTTTCGTTAAATGTGTGAAAAATACAGATTTTCAAAGATTTTAATTTGAAACCTTTTCCAAATTCAATTATTTTAAAAAATTCATGTTAAAATGCTTTTAATATTCAATTATTATCTAAAATTTGAATTAAAATTCATTTTTAAATCAATTTTTAATAGAAAATTTTACGAGAATTCAATTATTTAAATACAAAAATAATTGAATTCTTTTGACGAATTTTAATAACATTTTTAATAATAATTACATTTTTCGGAAAATTCGATTAAAATTGATAGAAATGAAATTTTGCGATGAGTTTTATTATTTATGAAAATAATTGAATCTCTTTAAAATTGTTTATTATTTATGAAAATAATGCAATTATTGCGAAGAAATTTATAAAAAAATATTGTAAATAATTGAATTTCCTTGAACTTTTTATTATTTATAAAAATAATTAAATATTTGCGTAGAATTTTATTAAAACTTTGTATGAATAATTGAATTTTATTTGGAAAATTTTATTAAAATCGTAGATATTAAAAATTATTGAATTGGGAAACAATTTTTTTAAAATGATTGAAATTTTGCCAAGAATGCTATTAAAATTTTTGAAAATAATTGAATTTTGGAAAAGAATTTTATTATTTATAAAGATAATTGAAATTTTGACAAGAATTTTTTTTATATTTTGAACGTAATTGAGTTTCTGCAAAGAAATCATAAAATTCTTCTATAAATCCATTTTTTAATTAATTAAAAATTGAAGTCAACGATTACTCCGAGTCAGGATTTAATTATTACAAATTTTTCAAAAATCTAAGTTCTTTAAATTTTTTAATTAAATTAATTCAAAATTGAATTAAAACCTTGTGACTCATCTATTTATGAAAATTGTAAACCCAACTCTTTTAAAATGCAATTAATTTAAAAATATTTAAATAATAAAATGATTCATTAAATAATTTATAAGCAATAATTTTATGATAGTTTTTGAAGAATTAAGTTATTTAAAGAGAAATTATGGTGAGAAATATAAAAAATTCATGGTTTTGCATTAGAATTCGTGGTAACTTTATAGTTTATGAGGCAAACAAAAAAGATGCCAGAATTCAGAATTTTCTTATGAATTTTAAAAATTTATATTTTTTCCAGTAATTTTAAATAAAATTCACTGACCTGAGACAACTCTGTATTGACAAAGAATCATATGTAAATTCGTAATTAATTTTCGTAAAAAATGAAAATAATATAATTATGTACAAATATTTTTATTTTTACTACTTTTAGTACTCTTTGAGATGGATTCAAAAAAAGTGTTCGATTTTTGAAGAAAAAAAAAGACTTTTTGAACTCACTGTCGTAGCCGGCCGTCCACGTCCACGTAGACACCATTCCCAGAAGCCAATGGAAAAATAAACCCTCTATTCGCCAATAAATTTGTGGTTGGTAAACTTTGACAGGAAATAATAAAGCCATCCATACAACGTAAGTTGGAATGCAATAACAATTGTTCACAAGAACAAACAATGTCCGGGCAATACATTTTAGAAAATTTACAACGCTATTCAGTAACCTGAAAGAGAAATTAAAAAATTTTCCAATTATTAAGTCACATTACTATTATTTTCTTAAAAATAAGTCGTCATTCATTTTTATTTCCAAGACATGAACAAAACAAAGAAACTCTAACACGAGATAAAAAAAATCATGAGCTTTATTCATGTCAACAATAGAAAAAAAAAGTCATCGTATGATCTTTTAAATGTTCAATATTTTTCTGCAACGTGAACTTTTGATAATATTCTTTTTTTTGTATATTTATATCTCACTCAAACATGATGAATTGAATTTAATTAGCTGTCAGAATTTTTTTCTCTTATTTTAAAGTTTACAAGAAACTACATTATTTAAAAGTTTTCTTGAAAATTTAAATAAAAAATTTATTTCCAGATAATAAGAATAGAACCAGTTTGAAAATAAATAGAAGTTGATATAGATAACAAAAAAATTGTACAAAATGTATATTTTTGGTTTCTTTTCATAAAAAAAAGAGAGAATCTAATATACAATTTGAAGAAGAAATATTGAGAAAAGAAGAAAAATGGAACATGTTTTTATTCATGTTGTTCGAGTTCTATATTGCATACATGCAGGAATTATAAAGAAGCCTTTGCACCGTCCACTTATGCAATTACATTGTTAAGGATACATTCTATAAGTTGATTCTATTAAATTTAATGCTGATCATATTTGCAATATACATATATATATGTATTCCGAATATCAAAGATCACAAAATATCTTTATCAAATTCTTTCGCTTACTATACACTTTTCAATAATTCGAATATTATCAGAAACATTTCTATTTAGAAACCAAATCGTAAACGAGAAATGCAATAAAAAGTCATTGCAGGGTTGCCACAAAAAATTAATTTTGTTTTTTTCCTGATTTCCAAACAAAATTAAAATTTTTTCCCTAAATCCTAAATATTATTCTGATTTACTCTAAAAATGATTAGATACTCAAAAAAAATTGTCTATTACATTTATTTACGAATTTCTTTAATTGTTAAATTAATCGAAAACATCAATAACTTATCTTTCATAAATAAATATTTTTAATCATTATAATTATTTCCAAAAAATTTAAGATTTTCAAAAATTTCAAATTCAGACCTTTTTAAAATTCAATAATTTATAAAAATATTGTTACAAAACATGAAGATATCGATCACTCCGAGTCTTCGACTCGGAGTAATCAATTTCTTCATGCTTTGTAATAATTTAAATATCCATAAAATTTTTCAGAAAAAATCAAATTATTTGCAAAAATTTTAATAAAATTCTTCGCAAGAATTCAATTATTTTTACAAATAGTAAAATTTCTCAAAAAAAAAAATCAATTATTTAAAAAAGTATAATAAAATTCATTATAAGAATTCAATTATTTTCATGAATAATTTAATTTTTCATCAGATTTCAATTATTTTTAAATTTTTAATACGATGTTAAAAGAATTCTTTGAAAAATGTAATTAATTTCAAATATTTGTTGAAAGAATTTTCAATTACATTTTACAAAAAATGAAATTCTTCGCTGAAATTCAAATATTTTCAAAATCTAATATTTTAATAAAAATTTCTCAAAAGAATTTAATTTTTTTAAATTTAATAAAATTCATTGCAAAAATTCAATATTTATTTTCATTTTTCATAAATAATAAAATTCTTCACAGGATTTCAATTATTATTTAAAAGAAATGTAAATTAAAATTCGGTGCAAGAATTCAATTATTTTCCTGAATAATAAAATTCTTAACAGGATTTCAATTATTTTCTAATTCAACTTTAAGTAAATTTTTCGAAAAATGTAATTGTTTTCAAAAATTTTATTAAAATTATTTTAATTTTTATTAAAAGAAATCAATTATCAATTATATTTAATAATTTTTACAATAGTTTCTTGAGAATTTTCAAATTTATTTATTTATAAATTAATTTTATGAAATTTTGATTATTTGGAAATTTTTCAATTAAATATATATTATAAAATAAAAACTTTAAATAATTTCAAAAAAATTTCAATTGAACTTTTTCAAACAAATTAATTCTACAGAATTGTTTAGTTAAAAGTGTGAAAAATTCAAATTTTCAATGATTTTAATTTAAAACCTTATTCCAAAATTCAATTGTTTTTAAAAATTTTTATTATCTAAAATTTTAACTGAAATTAATTTTTCAATCAATTTTTATTAGAAAATTTTACGAGAATTTAATTATTTTTAACTACAAAAATATATAATTTACTCAATAATTGAATGTTTTTGAAAAATAAAGTCTCATTAAAGAATTTTATAAACAAATAATAAATAATAAAATAAATAATTGAATTCTTTTGACGAATTTTAATAAAAAATTTTAAAAATAATTACATTTTTCAAATTTCAACGAAAATTTATAAAAATTTTAAAAACATAGTTGATTTTTTGAAAAAAATTTGATTACTTTTGAAAATAATTGAATTATAAAGAATTTTATAAACAAATTTTTAAATAATTAAATTCTTTCGACGATTTTTAATAAAATTGTATTAAAAATATAATTGAAATTCTGCGATGAGATTTATTATTTTTAAGAATAATTGAATTCCTAAAAAGAACTTTATTAAATTAGTAGATATTGAAAATCATTGAATTGAAGAAAATTTTTTAAAATAATTGAATTTCGGAGAAGAATTGTATAATGTTTAAAGATAATTGAAATGTTCACAAGTATTTTTAAATAATTTTTAACATTATTGAATTTCTGAGAAGAATTTTATTGTACTTTTAAAAATAATTGAATTTCTGGAATCATTTGTAACTTCTCGGAAATTCAATTTTTTCAATGTTTTTCAACTAAAACTCTTCTTTAAATTATTTTTAATAATTTTTGAAAAAGTACCTTGAGAATTTTCAAATCCAATTGTTTACAATTCATTTTTTATGAAATTTCGATTATTCGGAAATTCTTAAATTCAATATATTTTAGAAAATAAAAACTTGAAATAATTTAAAAAGAAATTCAATTCAACTTTTTTTTTTAAATTAATCCTACAGAATTTTTATAGTTAAATAGGTGAAAAATACAGATTCTCAAAAATTTTAATTTGAAACCCTTTCTAAATTCAATTATTTCTAATAATTCTCTGTAGTTTGCTTTTAATATTCAATTATTATATCTAAAATTTTGACTAAAATTCATTTTTAAATCAATTTTTACTAGAAAATTTTACGAGAATTCAATTATTTAAATACAAACATTAATAATAATTTATTAAATAATTGAATTTTCCTTAAACTTGAATTCACATAAAGAATTTTCGACAAATTTTAATAAAAGTTTTTACAATAATTACATTTTTCAAGAAATTCTATTAAAATTGTATTAAAAATAATTGAAATTCTGCGATGAGTTTTATTATTTATGAAAATAATTGACTCTTTAAAAAATTATTATTATATTTATGAAAATAATTTGAAATTTCGCCAAGAATTTTTATTCAAATGTTTGAAAATAATTGAATTTCGGAGAAGAATTTTGTTACTTTTAAAATTAATTGAAATTTTTACCAGTCTTTAAAAATTTTTGATCGTAATTGAATTTTTACGAAGAATTTTATCACTTTTGAAAGTAATTGAATTTCTGCAATCATTTGTAATTTTTCCAAAATTCAATTTTTCTTACTGTTTTTAATTAAAATTCTTCTATAAGTCCATTAGTTTTAATAATAATTTAATTAAATATATATTAAAAAATTTAACTAATTTCAGAAGAATTTGAATTATCAAAATTTTTTAAATATTTAAGTTTTTTCTAATTAAATTAATTCAAAATTGAAATCTTCTAAAATTTCAAATTGAAACCTTTTGAAGTTCATCTACTAATAAAAATTGTAAACTCAACTCTTTTAAAATTTAATTAATTTTGAAATATTGAAGTAAAATTATTCAATAAATAATTTATAAGTAATAATTTTATGATAGTTTTTGAAGAAATAAATTATTTAAAAAGTAATTTATTGTCAGAATTAGAAAAAATTGAAGTTTTTGCATTAAAATTCGTGGTAATTTTATAGTTTATGAGGCAGACAAAGAAGACACAAAAATTCAGAATTTTCTTATGAATTCTAAAGATTTATATTTTTCCAGAACTTTTAATAAAAATTCCTGACTTTTCCTTGATTTTCCTGACCAATTTTCTACTTTCCCTGAATTCCCTGACCTGTGGCAACTCTGCATTTGCGTAATTAGTCTTGTCTAACGTAATTTCAGAATTTAAATTGACAAATTAATGAATATTTGAAATGACAATCATCTTATCTACGTGAAATATTTATAAAGTTTAAAAAAACGAATCAATAATTGTCAAATGATGAAAAATTATTCATACTGAATCGCAATTTATAAAACATACATTGTATAGGGAAAGATCAATAGAAAAATATAAAAAGAATCAACAAGCAAGTGTCAAAAAACTAGTTTTCAATGACTTACTATCTCATTGATTAAACTGACAAGGCTTTAAACCGCAATGCTGATAACTTAATAGAACACGAAGTTTTGTATGAAAGTTGGGAAAAATTAAAATAATTTACTTTTTTTCGCTGTTATGTGCAGACTGAAAAAATGTTTATAAATAGTTAACAATGACTCATAAATATTGATATTTACATGTCTGAGTTTCATGTTTAAAAATAAGTTCTTTTTTAAATGTTCCCTTCGATTCTACATAGCTTTATCAATACAATTACTTATCCATTTATATCAACAAATAATGAACATTGACTTTGAAACTTTATTTACAAAAAAAAGAACGATAAAACACGATTGAAATATTATCAAAAAGCTGAAACTACGTTTAAATTGAATGATTACGAGTTTCTTTTTTATTGTTTACTTACAATTAATTTACAAACACTAAAAATGTGCGACATATAAAAACGAAACGAAAATATCAATGACGATATACTGAATATATACATATATAAGTGTCGCATGAATAAATTAAAAAAAAAAAGACGCGAACTTGCAGGTTAAAAATTGAAATTTTCAATAAACGAATGAAAATTTCAAGAAAGATAAATGATTTTGATTAAAAATGAAAAAATAATAGGCTTTAATTATTATTTATTAGTTAATGTCAACTGGAACAATCGTGAATCACCTGGCAAGAGTTGATGTGGATGAAGAAGTGTCAGTCATTTTTTTAATAAAGAAGCCCGTTCTTTGATTTCCTGAAATTTACATTTATTTTATTATCCACCATAGCAATTGTTCACTTGAAAATTACATAATGAGTAATCATTATCTCGATGACAGATGAACAGGTAAACACGAGGGCCGATCAACTATCGTATAAATTTTGCAGTTCGTTGATGGGGTTTTTTTTAACGAAACAATAATTTTCATACAAAGGCTTATTTTAAAATGACACTGGCTTTAAAATCCGAGACGAGAACTCGTGATGTTACACTTTCATAATTTACTGATGTGTTTATACAGCGTATCATTTAAGAAAATTGTAAATTAAATCAAAAATCACGTCAACATTCTTCACTCTTTTGCTAAAAGCAACGCACTGAAGTTGGTCAATAATATGAAGAGAACTGGCACCGGATCAACCACTAACTACAACTAATAGATGGGTTCTCTCCAATTTTCGAGAATTCGAAATAATTCGAAATAATTCGAAACATTCCAAACATTTCGAGAAAAAAAGAATAATCTTGGTGAGGAGAGAATTCTCTACCAGAATTTTTATATTTTTGGCTTATTAAATTTAATTGAAAGCAAGAAATTTTTATCTCGCGCAGGAAATGAGGGAAACGACAAGAAGAGTTTAACCGACTGGACGGCGGGAAATTTGAAAATGAAATAAAACAACCAATCAGGCATTTAATGTGTGGGTGTTGTTTTTAACCTGTCATTTGTCAAAAGACAGTAAACGTCACCTGATCATAACAATCGCATGAGAATGAAAGTGAAAACGCCCATAAATGGGCAAATGGAAAATTATTTTAAAAGTTAAAATGTAATTTTTCAGTTTTAAAGGATCAAGTCAGAGATTTATTCATTATTCTGGTTAAGATAAAAGTATGCGATATGTAAATATAATGAAACAACATGAAACAATGAATGTTAAATATGGAGTACCTGTTCTATTCATCAGCTGTGGAATTTTTGTATTATTATTAAATATCCTAGGAAATCGTACAAGTTTTAAGGAACCAAAACCATTTCACAGAAATGTCTCGAGAAAAGAAGGTAATATTTTTTTCTTTATAAAAATTACGACACTAATCAAATAAAACAATAAAATTCAATTTCGAATAATATAGGAGCAAGTTTTCAAAACCTGATAAATCCAAATTTTCTGATGACATTTCTTACATAACCATTAACAAAAAAAAACAAAATTATGCCATTTTGGTTACGTCAAAAAGTTTTTAAACTGAAAATTCTTTATTATAATAAATTATTTTAATATTTTCATTTATTCTACAGTAACAGGTCGATTTGTGCGATCCGTCGTTTATTTTATTCAAAATTGTCACAAAAATTTATTATTTTCTGACTTTTCCCTGATTTCCAAAATATTTTTAAAATTTTTCATTTGGCCAACAATAACTTAAATTCAAAGTTTTTATAAAATTCTATTATTTTCATATAAGCTTTTGGTATTTTTTTAAACATTTTTCTTTAAGTTATACTTTTAAAAATTGTAAGAACATTTTTTAAAAAACATAAATTTATTGAAAAATGTCTTGCTAATTGTTTTAAAATAAAAATTTTAATATTATTTAAATAAAAATGATTGTAAATAATTATTGAAAAGAAATTTTTAATAAAAGTTACAAAAAATTTTAATTTTCAAAAAAATTAATTTGAAATTTATTTATTTCTATTAATTTTTACTGTAATTATTCCAATATTCATTTATTTTCTAGAACTATAGCATTAGATACGCGAGCGTGCACATTCTAAGTAAATTATTGAAAGAATACAATTGATCATTAATTAAAACTATACAATTTATGTTCTCATTTATTTTTATTATTTAATTTGAAAAAATAATTAAAGAAAAATTAGTTAATTGTACAAAAACATTTATTATCATAGTACTTTTAATCTTTATGAATAAAGTCAGACTAATGTCAGTACAAACATAGCATAATAAACATTGTAATTATTAAATATTTATAATATAATATTTATAATAATAAAAGAAAATGTACAATTTCGATTTTTCAAACGAAATTTTTTAACGAAGCTTTTATTTTTTTTATAGAAAAATAATGAAAAAAATTTGCATAATTTCTCTTTCTCAATTAAAATTTTTAACAAAAAACCAAATATTCAAAACAGAGACTACACTAATTTTTTTCCCTTAACTTAAAAATTTGGTAACCAAATAATATGATTGACAAATCAATGTTATGAAAATTTTTTCCTTGCAATAAAAATCATTTAATCTTCACAGTTTTATTTTCAATTAAAAATTGTGATTGAATTTATAAAAAAAAAATCCTTCATTACTAAAAATACCTGCGATTTTGATAAAAGAAAAATTGTGGTGTAAAATAGATATTATATGTAAATTTTTTTCATTAATTTCTAAAAAAAATGATATTTTCATTAAAAATTCGGATTTAAAAATAGAAATTACACAAAAAAAATTGTTTTCCAAAAATTAACAATTATTTAATTTACGCCAACATTTCAATTTAATTATCTTTATAAATAAATAGCAAAATTCTTCGACAAAATTAAATTCTATTCACGAATTTTTATAAAATTCAATTACTTTCATAAATAACAATATTCATCACAAGAATTCAATTATTTTCAAAATTAATAAAATTCTTCGCAGAAATTCAATATTTTTCAAAAAATCTGAAAAAAAATTGTCAACATTTCAATTATCTTTATAAATAAATAGAAAAATTCGTCAACAAAATTCAATTCTATTCAGGAATTTTTATAAAATTCATTGTAAAATTCAATTATTTTCATAAATAACATAATTCATCACAAGAATTCAATTTATGTCAAAAATTTTAATAAATTCAATATTCATTTCAAAAATTTTTCTTAATTCAATACTTTGTATAGGTATCTATCATTTTAATAAAATTTTCCAAAAGAATTCAATTATTTAAAAACAATTTTAACAAAGTTTTACACAAATATTCAATTATTTTCTAAAATTATGAAAATTTCACAGTAATTCAATTATTAAAAATAGAATTTGCATACATTTTTTCGAATGAAACCAATTGTTTGAAAATTTTTTTTATAAAATACTTCGCAATAATTTAATTGTTTTCATAAATAATAAAACTCATTGCAGAATTTCAATTATTTTTAATACAATTTTAATTGAATTCCTCGAAAAATGTATGTTTTACATAATTGAATTCTAGTAGAATTTTCTAATAAAAATTGATTTAAAAATTAATTTTAGTGAAAGTTTTAGATAATAATTGAATTTTGGAGAAGTTACTAAGAATTACAATCTTTAAAAATAATTTTTGAAAATCTGAATTTTTCATAATATGTACTTTTAATCTAATGTATATATATTTATTTTGAAGAATTTTCGAATAATTGAAATTTTACGTAAAATTGAATTGTAAACAAATGGATTTAACAATTCTCAAAGAAGAACTTTCTCAAAAATTATTAAAAATTAAAAATTTTTAGAAAATAATTGAATTTAAATAATGAAAATAATTTTTAAGATGTTACAGTAACAATATTCTTATAAATTATAAAAATAATGATTTTATCACTCGATTATATTTAATTTTTATAAAACGCATAAAGAAAGCGATCACTCCGAGTCAAATGTTATTAAATTTCAAAAGGTTTGAATTAGAAATTTTGAAAATCTTAGTTCCCATGGAAAAATAATATTAAATATTTATTTACAAATGAAGTTATTGGTGTTTTTGAATAATTTTACGTTTAAAGAAATTCGTAAATAAAATTGTAATAGAACATTTTTTCGAGTATATCTAATAATTTTTTGAGTGAATATCGGAATATTTTTTAGGTTCAGGGAAAAAGTCAAAATTTTGCCTTAAAATCAGCGAAAAGTCAGGTAAAAGCAAAATTAAATTTTTATAGCAGCCCTGTAATAGTTAATAGTTAATTTTTAACTGAAATTATTTTTCTTTCTTTTTTGAAAATAGTTAAAAATGTCCAAAAAATCATTCTCTATCCGAGGCTTGTAAAATATTAAATTTCTATTCTCCCTATCTATTTGAAAAACGGATTTATCAGCTTCTGAATACTTGACTCTCATGTCTTCTATGTAACATTATAACTAATAAAACCCATTTTTTTTAAATCTTTATAGTTTCCAAAGGACTTTTGGATCTCAGAAACTTTACCTACGTAATTTCACCGAAATGTAAAGTCGTCAATTTAATTTGGATTGTCACCTCCTATGCGGGCGATATTTCCGAAAGAAGCGCCCTTCGTCGTGCCTATAACACCCAAGAACTCGAACAATTAGGAATTCAAAGAATTTTTCTACTTGGTAAATTAGACCAAAATTCAGAGAGAAAATCACAAATATCACAAGCCGCAATTGAAGATGAATCAAGAAAATTTCAAGACATACTGCAAGGCAATTTTTTCGAGGCTTACAGAAATTTGACCTATAAACATTTAATGGGATTAAAATGGATTGTCGAGAGTTGTGACGAAATTTCCTATATTATGAAAATGGACGATGACATTGTTATTAATTTATATGAAATTCTAAATGTGATGAAAGAGAAGAATATCAATAATTCAATAGCAGGATATGTTCTTGATAATATGAAACCAAAACGAGAGCCAGCTAATAAATGGTACGTCACCCAAGAGGAATTTGAACCAGAATTTTATCCAAAATTCATCTCTGGTTGGCTGTACGTAACAAGTTATCCGGTGGTTGTGAAATTAATAGAAAATTTGCAATTTTCATCGAAATATTTCTGGATTGACGACGTTTTTGTCACAGGATTGTTGAGAGAAGAGACTGACATTGAATTGATCGATATGCGAAATATATTTACCACTGATTTTGGTTTTTTGAAATGTTGCATTAAAAATGGAAGAAGAGGATTTAAATGTGAATTTGCCGTTGGTCCAAATGGCGGTGATGCGGAATTGCAAATTCGTTTTCAAGAATTTAGCAAAGTTTGTCAATCGAAGTGCAAACAGAAGTCAATTAAAAAGTCATGTGTTCTTGCCTATAAAGAGAAAAATCTAGGAGAAGGCAGTGCCCAAATCCGTCCTATAAATATTTTTTAATTTATTCTTATTATAATATATTGTTTTATTTTATTTACAATTTATCGTTTGTTTAAAAATAGAAATGTTTATATATGCTTTATTACTTCGTTGAATAGATTATTTGTTGATATAGGAATTATTTTAACATTTAACAAAGAATACATTTTTGTGTATTCAAAAAAGTAATTTTTTCTACATTAGGAAAATTAATTACAGATATATTAATAGATTCTATTATTAAATGTTAATGTGTTTAGAAACAAAGAAAGAAAAAATGTTTTTTTTTCTATATCGGAATAGTTACCTAATGCTTGCCATTTAATTATGTATTGCATTATAAAAATTTAAAGAGGTGTTTTATACCTGTTTTGTTACCATTTTTTACAAAAATAACGAAATAAATTTTATTTACAATAAAAAATTATTGGTCTTTTTAAAAATATTTTTCTGTTTTATATAATACAGGGTCAAGGAAGTCAGTGAAGAGTTAGAGAATTTTATTTGAATTTTGGAGAAGTTACAAATGATTAAAGAAATTTAATTATTTTCAAAAGTAATAAAATTCTTCGCAGAAATTCAATTATGTTTAAAAATTCAAAAAAATTCTCGTCAAAATTTCAATTATCTTTATAAATAATAAAATTCTTCTCCAAAATTTAATTATTTTCATAAATAATATAATTATTGTCAAAATTTCAATTATTGTCAAAAAATATTCGAAATTCAATTATTTTCAATATCTACTGTTTTAATAAAATTTCCCAAAAGAATTCAATCATTTAAAAAAAAATTTGATAAAATTCTACGCCAACATTTAATTACTTTCTTTCAATTATCTTTATAAATAATAAAATTCTTTCTCCAAAATTCAATTATTTTTCAAAAAAATTAATAAAATTTTCCAAAAGAATTCAATCATTTAAAAGAAAACGTAATAAAATTCAACGCAAACAATTAATTATTTTCATAAATAATAAAAATTTCACAGGAATTCAATTATTTACATATATTTTTTACTCATTGCAGAATTTCAATTATTTTTAATGCAATTTTCATCAAATTCCTCGAAAAATGTAATTATTCTTAAAAATTTTATTAAAATTCGTTAAAAGAATTCAATTATATGTTCATAAATAATAAAATTGAATTTTGGAGAAGTTAAAATTCTTCGAAAGAATTCAATTATTTTGATAAAAATATTAAAATTCTTCCCCAGAAATTAAATTATTTTCAGGAGTTTTGATAAAATTCTTGGCGAAATTTCAATTATTTTCATAAATAATAATATTCATTGCAGAAATTCAATTATTTGCAAAAATTTTAATAAAATTCTTGTCAAAATTCCAATTACTTCGAAAAATTTTCCTCAATTCAATGATTTTTAATATATTTACTGTTTTAATAAAATTTTCTAAAATAATTCAATTATTTTCATAAATAATAAAAATTTCACAGGAATTCAATTATTTAAAAAGAAATTGGCATACTTTTTTTCAAAAAAAATCAATTATTTAAAATTTTGTTTATAAAATTCTACGCAATAATTCAATTCCTTTAATAAATAATAAAAATTTAACAGAAATTCAATTATTGAAAAAAAAATTGGCACAAATTTTTTCGAAAAAAATCAATTATTTAAAAATTTTTATATAAAGTTTTACGCAATTATTCAATTATTTTAATAAATAATAAACTTTTTCGCATAATTTAAATTATTTTTTATACAATTTTAATTTTTAATCAAATTCCTCGAAAAATGTAAATATTCTTGAAATTGTTATTAAAATTCGTCGAATGAATTGAATTATGTTCAAAATTTTTTAAAAATTCTCGTCGAAATGTCAATTATCTTTATAAATAATAAAATTCTTCTTTAACATTCAATTATTTAAAAAGAATTTAATAAAATTCTGCACAAACATTTAATTATTTTCATAAATAATAAAAATTTCCCAGGAATTTCATTATTTACAAATTTTTTATAAATTTCTTCCCGATAATTCCATTATTTTCATACATAATAAAAATTTCCCAGGAATTTCATTATTTACAAATTTTTTATAAATTTCTTCCCGATAATTCCATTATTTTCATAAATAATAAAATTCTTTATAAGAATTCAATTTTAAGAAACATTCAATTATTCAATAAACTATTTACTTTTACATATATTTAAAAAATTGAATTCTCGTGGAATTTTCAAATAAAAAATTGATTTAAAAATGAATTTCAGTTGGAATTTGAAATAATAATTGAATAATTTAATCATTGTTGCATGAATTATTAGAAATAATTATGTATTTTGAAAAGGTTTCAAATTAAAATCTTTGAAAATCGGAATTTTTCATACTTTTAACTAAAAATTCTGTATAGAAATAATTTTTTTTATAAAGTTTAATTGAATTTTTTATGAAATTTGAAATTTTCGGAAAGGTTCGAATTTGAAATTTTTTAAAATCTTAATTTGCCGTAGAAAAATAATAATGATGAAATATTTATTTAAAATAAAACTATTGATGTTTTTGAATCTTTTTTAAAAATCTGTTTTAGAATGAATCACTATTAAAAAAAAAAAAATTAATCAAACAGCTGAATGGCTGATTATTATTATTTATTTATATTTAAGAAATACAAAATATGGAAAACAAATTTTATCAAACAATTATTAAACAAGGACTAAAACAAATGATAAATTTCAATGACAACAAGTTTGTAATTTACTTTTAGACTTGAGTTGAATTTTTCCATTTCACTCATCTGAAAATGTGGAAATATAAGTATCGAAACGAAGTGAATACAAAATCTTTAATTATCACGCTTCTTAGTACCACGTGTTGTGGAGTTCTTCTGATAATTCTTGTGAGTGTATTTAGAAATCCACTCAATTTTCCTAAATCGAATGATGCCCATCAACCAAATTCCACAGTAAATTATAAAAGTAAAATATTTTTCTCAATGCTTATAATAAAAAGGGAAAAAATAAATTAATGTTAACTATATAAATTAACTATTTTACTATAATTAATTAACTATAATATTAATTATAATAATTTGATAATTCTGTCTTTCATTCATTCATTCTATCCTCAGTTTGAAGTTAGTTTTTTTGCTTCTGTTTCAAAAACACTTTGACAAATGGAAATTATATAGTTTTTCGATTTGTCAATCACAATTTTTAATTGAGTATGAAATTGAAAATTTTAAAAGATTTTTATAAAATAAAAGTAAAAAAATTTTCATAATTTTGATTTGTTAATCATATTTTTTGGCTTTAATATTTTTAGTATTTTTTTTGCATAGTTTCTATTTTTTATCAAAACTTTTCCCTTATTTCCAGACAAAATTTTCACTTTTTCCTTGACCTTGAAGAACATCAATAACTTCTTTTTTAAATAAATATTTCATCATTATTATTTTTCTATAGGAATTAAGATTCTTAAATTCAATGACATATAATAAATTTAAGATGCCAGAGTGATAAATTCATTATTTCTTATCATAAGAATATTGTAACTATAAATTCAAATTTTCAAAGATTTTAATTTTAACCCTTTTCAAAATTTAATTATTTCTAAAAATTCACGCTATAATGATTTTAATAGCAATTATATTTCAAATATATTCTAAAATTCCAACTGAAATTCATTTTTAAATCAATTTTTTATTTAAAAATTCCACGAGAATTCAATTATTTAAATACAAAAATTAATATTTTATTCAATAATTGCATGTTTCTGAAAATTGAATTTTTATGAAGAATTTTATCAAAATTTTTAATAACAATTGAATTCTTTCGACAAATTTAAAAAAAGATTGTAAAAATAAATTCAATTTTCTATCATTTTATTTAAAATTGTATAAAAAATAATTGAAATTCTGCGATAAGTTTTGTTATTTATGAAAATAATTGAATTCTTGCAACGAATTTGATTAAAAATTTTTTTAAAGAATTAAATTACTGTGAAGAATTTTATTTGTGAAAATAATTGAATTCCGGAGAAAAATATTATTATTTATGAAAATAATTAATTTCTTGTGAAGAATTTTATTCAATTTTTTTTTAAATAGTTGCATTTTTCAGAATTTTTTAAAACTTTTTAAAAATAATTTTAATTAAATTCCATTAAAAACTTGAAAATACTTGAAATCTGACAAATAATTAAAAAAAAATTTTCTTTTTAATAATTGAATTCCTGTGAAAATGTTTATTTTTGAAAAGAATTTTATTAAAATTTCTTAAGTAATTAAATTGCTTCGAAGAGAATTTTTATTTTTTACGAAAATAATTGAATTGTTTCGAAAATTTTTACAAAGATTTTTCCAATAATTGTATTCCTAGGAAGAATATTGTATTTTACAAAAATAATTATATGACTAATTTTATTATAATTTTTCAAATTTATAAAGCATTTTTTCAAAATTTTTTTAAATAATTCAATTCCGGAGAAAAATATTATTATTTATGAAAATAATTGATTTCTAGCGAAGAATTTTATTCAATTTTTTTTTAATAATTGAATTCCCATAAAAAAAATGTATTATCTATGAAAATAATTGAATTCTTAAGAAGAATTGCATTGAAAATAATTGAATTGTATAGGAAAATTTTATTAACTATATCTTGTAAAGAATTTTGTCAAAATTTTTTAAAATAATAGAACTTTTAAAATAATTTTATTTAAATTTTTTGAAATAATTGAATTTCTTAGAACTAATTTTTTCAATTCTCTGAATTGAAAAATTAAAAATAATTGAATTGGTGCGAAGAAATTTATAAAAAATTGGTAACTGGTAAGTAATTGAATTCCTGTTAAATTTATTAAAATTTTGTTTAAATAATAGAATTCTTTTGGAAAATTTTATTAAATTAGTAGATATTAAAAATAATTACACAAAAATTCAGAATTTTCTTATAAATTCTAAAGATTTAATTTTATCCAGTACTTTTAATAAAAATCCCTGACTTTTTCCTGACTTGTGGCAACCCTGTCATAAAATAGAAAATCATCAAACTTTTTTCTTTATTTTTAATGAAAACTGAATATTGTTAAAAAATTGTTATTGAGAACGAGAAATTATGCAATTTTTTTTTCTTTTTTCCAAAAAAAAATTATAATCTTGTAATAATGTATAAAAAGAATAATTGAACCGCCGGATCGTAGAAGGGCATATAGCCAATGTAATTCAAATGGGCTATATGCCCTTCTACGATCCGGCGGTTCAATTGACAGTTCAAGATCATGCAAATTTTTTTTCAATTTTTCTAAAAATAAATAAAAGTTTTGTTTGACAAATCGAAATTATGCAGATTTTTTTTCTTTACTTCTAAACAAAAGTAGAGAATTGTCAGCAATTATATAGGAATAGAAAATTTACCCATTTTCCATTATTTCTGTTTATCAATCACAATTTTATTCACAAAATTATCATTTTGTTTTAGAAAAAGAAAAAAAAATATTTGCATACTTAATATTCTTATTTTTAAATCACATTTTTTATACAAAATTCTGTTTTTTTCTTTTTTTTTAAAAAAAAAAGGAAATAATTTGCACCATTTCTATTTCTCAATTACAATACTTTTAAACAAAATTCAAAGCTTCCTTAGAAATAAAAGAACAGATTGTTTATAATCTCGATTAATCACATGATTTAACAAAATTTAAAGTATTTTAAAAAAAAAAGTAAAACCTTGAGAATTTATATTTTTAAATCACGATTTGTTATCAAAATTTTGATTTTTTCAGCCGCAAATAAAAAATTTGGTATAAGACTGATTTTATTCGTAAAGATTAAAAATAATGTGATAATAAATGTTTTTGTACAATTAACTAATTTTTTCCTTAATTATTGTTTTAAAATTAATAATCAAAAAGATAAAGTTAAGTAAATTTCCAAACCTTGTAATTTAAATCTCTTTTCTTTGCAGACACCAGCACACTATTGGATATTAAAAACTTCACGTACAACATTTTCCCAAAATGCAATGCCTCAATGTTGATTTGGATCGTAATTTCCTACGCAGGTGATTACGAAACTAGATATTCCCTTCGTCGTGCCTACAACTCTCAGGAACTCGATAAACTTGGAATTCAAAGAGTATTTTTACTCGGCAAATTTAAAGCCTTCTCGCAAATTAAATTGAATCACATTGAAGATGACGTGGAAAATGAAGCTCGTGATTTTCAAGACATTCTCCAAGGGAATTTTTTCGAAACTTATCATCATTTGACTTATAAGCACGTCATGGGTTTAAAATGGATTGTTGAAAATTGTCACAATATTCCCTATATCATGAAAATGGACGATGACATTGTCATAAATTTGTATGAAGTCTTGAATAATCTGAAAAAAACAAATATTAATAATTCAATAGCTGGAAAAGTAATGAGTTCGAAAAAAGGTACTAATGATATTTTAGAGAAAACAAACATTACCGATAATTATCCTCAATTCGTCTCTGGTTGGTTGTACTTGACAAGTTATAATGTTGCACTGAAATTAATGAATCAATTGAAACCGCATTCGACTTTTTTCTCACTTGACGATATTTTCGTGACTGGAATCTTGAGGGAGGAGACTAACGTCGAATTGGTTGATTTAAGTTCAATGTTTACATTTGAATATGAATATTTGAAGTGCTGCATTGAATTGGGCAAACAAGGAGTTCAGTGTGAATTCGCCATTGGTCCAAGTAATGACGACAATCAAATTCAAATGCAATTTAAACACTATTCTGATTATTGTCGACAAACAAAGTGTCGAATTCGGACAAAAAGTGAGCCATTCAGCAAAAACTGTCTCTAGATTCAGAACTGTTACGAAATTTTATTTTCTATTTTCATGATTTCTAGATTTTTTAAAAAAAATTTTCACTTATTTTATAATTACTTAAACTCTAAGTTTTTGAAAAAATTCAGTTATTTTCGAATAATTTTTGTTATATTCTTTAACATTTTTCCTTCAAAACTCAAATATTTTCTAGAATATTTAACTAAAATTCTTCTCTAAAAATCATTGAAAACAATTATTGTTGAAAATAATTCTTTTTAATAATTTTGAGAAAGTTCTTAAAATTTGACTAAAATTCAATTCTTTTCAATTCAATATTAGGAAATTTCGATTATTCGAAAGTTTCTTAATTTATTAACGTAAATTCAAAATTTCAACTAATTTCAAAAAAATTTTAACTAGAATTTCTAAGAAATATTTCTTTTTTAGAATTTTTTTCAGAATTTTTAATTAAAGTTGATCAAGATTCAAAATTTTTTAAAATTTTAGTTTGAAACCTCTTCAAATTTAATTATTTCTAAAAATTGTTATACTCTTGAAATAATTTCAATTTTCTTCTAGAATTTTTAACATTTTTTTCAAAATCAGTTATTATTTTTAATAATTTTCAGAAAGTTTTTGAAAATTCAATATTTAAATAGAAAAATTCAATATTTTTAGAAAAATTGAAAACTTGCTTTTTATAAGTTTTTAAGATAAAAAAAAATTAAAGACAATTCACTACTTTCAAAGGACACAAAAAATACGAATTTTTGTAGTTTTTCTAGAAATTTGATATTTTTACTTTATTTTTTATTAAATTCTCTAACTTCTCTAATTATTTTGACCTGCAGCAATTCTGTTATTTTGAAAATTAAAAAAAAATACAAAAACAAAGGTACCTAACTCAAAAATAAAATTTGAAAAATATTTAAAACTTAATTTTTTAAATTTTATTTTCTTGGAATTTTCAATTTAAAACTTTCTGAAAATAATCATTTCTAAAAATTGATAATATAATTCTCAAAAATTTAATTAGTTTCAAGAATTTTTATCTAAAATTCTATAAATTCATTTTCTTTAATTAATTTGGGAAAACTGTTCTAGGGTTTATTTAAGAACAAGAAATTTCACTTAAAATTTGACGAAAATTCAATTGTTTTTAATTCTATATCATTAAAAAATATCGATTATTCAGAAGTTTTTTAATTAAAGTATTTATATTCGAAAAATCAACTAATTTCAAAAAAACTTTGAACGAAAATTATTCAGAAAACTAAGTTCTTTAAATTTTTGTATCAAAGTTACTCAAAATTCAAATTTTCAAAAATTTCCATCTGAGACCTTTAGAAATTTAAAGTTTTCTAATTTAAAAACTCTTTCAAATTTTTATTTTTAACAATTTTTAACTAGATAAAATTCTTCTCTAAAATTAATTTTTTTTTAATAATTTTTAGAAAATTATTCGAAAAATCAATTATGAAAATACAAAAATACAATTTTTTTAATAAAAATTTTAAACTGTAACTCTTCGTGGTTTTTTAAAAAATTTTAAGTTAAAAAAATATTTAACAACTATTTAAGTTTCTAGTATTTTCAAATTACATCAAAAACCAGAATTTTTGCAGTGTTTCTAAGAAATTTTATATTTTTCCTTCACTTTGGATAAAATTTAGTAACTTCAATGATTTTTCTGAGCTGCGGAAACTCACTTATTGTCAAAATTCATAAAAATGTAAAAACAAGTCTAACTTAAAAATAATTTTTGAAAAATATTCGAAACTAAATTTTCCAAATTTATTTTAATGAATTGTAATCTCACCTTTTACACGGAGGGAGAATTTATATTAAATTTTGTAAAAGTATTTTGCAAATTAGGGAAAAGTGCGACAAAGCAAAATTTTGATATAAAAAATACTAAAGTTTAAAAAAACTTATGTGAAATTTAGTATAATTATACCAAATATCAAGAATATTAATTAAATTCTGATAATTATAATTTTACTAAATTTCATAAAAGTTTGTTTAAAGTTTATTATTTCTTATATCAAAATTTCGCTTTTTTGCACTTGTTCCCTAATTTGAAAAATACTTTTACAAAATTTAATATATATATTCTCTCTCCGTGTAGACAAAAAATTTGTTTTATACGTTAAAAGATTTGCAAAATCTCTCTACAGACAAAGATTTGACTATAGTTCTTTTTCACACAATAAAAATCGAATTAAGTTGCATTTCATACCAAAAAAGTGGCATTTTTTTACAACATTTAGAAAAAAGTCCGTAAAGTCGCATTTTATCAAAGTAAGTCGAAAAAGTCGCATTTTTTTGAAAATTAATAAAGTCGCTGTTTTTGAAAGTACTCGAAAAAAATTACTTACATTCCGAGGTCTGGAAATATCGTAATCTCAATAAACAAATTTCTCTTAAGTTTTATAATTTATTTTCAATTCAAAACGAAAAAAAAAATTCAAAAATGAAAAGCTTAATTAACATGAAATATATCGTTGATGAAAAGCATATTAAACGAAACTTATTAATCTAATGCAAAAATAATATATAAGTAGAAGAACTACTCATGAAAACAAAATTCTTCTGATTCATGTATTCTTTCTTTTCTCTACGAAAGTCTTGTTTTTTTAATATTTACTACCTTAAGATGCAAATTTAAATTACTATTTACATTTTCATAGTTTCTAAGTTATGGTATTTAAAACAAATTTTCTTCAATCATGTATTTGTTTATATTTGTTTAGTATCGAAAAATAGAATGGACTTTCGTATTTACATAAATAGAACAAGCGTAAGTTTCTTTCTGTCAAAGAAGAAACGTTTTCTCTTTTTTCTCTTTTTTTTCTTTTTCTTTTTCTTTTTCTTTTATAAATTTGACCTTTTTTTCTTGAGTACTTTAAAACTAGCCGCTAAACATAAATGATCACTTCCAACAGCGAAATTTGGTATTGTTGGCAAATCATTACACTGTTCAACAGTTGGCAAACTCAATATTCCTAAAGGTTCAAGACCAGAGAAAAATATGTAATCGACGGTTATCCAATTATTTTGATGTGTCGTAGCTTCTGGATATCCATGACGATTCTTATGCTTATAAGCGCTACGAAATTTAAATGGATGCGTTAATGTGCCGGAAGAAAATTTCACATGATTATTTTCATCTAATTGAATTTGTTGATACTGATTTGTAAATGTGTTTACGCTAACGTCTTCAGCGATTATCTCTTCTGTTGAATGTCTACGAATATTTTTGTGGTTCTCTCTATTCTCCAACTAAAACATATTACATTAATGCTTTTTTTCTGCAATTTTGCGATTGTATATTTTAAATTTAATTTGATTCGAATTTTTTGTACCAAAACTAATTGGCTAGCAATTGACAAAATTATAGAAACATTAAGTTCATATTTCTATTTTGAAACACTAAGAGATGTTTGTCATTTAGAATCGAAAATTTCTATTCTACATTACTGAGACGTAAAAAACAGATACAAATTCAAATTTTCATTTTCAAAGAGGGACATTGATTAAATTTCAAAAATTCAACAATATTTTTTAAGCTAAAAATCATTGTCCAATAACACGGTCGCCACAAAAATTTAATTTTGTTTTTCTCTGACTTTTCCCTGAATTCAAGACAAAATTTTGACTTTTTTCCTGACCCTAAAGAATATTCTGATTCACACTAAAATTATTCCAAAACATTCTTTTTAAATAAATATTTAATCATTATTATTCTATAGGAATTAAGATTTTCAAAAAATTACAAATTCAAACCTTTTTGAAATTCAACAACTCATAATAATTTAAATATTCATAAAATTTTTCAGAAAAAAACAAATTATTTACAAAAATTTTAATAAAATTCTTCGCAAGAATTAAATTATTTTTACAAGTAATAAATTTTTCGAAAAATGTAATTAATTTCAAAAATTTGTTGCAAGAATTCAATTACATTTTACAAATAATGAAATTCTTCGCTGAAAATCAAAAATTTTCAAAATCTACTATTTTAATAAAATTTCTCAAAAGAATTCAATTTAAAAGAAATGTAATAAAATTCGTTACAAGAATTCAATATTATTTTCATATAAAATAAAATTCTTCACAAGGATTTCAATTATTTAAAGGAAATGTAATAAAATTCGTTGCAAGAATTTAATTATTTAAAAGAAATGTAAAAAATTCGTTGGAAGAATTCAATTATTTTACTAAATTTAATAAAATTCTTCACAGGATTTCAATTATATTTAATAGAATTTTAAGTAAATTCTTCGAAAAATGTAATTGTTTTTAAAAATTTTATTAATGATTCTTGAGAATTTTCAAATTCATTTGTTTACAATTCAATTTTATGAAATTTTGATTATTTGGAAATTTTTCAATTAAATTCATATTATAAAATAAAAACTTCAAATAATTTTTTTTAAAAATTCAATTAAACTTATTAAAAAAGTCAATTCTACAAAATTGTTAGTTTTCAATTCAATTATTTCTAAAAATTCACGATATAACGCTTCTAATATTAATGAAATTCATTTTTAAATCAATTTTTATCAGAAAATTCTACGAGAATTCAATTATTTATCTACAAAAATAAAAAAGTTATTGAATAAATGTATTTTTCCTAAAATAGAATTCTCATAGAGAATTTTATCAACAAATTTTTTCGACAAATTTTAATAAAAATTTCAAAAAAATTACATTTTTCGAGAAATTTGTTTAAAATTTTAAGAAAAATAATTGAAATTCTGCGATGAAATTTTTTATTTATAAAAATAATTGAATCACTGTAAAAAAATTTATTATTTATGAAAATAGTGGAATTATTGCGAAGAAATTTATAAAAAAAATTTGTAAATAATTGAATTACAGTGACATTTTTATTATTTATGAAAATAATTAAATGTTTGCGCAGTATTTTATCAAAATTTTTTTTAAATAATTGAACTCTTTTGGGAAATTTTATTAAAATAGTAGATATTAGAAATCATTGAATTGAGGAAAATCTCTGAAATTTTGGGTTGAATATTATTAAAATTTTTTTAGTTAATTGAATTTCGGAGGAAAATTTTATTATTTAAAAAGATTATTAAAGTTTAGACAAGAATTTAAAAAAAGGAATTGAAAATAATTGAAATTTTGCATAGAATTTTATTAAGATTTTTTTAATTGAATTTCGGAGAAGAATTTTATTACTTTTGAAAATAATTGAATGTCTCCAATTATTTGTAACTTCTTAGAAATGCAATTTTTTTTTTAGTGTTTTCAACTTAAATTCTTGTATAAATCCATTATTTTTATAATTATTTAAATATATATTAACAAATTTATTTAATTTCAGAAGAATTTGAATTATTGCAATTTTTCAAAAATCTAAGTTTATAAAATTTATAATTAAATTAATTAAAAATTGAAATTATATTAAATTTCAAACTAAAACCTTTTGAAGTTCATCTATTTATGTATTAACATTGAAATCGCAACTCTTTTAAAATTGAATTAATTTTGAAATATTTAAGTATTTATTATTTATTTTATTGGATTCATATGTTTGACCTTTCGTCCTTTTACTGAAATATTTAAGTAAAATTATTCATTAAATAATTGCTAAGTAATAATTTTATGATAGTTAATAAAGTTATTTGAAAAAATAAATTATTGTCAGAAATAGAAAAATAGAAGGTTTTCTATTAGAATTCGTGGTAGGTAATTTCCTAATTTATAAGGCAAACAAAAAAGACACTAAAATAAAAAATTTTCTTAGAAATTCTAAAAATTAAATTTTTTCTAGTACTTTTAATAAAAATCCCTGACTTTCACCTTTCACCCTGAATAAATACAAAATTAAAAAGTTTTAAATCACATTTTTTTTAGGAATGTTATCGTAATCTTTATACAAATACGAAATAGTTGCAAGAAATTGAAATTTTAAATCCTTTTTTTATTTAGAAGTCGAGAATTCTAAAACTTTGAAATTTGCGTAATTCAAGTCTATGTCGAAATCTATTTTAAATTTTCAAAAACGAATTGTAAGATTTTTAATAAATTGACCTTATATAAAATAAAAGAAGAAAAAATTTCACTTAGTTTAAAATTTTTCAAATGTCTTTGAAATTTTAAATATTTTTTTTAAAAATGTAATTTGGAACATTTTTTATTCACGTGGTAATTTATAGTATAATATTTTAAATTTTGCAAATTTGCATTATTTTTAAATTACTGATTCTAAACTTCATTTACACAAATTTTTTAAAATATTCATTTCTTAGAAAAACTGTTCGCGACAGAAATTAAAAAAGTCTAGTACTTTCCAACTACTTTTCAATTTTTAATAAAAATTAGAATTTCAATTTTCAAAAAGGTTGATTCTTAAAATTTGAATGTTTAAAAATCCATGTCAAATTCAGTTTTTTCAAATCGTGAATAAATTCACGTTACTCTCAAAATTTTCCAAGGTTCGTTGTCTATTCTATTAGTTAATATTTAAAATTTTCGGAAAATATTCAAATTTTAATTAATTGTTGGCTTAAAAAATAGTAGTAGAAGAATAAAAAAAAAGAATAATTAACCATGATAACGAAGAGTATTAGTTTTTGTCCGAAATAAAATGTTTTTCATGCGAGAATAAAATAAATAGAAATTACCATAACTTGACCTCGTCCACCGCCTCGTAACCTCTGAAGGAGAACATTAAAATGCTGACAATCATCCGTGATATGCAAACTTGGAGGTAACAGTACATTCGACAAATATCGATAGTCCTGCGGTTCCAAATTCCTCCCTTTATTCTGATACGTGAATAAACCCTGAGTTATGAATTTATACACCCCAGTGTGCGGCTCCAGATTAAAATCTCCACAGAGAATGATTGGAAGATACTTTGGACCTGTCCTGTTAAAAGTTTAGGCAAACAAAAAAAGAAAGTGGTAACTGCCCATGAATTGCAATTATTATAGATGAAGACCAATTTTTTTCTTTAGTTATAGTTATTTTTTTTTTAATTTGTTTTCAAAGTACCCTCACATAGTGTTTTCGATGAAAGCGATCCTTTCAATCTCAGTTAAGAGAACTTGCACCTGACCGAGACGTACGTCGCTTCTCCTTGGATTGTACAATAAATGTGTCGTGGCTATGACAAATTGCGTCTCTGGACTGTCCTTAAGGGCGAATTTCACGATAATACCAACATTGTCTCTGTTTAATAATTCAACTTCAGACTGGAACATTTCCACTTTTGTGTAGTCAACAACTGTTAAATTTTCTGTACGATACATTAATAGTAGTCCGTCATCTTTGTCATTTGTACGTTTTTTGTAGAAATAATCGTAGCCCTGCTCCTTGAATGGCACAAGGAAATCATCCAAGTGGTCTTCCTGCATTTCCTGCAGACATATCACCTGTGAATTCAACACAAAATTCGTTAATAATTCAATTTAATGAATAATTCGTTACATAAAAAGTATATTCAAAATACAAAGAAAGTAGAAAAAGTCGTTTATTTTTCAGTTTATTTTTTATTAAATGTTCAGGATTGCCACGCTTTTGCTCATTTTAAATTCCCTGACTTTTACAGGTTTTCCAGGTTAAAAAACGTAATTTTTCCAGGTTTTTAAAACTACATTTGTTGCCAATAAAAATTTAATTTTCTTTTTCCCTGACAAAATTAAATTCCAGACAAAATTCTTACTTCTTGACTCTAAAGAATATTCTCAATCAGTTTAAAAATTATTACTCATTATTCAAAAATAATTTTTGAAAGATTTTTCTATATTTTTTATTTATACCTACTATAAAAATCGGAAAAAAATAAAACTTCAAAACTTAATTATTTTCTAGAATTTTTAACTAAACTTCTTCTCTAAATCAATTATTTTAATAATTTTCCGAACGTTCTTTGAGAATTCAATTATTTTAATTTAAAAATTTAATTAATTATAATAATTGTAACTGCAAATCTTGATGGTATTTTTTAAAAATTATTAAAGTCAATTATTGAAAATATGTAAACGAAAATAAATGATTCACAAATTCCGAACGTTCAAGTAAATAAAAGTTTTTGACGATATAATGTTCTAAAAATACTGAACAAAATATTTTTTAGTTCAGATATTTTCAAAAATTACTAATTGAAGTAAAAATTCAAAACATAAATTAAACATTTAAAAAATTCAGAATTTATTTTACTCAAAGTAAAATGAATTCGATCAATTGAAGATAGACAAAACATAAACATATTAGGAAGGGAATTTTTAATTTATATTCATAATTTATTCTTTTTGTACATGATGCATTATTAATGTAATAAAATTTGAATTTGAGGAAATAATAAATAAATTTCGCACATTTGAACGTTCAGAATTTTAGAGACTAGAAAATATTGAAAATAATTGATGTTTTTAAAATTATAATAAAAGAATTCTTAAAATTTGTTGTTTAAGAATTTAAAAATTTTAAAAAAATGTTAAAAAGTCAAGTTTTTGAAGAATGTTAATTACAAATAATGAAAATAAATTGATTGAAATAAATAAATAAATAAAATACATGACTTCTCCAGTTTAAAAAGTATATTATTTAAAAAAAATTTTAATTTACTTTTTTGAAGATAACTGAATTTTTAAAAATTCTAATAATTATAGTTTTTTAAATTATTTTAATGTACTTAATATTACGAAAATAATAATTGAATTTCGAAAAAAAACTTTTAGGCAATTTAAATAATTAATCAATTTTCTGAAAAATTGTAATTAAAAATTTTTATAATTCTAAAATGATAGTTCTTTGTTTTGAAAAAATTTGAATGTAATTATTTTTCTTCGCATATTGAATTTTTGGAAATATGTAGTTGAAAAAATTGAAAGTAATTTAGAACTAAAATTTTTTAGAATATAAGATTATTTTCAAAATTTGCAATTAAAATTCTACAAAACTTGATTTTTAAAAATCTTAACTAAATGCTTACAAAAAAAAAACAATTATGTTCAAAATATTTTTACAAAATTTCAAATACTTAAAAGAAATTTTTTCTAAAAATAAAAAGTAAACAAAAATTTTAAATGCCGACTCTTGAGAAATTTTTAAAAGAAAACTTTACGCGTCTATTAATAAAGATTTCTTACAAAAATTATATTTTTGGGTGATGGAGAAAATAAAGTATTTTTACATCTTTGCAACTTACATTCGCTTCTGCTTGAAGAATTTCTTGGGTTATTATTGGTTTTCTAACTTTCCACGGTAATGCTGCTATATCGTGATATTTATATAAATAAGGATGAAGTTCCAGGAGACTTTGTGCGAGAATATTAAAGGACATCAATCTCAATACAAACGCTTCATTTGGATCCACTTCTTGCTTCACTGAAATTTTTAAAAACAGATTTTCAATATTTTCTTTTAATTAAAGTCATTTTAAAAAATAATTTAATTTGAAAACAAATTTAAATTTATAGAACAACTTCAGAATTGACACAAAAATTTTATTTTGTTTTTCCCTGATTTTCAGACAGAATTTTGACTTTCCTTCTCATTCTAAAGAATATTCTGATTTACTCTTAAAATTATTAAATAAAGAAGCTAATAAATTTATTTTTGAATATCTTTATTACAAAATTATTCGAAACATGAATAACTTTTTTTAAAAATTTTATTAATCTTTATTCTTTTTTCACAGGAATTAAGATTTTCATGTTAAAAAATTTATAAACGTTCAAATGAATAAAAATTCGCTTAAAATATTTTCAAAAATTGACGATTGCTTTAAAAATTGAAAAAGGAATTAAAATATTTTAAAAGTTTACAAATTAATTTTTAATGTGTGCAACAATGTTACATTTAATTTCGTTCGAAATTAAATAGAAAATATATTTAGAAAATATATTTTTCTATTTAAACGTTGACATATTTTAGCATAAAAAACATTTTGCATAATTTTTGGATCAATAATTTGGAAAAAAATTGTTTTTGGCAAGAAAAATATTTTTTCTTTTTCAATCTTTGATCATAAATATTGTGAACTTAATTGATGTGACTTTAGGAAACTATATTTTTTAAAATATTTCAAATTTAAAACCTACTGAAATTCAATTATTTATCAAAATTGGTAACGCAACTCTTTTAAAATTTGATAATTTTATAAAAGTTCATTTAGAATTAAGTTATTTAAAATAAATTTAATTTTTTATTCTGTAAAGTTCAATTATTGACAGAAATAGAAAAAAATTTATGGTTTTGTATTAAAATTCGTGGTAATTTCATAATTTATGAGGTGAACTAAAAAAATTCAAGAAGAATTCCATTTTTTTGTGTTCAAAAATTTCCAGACACCATAAATATGAATTTTTTTTATAGTTCTTCAAATTTAATGTTTTTTTCAGTACTTTTGTTAAAATTGTAATTTTTCCCTGATTTCATTGTCCAATTTTTCTTTCTCTGAATTTTCAGATCTATGGCAACCTTGAACTCATAATTTAAAATTTTCAAAAAGAAATTTCTTGTATTCTTTAAACACTTTTATTATAATAAAAAAGCAAGTAATAAAAAGAAAAAAAAACTCACGTTTGCCAAATCTCTTCCACTTTCGCATCGTTTTATACCTCTGCATATCTTTTGTGCGTTTATTCCCCAAATTTCCATCTTGCTCAGCTGTCTTGGTCAAATCCATATTTTGTGTAAACATTGAACTAATGCTTTCATTTGATGTTCCAACGCTTGAGCAACTCTCAAAGGAAAAATCATAATTCGACGCTGGTGGAACTTCTTTTGGTATGTAACATAAATCCAAATATGGTTCCATTAAGGATTTGTTCAATTCCTGATGATGACTTCCTGGACTTGCAATTGTGTCCACTAAATTGACATAGGTCGAGTACAACGCCTCCGGTACGGATGCACTCTTCCGCAAATTTTTGATAAATAAATGTTTCAATGGCACCTCCGTCATGTGAACGATCTAAAGAAGCATTTTTTAAAGACATTAGCAAATTTCTTTCTTTTCTTTCAATTACACTAGAATTTTATAAACTAATTTATTGCGAGTAATTACAAAAACTCATGATTTAAAATTATTCCTTCAAACAAAGTAAAAAGCACACAAAACCAAACGGAAACTAAAGAATGAAATATTATATTAAAAAAGAAAGAAAAAGAAAACAGCAGACGTGTCTACAACGTCGTTGTATAACTTCTTTATTTGACAACAATACTCTCGACCTTTCATTCAAACTATTGATGGTTTATATGCGTGTCACTTGTTCTTCCGAGTATTGCTTTTGAAATTCAAGCAAATTCTATTGAAAAGTTTATATGACAAACTTTATTTCAATTGAAACGGTAAATTAAGCAAAGACAAAAAATTTTTATATGTATACAATTTCGAAAAATAAAGATTATTATAATTTCGTTTGCAAATTAAATTCTTTAACCAGTGAAAGTATTTAAAAATTCGGATTTTACGAACCAATTACTGACAAAAATATAACAATTCCGAGTCAAGTAAGAGAACATTTTACTTAAAACTATAAATTAAATTTTTTCATAACTATAAAACATGAAAATATATCGAGTCTTCGACTCGGAGTAATCAATTTCTTCCTGTTTTATAATAATTAAAGATGGCAAATTGATAATCAAATTTTTTCAAAAAAATTAATTTCAAAATTCAATTATTTCTTAAAATTCACGCTATATTGCTTATAATATTCAATAATTATTATCTAAAATTTTAACTAAAATTCATTTTAATGAAATGAAAATCAATTTTTATTAGAAAATTAAACGAGCATTCAATTATTTAAATACAAAAATAAATAATTTATTGCGAATAATTGAATTCTCATGGAGAATTTTACAACAAATTTTTAAATAAATGAATTCTTTTGATGAATTGTAATAAAATTTTTTTAAATAATTACGTTTTTCAAGAAATTCGATTAAAATTGTATTAAAAATAATTGAAATTTTGCGATTATATATATATTATTTATGAAAATAATTGAATTCTTAAAAAGAATTTTATTATTTTTGAAGATAATTAAATTTCTGCGAAGAATTTTTATTACTCTTGAAAATAATTGAATTTCTGCAATAATAATTTGTTGCAAAGAATGTTATCAAAAAATTGGATAATAATACAATTCCTTCAAAGAATTTTATTATTTACGAAAATAATTGAATTCTCGCGAAGAATTTTGTTACAATTTTTGAAAATTCCAATTAAATTCTTTTTGAAGAATTTATTTGAATTTTTTTTTAAATCATGGAGTTCCTTTAATAATTTTAATTAAAATTTTTTTAAATAATTGAATTTTATGAACAATTTTTTCAAGTTTTTAAAATTATCGTGTTTGTTAATAACTAAAATTAAACGTTTAATTATTGAATTTTACTAAAATTTTAGAGAGTAATTGAAATCTTTTGAAAAAGATTTTATAACGAATTAAGAAAAAATTGAATTTTTTTTATAATAATTGAATTTTTGCAAAGATTTTACTAGTAAAAAAAATAATTCAATTGTTTCGAAGGATTTATTAAAATTTTGTTTAAAAATAATTGAATTCATAAGAAGAATGTTATTATTTATAAAATTATTAATTGAATTTTTGCAAAGAATTTTATTACTTTTAAAAATAATTGAATTTCTGCGATGAATTTTATTATTTATGAAAATAATTGAATGTTTCTATTAAAATTTTTTTTAAATAATTGATTTTTTTTTAAAAATATTATTAAAAATTGTAGATACTGAAAATCAATGAATTGAGGAAAATTTGTGAAAATAATTGAAATTTTTGCCAAGAATTTTTGTAAATAATTGCGTATTTTGGAGAAGAATTTAACTATTTCAAAAGATAATTGAAATTTTGACGAGAATTTTCTTTAATTTTTGAACATAATTGAATTTTTGCGAAGAATTTTATTATTTTTGAAAGTATAATTGAATTTCTGCTATCATTTGTAATTTCTCTAAAATTCTCGAAATTATATGCGGTACGACTGACGAACTTTCCGGTCTTTTTAAATCAAATTATATTTTATATCGAAATAATATGTGAAATTGTGGAAAAAAACTATGTTTGGAAAATAAAATTAGAATTATGACAAAAAAAAATACTCACATTGTTGACTCAAGAATTTGAATATACAAATTTTTTGGCATACTTATTTATTATCTATTACGTCTATCTATTTTATCACATTAATGCTAAACTGCTGAGAAATATATATTTTTTCTACAGTTTAACAACGATATCATTTATTTGCGAAATTCACGATAGATCAAATTGTAAACAAAGTCAAAGATCAAAATATTGTTTTACTATAAATTATTTAAAATAATTTTTTTTTCAAGGACAGATGACCAATTTTTTTCAATACATTTTTTTTTCAAAAAATAAAACCAAACTCTGAACTTTTTAAGTCTTTAGTAAATATACTTTTTAGATACTTGCAAATTTTTAAGAATAGAATTTTTTCTCCTTTTTAGCACATTAAAGATTAAAGAAAAACTTTTAATCTTCAGAGATAATAAATATTAAGATTATTGCCGAAATTCCAATAGTCATGGTGACAATAAAAATATTCTATATTCTATTGAGAATTTAGAACCAAACATTTTTTCTTCAGACACAACACATTACAATGATGAAAATAATAATAATTATTGAACTTGATAATTGAGAAACATAACGGTATTTAAAAACGCTTGCCTTGGCCATTTCGTGCTAAAAAAAGTACGACAACACAAGAGATTATAAGTGAGGGCAAAAAAAATTGCAACTAGAAAAACGAGTAAACGTGAACTGTCAAGATTTCACGAAACGATAACACGCAAAATTTAAAAACAATACATACATATATATTCTGAATGAAAAGAAAATGAAAACAATAAACAGAATTATACTGAACATATATGTATGTAAATAGAATGCATGCATCTAATTAAGACTTCTAGAAATAGGAAAACAGAAGGAGAAGGGATTAACGTGTCCCCGAAGAAAATGACCCTATGTATCTTTTAACAGCTTACAACAAAAAAGTTATGCAATCTGTATATGCGGCGTCTAGATTTTAATCATTGCGAGGAAAAAAAAAATAACTCACCTTTAACTCCTGATGAAGTAATGCGCTGTGAATGTTTCGACAAAATACATTTGATTTATTCAGAAACCTAGTGGTTACGTTCATTTATTTCATTTATTTAACCTAAATCCTAAATGATTTATCTTGGATTTAAGTGTTGTCACACAAAAGAAGAAGATAACGTACTGTTTTTGTCGAAACTCCAAGCTGACATTTCGCACACGAATTTCCGTATATATATAATATTATCGATATAATAAACCCATTTATAGAGGTTAGTTTGTCAAAAAATGTCGCATGATAAATATATAATACGTGCAGGGACAAATCTTTTCAATTTTACAACAAAAATTCAATTTAAATTTCTAACTATTCTTATAAATACTATGAGAATTTTTAAAATGAATTTAAAAGGTGAAATAGTACGTCAAAAAAATTGTGTATTTTAAGAATTTTTAACCTCGTGTTGAGATGATTCTTCGGTAAGTCGATAAAACAGGATAACATTGTTACCATCGTTTTTAACTCTCAATAATACATTGAAAACTATTTAACTGTTACTTTAATTTAAACTTTTTGTATAATTATTAAAAGTATTTATAACATTTTCCTCAAAACTGTCAAATTTCCCTTGACATCCTTCTACTTTTCTTATCTCGAAAAAATACCCAGTCGAACTAACCGCCATTGGTCACAGATCACGTGACTAGTGAAAAGAAAATATGGCGCTAAAATTCAATATCTTTTTTTCATGCGCGGGGGAAAAAGGAGGAATGATAATCAATAAAACCGGTTTTATTATAATATATGTTAAAAATTTTTCTTTACAGAAGTGAATTTACTTTTTTTTATAATTATTACAAATATTATTATAAATATAAATTTATAAATAAATCCAATATTTTTCTTTCTTTAATTATTAATTATAAAAATTCATAATGAAAGAGAAAAAAAATTGTGTGTCTGAATTTTTCAAGCGAATCACCTAAAATGAAAAATTTTAATTTTACACCCGAAAATTATTTTTTTACTCCTAGTGTCGAAAAAATATATCTGAAATTTTTAGTTAGGTAGACAAAATTTTAATTTAAATTTTATAATTTTTTTGTTAGTATTATTAACATATTAATTTTTTAGTATAGAGAAAAACATTTTTTCCTTTAAATTATATTATTATTTATTTTTCTAATAAATAATTTTACTTAAATAATAAAATTAATTAAATTTTCAAAAGAGTTGAGTTTAGAATTATGATAAATAAATGAACTTCAAAAGACTTCGATTTGGAATTTTTTATAAAATTTCCATTTATTAAACAAATTTAATTACAAATTTTAAAGAACTTAGATTTTTGAAAAATTTCAACAATTATTCAAATTCTTCTGAAATTCAATTATTTTTAAAAATTGTAATAAAATTCTTAGCAAAATTTCAATTCTTTATAAAAATTTTCAACAATTCAATAATTTTCAATATCTTAAAATTTTCCAAAAGAATTCAAATATTTAAAAAAAAAAATTTTTTTTAATTCTACGGAAACAATAATTATTTTCATAAATAATAAAATTCATATAGTAGAAATTAAATTACTTTTAAACGTAATAAAATTCTTCGCAAAAATTCAGTTATTTTCAATATTTACTATTTTAATAAAATTTCCCAAAAGAATTCAATTATTTTTATAAATAATAAAAATTTCACAAGAATTCAATTATTAAAAAAAGAATTGGCATATATTTTTTCGAAAAAAAATTAGTTTTTTAAACATTTTTTTATAAACTTCTACACAATAATTCAATTATTTTAATAAATTATAAAACTCCTCGGTGAATTTCAATTATTTTTAATACAATTTAAATTGAATTATATGTTTCAATAATTTTTTTTAAGTTCTCGTCAAAATATCAATTATCTTTATAAATATAATAAAATTTTTCTCCAAAATTCAATTATTTAAACAAAATTTTAATAAAATTTTTCGCAAACATTTAATTATTTTCATAAATAATAAAAATTTCACATGAATTCAATTATTTACAAATTTTTTCGCAATAATTCCATTTGCCATTATTTTCATAAACAATAAAACTTATCGCAGGATTTTGAATTATTTTTAATACAGTTTAAATCGAATTCATCGAAAAATTTAATTATTCTTAAATTTTTTTTTAAAATCTATCAAAAGAATTCAATTATTTACAAATTTTTTGATAAAATTTTTTATGAGAATTAAATTTCAAGAAATATTCAATTATTCAATAAATTATTTATTTTTGTATTTACATAATTAAATTCTCATAGAATTTTCTAATAAAAATTGATTTAAAAATGAATTTTAGTTAGAATTTTAGATAATAATTGAATATTAAAAGCATTATAACATATAAATTTTTATAAATAATTATTGAATTTTGAAAAGGTTTTAAATTATTAAAATCATTTAAAATTTGAAATATTCATACTTTTAACTAACAATTCTGTAGAATTATTTTTCTGAAAAAGTTTACTTGAATTGTTTTTAAAAATTATTTCAAGTTTTTATTTTATATATTTAATTAAAGAATTTGCGAACAATTTTGAAAAATTATTAAAAATAATTTATTTAATGAAAAATTTTATTTTATTTAAAAATTGTAGAAAATAATAATTGAAATGATGAAAATTATTTTGAAGAAGTTACAGTAACAATATGGTTATAATAAAAAATAATTATTTATCACTCGGTCATTTTTAATTATTATAAGTTGTTGAATTTAAAATTTTTTGAAAATCTTAATTACTATGGAAAAATAATAATGAATAAGGAAGTTACTGATATTTTCGAATAATTTTCCAATTAAATAAATTTGTAAATAAATATAATAACAACATTTTTGTAATTATTTTTAGAGTGAATCAGAATATTCTTTAGGGTCAGGAAAAAAGTCAAAATTTTGTCTGGGCATCAGGAAAAAACAAAATTAAATTTTTGTGTCAACTTTGATCTCAAATAAAACTTTCCAACTCTTGGAGAAAAAAATATCCAGCTTAGTTTTCTTTTCCTCTTTTTATTTGAATCCTTTGTTATTTTATTATTCGACAACATTTTAATTTGCAAATTAATATAAAATTTTTAAATAATCTCTGTTAATTCTTTTTAATGTTATTTCAAACGAGAAACAATCGAGCAATGAGACGATAAATAAAAATAAAAAATGAGATTTTTTATATTATGAGAATATTTCATAATCTGTCCAGATCCGATCGAGAATGTCATAAATCGGTCATAACTGGAACTCGAGAAAGAAATATTTTATCTTTACTAAAAAATTAAACTGTTAATAGTACTAATAAATTTTTTTCGACCTATGTAAAAATTTCAGAACCTTTTTTCGACACTATAGAAAACAAAAAAATCATTTTCGAGGAAAAATAAAAATTTTTCTTTTTAGATGCTTTGTTTGAGAAATTCTGATCCAAATTGTATTAAAAATATAAAAGAAAAGTTAAAAATTAATCAAAATTGGTTTTAATAAAGAAGTTTATTTAAAGGCACTATACATCGTCGATTCGTTTTTCTCTACTGTACAGAAATTATTAGGTACATATATTTAAAACATCACAATTTTGTGCAATTTCTACCATGTACTAAACATACTTAAATCACATAATATTAATCTAATGATTATTTCTCGATTATTGTTAAATTTTATTATCATCATCATCATCATCATCATCATCATCATCATCATCATCATCATCATCATCATCAGTCTATTATAAAATATTGTTATCTACATTAACTATTAAGTGATATGTTTATAAAATAATTACTACTTAGTGTCTAGTTACATTAAATTGTTTTGTTAAATAAAAATAAGTTTCCAAACCGAATAATTATTTTTTCTACAACAATTTGTTTAAAAACAAATCGTCTTATCATCGCTAGTAGCACCTGATGATATCATTATCTAGATATTTACAATTATCAATGAAAATTTTAATTCTATTTTCAATGATGAATTTCTAATTGTATTAAATTATAAATATTGGTTCTTATAATTCAGGAAATTCAATTTATTTTGTGCAGAAAACATTTTCTTTTGTCGTCAAAAATTTGGTCGACATTCAACATTTCTTTATGTTCAAAAAATTAAATAATTTCTTTTAGAAATTGGTATAATATTTTAATGATATGAATGTTTGTTCAGATAATAAAAAATGTATTCAGATGAATAATTTTCATTTTTTTTTACAAAATTATTACAAAATTAATGTGAATTTTTTTTGTCGATAAAAAATATTCCTCAGCTTTAATATGTTAACTAAAGATAATACAAATTTTTTTCATTTGAAAAACATGGATAAAATGTAGTGTAAAAATTTTAAAATTAATTTTACAGTAAAAATTTTAAAATCATTTTTAAAACATTTTTTTTTCCGAAGAATGTATTTTCTTCAAATACTGTTAGAAAATTGATTTACAGAGACGCACATTATCTTTCGAGACATTAAAAGATTTTAATGTGTACTCTTTGATTCATTATTAATTTAAACTGCAAATAATAAACTTAAAAAATTTAAATTAAAAAAAAAACAGTTTTTCATGCTTTTATATTTTCAAAAATTTTTTTTTATATTTAAAAATTAATAATAAAAAAATATTTCAAGAAAATTATAAATAAGATCAGGATCCGACTTACGAGATTTCGAAAAAAAATTCAATTTACATCTTTCAATGTCTCGGATTAAAAAAATCGGAAATCGACAGATAATAAAATACATAGAAAATTGAAATTATAAGAAAGAAGATTTTTTGTACAAGAATATAATTTGGCTCATTGAGAGACAGAAATCATCTCGAGAGACATCGAGGATTGTTATATTACATATTTACAAAAATTTCATCATTTAATTCGTATATTATATTTGTAGCGTTTAAAATAGTAGATATTTCATTCTTCTTTTTATAAATTAAATAGCAATCAATATTTTTATGAAATACAAATATAAATATAATATAAATCAGTTTTTAAAAAAAGAACTCGAATAAAGTTTTTATTGTCTTTATCTAATTTAAAAAAAAGTAACAAATTTTTTTTATTTAAAAAGAAAAATCGGATTTAAAATTTTTGTCCCTGGGATCAAATTTAAAAAAAGGAAATAAATGTTCTTAATATTAAATGACGAATAATTGTCATTGTTAATTATTGTAAAATATTTGTAAAATGTTTTGTTAAAAAAATTATCGAAAAATAAAGAAATTACAATAAATGTAAAAAATTTGTTTCTGCAAATATTGCGTATAACAATTATTTAAGATTGTAATTTTTTTCCCTGTGTTTAATTTAAGTTTCTTAATTTTATGATTTGAGTACAAAATACGATAACTCAGGATACGGAATTATAAGGAGAGAAAAAAATAATAAGAAAAATGTCTAATAGGCACTAAAAATATGGGAATTTACCTGATCGTAAGAAATGAAGATATTTGTTTCGAGTTTCGGCTTCCACGCTGGATCAAGTTACAAATTTTTTTAAAATTCTATCTACTTTGGATATCAAAGTTCACTTTGTAATACATTAAATGCTGATCCCAAAGCCCAGCTTAATTCGTGGCCAGATATTTTTTTAAAAAGCTGAAAACACAAAATTATTATATTAATTTCATTGTATTTGATTGTTATTATTTAATAAATTTATTTATATTTTACTTAAATTTTTTTCGTACATTACATTATCATTTTTTTTAATTTATTTATTGTACCATTTACGGCAAACTAGTCATGAAAGATTTTATGAAAATTGAAAAAAATAGAAAATTAGTTTAGCTGTTTGTAATTAAAATTGTTTGCAATTATTAGTAATTCAATTGTTTGTAATTGTCAAATTATATTGCAAAAAATTTAAAGTGTTTTTTATCAATATTTGAAATTTTTATTGTTTTCAATCTGCTACAATAAATAACGGATAATTGACAAGTTTCAGATTCCAATAAATTGTAAACGATCACTTTTAAAAATGATACCTAAAATAATTTTTTTTAAATATAAAATTTATTTCTATAATAAAAATTTAATTATTTGGAAAAATTACAATTGTACGATTCTTCTTAAATTATTCTATTCTGTAGAAATTTTAACTAAATTTATTCAAAACATCGACATTCACAAAAAATTTTAATTTAAAACTGTCTCAAATTGATTTATTTCTAAAAATTCCGATTGTAATTTCTACAAAATCCAATTATTTTCTAGAATTTGTAAATAAAATTTTTCTTGTAAATTCATTATTTTCAATAATTTTGAGGAAGTTCTTTGAGAATGTAATTATTTAAAAAAAAGAGTTCACTTACAATTCGACTAAAATCCAATTATTGATTTCAATTATAAATATTACGAAAGGACCCCGCACAAAAAGTACAGAATTTGGTTCCCGGTTAAATTTGTTTTGGATTCTGGATTTATGTTTGAGTTAAAGTAATTTAGAACAAATATAATCAATAAATATTAACAAATTTGATCGGGAACCAATTTATGTTCTTTTTGTGAGTCGTCCTTTCCATTATTCAAAAGTTTTTTATTTAAATAATAAATTTAAAAATTCCACAAACTTAAAAAAAAAATTGGAACTACAATTTTTCTAAAAACTAATTTTTTTTTTAGAATTTTTAATTAAAGTTTCTCAAAATTCAATTTTTTAAAAATTTTAATTTGAAGCCTTTTGAAATTTAATTATTTCTAAAAATTCATGGTATAATGCTTTTAATATTCATTTATTATCTAAAAATTTAACTAAAATTCATTTTTGCATCAAATTTTATTAGAAAATTCAACGAGAATTCAATTATTTAAATACAAAAATAAATAATTTATTGAATGCTTCTCAAAATCGAATTCTCATAAAAAATTTTCGACGAATTTTAATAAATTTTTTTAGAATAATTACATTCTTCGAGGAATTCGATTAAAATTTTATTAAAAATAATCGAAATTTTGCGATGATATTTATTATTTATGAAAATAATTGAATGTCTTTAAAAATTTTTATTATTTATGAAAATAATTGAATGTTTAATTATTATTTTTTTTTAAATAATTGAATTCTTTTGAAAAATTTTTATTAAAAAAGTAGGTATTGAAAATCATTGAATTGAGGAAACTTTTTAGAAATAATTGAATTTTGGAAAAGAATTTTATTATTTATGAAAATAATAAAATTACCAATTGAGAAGAAATTTATAAAAAATTGGTAATTGAATTTCTGTGAAGAATTTTATTTTTTTTTTTTGAAAATAAATGAATTTTGGAGTAGAATTTTAATAAAATTTTTTTTAAATAATTGTAACCTTTTTGTAAACTTTGTAAAAATATTAGTAGATATTGAAAATCATTTAACTGAGGAAAGTTTTTGAAAATAATTTCAATTTCGCCAAGAATTTTATTAAAATTTTTGAAAATAATTGCATTTCGAAGAATTTTATTATTTATAAAGATAATTGGAATTTTTGACGATAATTTAAAAAAATTTTTGAACATAATTGAATTTTTGCGAAGAATTTTATTAATGTTGCAAATAATTAAAATTTCTTCAATGATTTGTAACTTTTCCAAAATTCATTTTTTTTACTGTTTTTACTAAAATTCTTGTATAAATTAATTATTTTTAATAATTAATTAAATATATATTTAAAAATTTAACTAAAATTTCAGAAGAATTTGAATTATTAAAATTTTTCAAATATCCAAGTTCTTTAAAATTTCTAATTAAATTCACTAAAAATGGAAATTTTTATAAAATTTAAAATTGAAACCTTTTGAAGTTCGTTCAGGATTGTAAACACAACACATTTAAAATTGAATTAATTTTGAAATATTTGAGTAAAATTATTCATTAAATAATTTAGAAGTAATAATTTTATTTATTATAGATCTTCAAGAATTAAGTTTTAAAATAAATTATTGTGAGAAATATAAAAAATTGATAGTTTTGCACGTTTTGCATTAGAATTTGTGGTAATTTTATAGTTTATAAGGCAAAAAAAAATCACCAGAATTCAAAATTTTGTTATGAATTCTAAAAATTTAATTTCTTCCAGTACTTTTAATTTAAATCCCTGACTTTTCCCTGCCAAATTCTATTTTCCCTGACTCTTCCCTGAATTCCCTGACCTGTGGCAAACCTGTATAGTTATTTTTCATTTTCACACTATGAAAATTGAAATAAGTTGCATTTTTAGTTACACCAAAAAAGCGGTGTTATGTGGAAGAAAAGTCGAAAAAGTCGCATTTTATCAAAATAAGTCCAAAAGAAGTCGCATTTTTTGCAAATATTGTAAAAAGTCATACTATCCGAGGCATGAGTATTTTAACTCATTAATATTTTTTTAAAAACTTACATTGAGTTTGGTTTTAGGCTCGAGACCAAAAGTATTTCGCAACAAGGAATAAATAAAAGTTAAATCCAGGCACATAAATGGTTGTTCCGTATTCGCATATTCACAAGTTTCCAACACTGCTTTGTAAAGAGCACCAACAGTGATCGTTCCACCCTGGAATGGATCTATTAATCCAATCTACAAAAAAAAAGTATTTATTTACACCATAAATTAAATATTAATCAAAAACAAATTGAATTAATTAGCAAACGTCTTACCTCAGTAGTTCTATCAAAATAATACGAAAAGGCATAAATCTCATGCTTATTAAGTCCCACCGGTTTACTCTTAATTGTACTCGTGTAATTTTCAACTAAACTCAAACAATCTTGGAATTTAACAATTGGTCGTTTATCCTCGCCACCGGCATAATTTTGATTCTTAAAAACTTTAGTAGCACCTTTCTCTGATCCCATTATAAGATAATCCTGACCTGCATAATTCCACTTCGTCTTAATAAATGGATTAATACATTCCGAGTGTATCTCGACAATTCCGTTCTCGTTTTTCGCCGCCGATTCCGGCACCAAAATCGCCTTCCTCGCAGCCATGAGTCCCATGCCCAAATAACTGTGAGTGTAAATACTCATATTGTGATTGAAGGCGCTGATATTGTAAATATAGTCGTTCAATTCTTTGATATTCTCCTCGTCGGGTGCGAAAGTAACTTGCGTCGATCCACCGCCGAGATCGAGAGCCGCAACCGTACTCTGTGGACTGTGTTGATTAAATCTGTCCAGAAGGAAATTAACCGTGAACCACGAGAAGATACCCTCGTCAACGCCTTCCATTATCGACACCGATTTATCGTTCAAATGAAAACCGGACGTTTTCAAAAAATTTCGGGTCACTTCTAAAATATCGTTTGCCTTGTGACCGGGAAGTAGACGAAGACCCGCCGTGGCTTTCATGAAGAGAGGAGTGTAATTCCATTCGGACTGGGGAATTACCGATTTTGCTTTATCGATGAGTATTTGTAGAGATTTTGTTCCCTCAATTGGATTGTCGGCGAATGAACTCAAACCCGGTTTCTCCTGATGAAATAATTCACTGTCCAGAACTAGATTTCCATTTATAATCGAGGAGTGAAAGCCAAATGCCAATACTCGCGTTCCTGTTGATCCGGCATCGATAATTACAACGTAAAATGGTTTTTGTAAATTTAGGGAAAATGCCACACTGTCGATTGCCTTGCCACCAAGATGAAATGGTTTTAAATCGTTCGCTATCGCCACGTAGATGAATATCATAAATCCCAGGAATATTAAAGTGTAATATCGTCTCATGGTGGTTTTTGACGTTTTCTTTTGGCTTGATGACCTCGATGCCATATTAAAACTCGACATGTTGTCATCATCGTCTAGCCTCAACTGAAAAAATTCAAATTTCTTTAGTAAATTAAAATCTATTTATTTATTTAAGAAAATTATTCTTTCCATGCATTACAATAACTTTTATCCTCAAAAAAGGACAAAAATCGATATTTTTAACTATATCAAGAAAATAATTTAAATATTCTACAAAATTATTTTTAAGGTAATTTTTTGTGAAGAATTCAATGTTCATAAAATAAAGTAGGTCAGAAAATATTTTCACCCTTTCTGAATTTTTATTTTCTTCAAAAATTTTAGATTTTGAAATCCATGCATAATTTTGTAGAATCTAGATAACAAATTTTAAGCGAAAAAATTTATATTCATAATTTTTGAAGCATTTTTTTGACAAAAATCTTTGTTTTTAGGCTGAAACTGCTAAAAATACTATTATTATTCAATTTTATTTATATAAAAATTCACTTGCTTATTTTTTTAACTAATTTAACAATTTATTATAAATATGCAAATTTACAAAATTTTTTATTTTCAATTATGAATTAATTTTATTATTATTTTTATTTTTTAATTAGAATTATTATTTTCTAAAATTTTAATAAATCCTTTTGAAACAATTCAATTATTTTCAAGAAAATTTCACGAAAGAATTCAATTTTTTTCTTAATTCGTTATAAAATTTTTACAAAAATTCAATTATTTTCAAAAAAATTTCACGAAAGAATTCAATTTTGAATTCGTTATAAAATATTTCAAAATAATTCAATTATTTTTAATACAATTTTAATTAAATGTCACGAAAGAATTCAATATTTTAAAAATTTTTAATAAAATTTTTCGAAAAAATTCAATTAAGATTTCCTAAAATTTTAATAAATCTTTCGAATAATTTAATTATCTTCATAAATAGTAAAATTCTTATAAAAAATTAAATTATATTTATAACAACTTCACAAAAGAATTCAATTTTTAAAAATGTTTAATAATAATTTTCGAAAAAATTCAATTATTTTCAAAAAAAATTTCTCGAAAGAATTCAATTTTTTTCTTAATTTGTTATAAAATCTTTGCAAAAATTCAATTATTTTAAAAAAAATTTCACGAAAGAATTGAATTTTGAATTCTTTATAAAATATTTCAAAAGAATTCAATTATTTTCTGAAATTTTAATAAATCCTTTGAAAGAATTCAATTTCATTTATAAATAGTAAAATTGTTTGCAAAAATTCAATTATTTTTAATACAATTTTAATTAAATGTCACGAAAGAATTAAATATTTAAAAAAAATTTAATAATATTTTTCGAAAAAATTTAATTAGGATTTTCTAAAATTTTAATAAATCCTTATATTTGAATAATTTCATTATCTTAAAAAATAGTCAAATTCTTATATCAAAAATTCAATTATATTCAAAACAATTTCACAAAAGAATTCAATTTTTTTCTTAATTCGTTATAAAATATTTCAAAAGAATTCAATTACTTTCTAAAATTTTAATAAAATTCAATAATTAAATGTTTTATTTCATTTTTTAATAAACACAATTATTTTAAAAACTTGAAAGAAATTCTTCATAAAATTTAATTATTTTCAAAATTTTTAATTAAAATTATTAAAGAGACTCCATTAGCTACTTTAAACAAAAATTCAAAGAAATTCTTCAAAAAAAATTTAATTAGAATTTGCGAAAATTTTAACAAAATTCTTTGATAGAATTCAATTATTTTCCTAAATAATAAAATTCTTCGAAGGAATTATATTATTATCAAATTTTTGATAAAATTCTTTACAACAATTCGATGATTTTCAATACATTAATACTTCAAAATTGAAAATATGTAAAAATAAAAATTCAAAAAGTGGCAAAATATTTTCCAACCTATTTGATTTTTTTACCATTGAATTACTCATAAAAAATTACCTTAAAAATAATTTTGTGGAATATTTAAATTATTTTCTGGATATAAATTAAAATATCGGTGAACCCTCCATTTAATACTCAAATTTCTTACAGTTTCAGACTCTTTGATAGAAAATTACTTTAATATTAAGAAAAATTTTAAATATATGGGCATATCTCTAGAACCTTTAACTTTTCAATGAGAAAAAATTTGTTAATTTTTTATTGAGCACAGTATTGAAACTCTGTCTACATAAACTTTAAGAAATAAGCTTTCAAAATATCCAAGTGGACAGATAAAATGATTCGTCTTCAAAAAGTTATAAACTATTTAAAATTGCGAATTATTTTTAACGTGCAACAAAAAAATATTTAACAGGTGTTTGTTTTTTAGAATCGAAAACAGTTGAAAGTAATTAACTGAGGGGTTATAATTTATAATATAATAATTATATTATTATATAATATATTACTTTTGTATTTATTATATTATTACTAGTCATTAACATTACTTTTCTTTTATTTTTTGTTTGAATTACTAAAAAATTAAAATGGTTTTTATTTTAAAAATAGATTTTAATTAAACTGAATTGTAAAAATATGAAATTATAATGTATAAAGTTTACCTTGCAATTTCCAGATACATTTTATTTAAATTTAACACTCATAAACTTTCCAATTTCTATTCATTTTTTTCTATTTTTCTTTTTTCTTATATATCCTATTTTTTTCGATCATTTATTCTGTCTAAAAAATCAAAATATAAACATTGAAACTTAACCTTCAGTTTTATTTATTAACAGTTTCTATAAAAAAGTGAGAATCGACAACTTCATACTTAACAATTTCTTTTCTAAAAACTTTTGGTTGATTACGGTCGACCGTAATTGACAAATATTTTTACATTATCTTTGCAATAAAGTATTTTTTCTTGAAGCACATTCACGGGATGTTAAATGGCACATGCGAAAATATTTACAAGTACTTTTAAAATACTTTTATTTGATTTTCGTGGAGTATCACTCGAATTACGGTCGTTTTCAAATTTTGTACGCGCGTGTTTTCTGTTATTTAAATTACAACAGTTTTTTGAAGACACGAGGCACATCAATTTACTATGTCTCAAAATAATTCTAATAATTTGAACTTTTATTTCCCGTAAGTCATTTTGATGTGCCATTTGTCTTATTAATGAAAAATGATAAATATCTCGATTACGATCAAAAAGGTTAAAAGTGAGGGACAACGTTTGAAAGCTTATAACTTTTTTCAAAATTAACAAATTTTTAATTTTCATACGGAAAAGTGTTCACTGTTTAATTAACTTTAAAAAGATGCGTCTTAGAATTAGTAACTCTTATTCATTACAAAGTTTTATCGTTTAACCCATCCGAGAGTATGGTTAGGGACAAGTAGATATTGTAAAAAATCGGGCACTCAGATTGGAATAATTATTGATATATTTAATAAATTAATGTAAAACCTTTTGGAACTGATTCATCTTATCAAGCTTTAATATTTCCAACAAAAATAAAGTAAAAAGTTATTGAAATTATCGAAATATATGCGAGGGACATGAAAGTTAAAGGTTCCAGAGATATGCCCATATTCTTTGAGTCTAAATTTTATGATTACACTTTGAAATATATTTCGAAAAAAGGAAAAACTCCTGTATTTTTTATTAGAAGACAGTGAAAAAGGGGACAAATCACCAGAAAAGGGAAAGAAGGTAACAAATCATTAAAAAAGGTGAAAAAGGTGTAAAAATTGAAAAAAGGGGACAAAAGTGGAAAAGAATGTTGGAATTAATTCTAAGGTTGACACTACTTTTATCGGTTCGAGTATTAAATTACGTAATTTTGATGTGAATCTCGTGGTATTATTATCGAATAGTTAATGAATCAAATCAAACAAAAAAATTATTGAAAAATTAAAAATCTTAAACTGAAATTCTATAAATAAATAAACACAAATTATTATTCAAATGATTCAACTCTTGTCAAAGTTCTAAGACAAAAAGATTTCTTTCCGTTCCAGTAATTGTTCTTTCTACAAAATACGAAATAAACAAATTGACAAGGATTCCAACTTGTTATTTATACATAATTTTAACAAAAAAAAAAGTTATTTTAATAGATTTTTATGCTTTTTGTGCGAATAAAATTAAAAAATGTAAGTTAACCTCAAAAAGTTGGAAACAGATTTATTTTGAGAAACTAAGAAAACATATTTCTCTATAATATATTTTTCAACAACACTTACAATCGTGTAACGCATTTATATTTAATTTCGAATAATTCATGTGATTTTTTTAACTAATTGGCAATAAACTTTCGTCTCTCATCATCTGTTGCAGTTTTGATCTTTTGATATGACGTTTAGAAATTAGAGGTTATGTTAAAATCCTTGAAATATTTTGACAGTTGACATGTCTCGTTTCTTAAAAAAAAAAAACAAAAAATATCTTGAACATGAGTCACGTGATAACAACAATGCGAATTCGGATTTGACTTTTGTTTAAAACTTATTCTTCTCTCTTGGTCTCTTTTTAACTCAAAAAATAAAATAATAGTATAAGTAGTATAATTATATAAATTAAGTAATTTTACCTTCCTTTTTCTGACCGACATCCTTCTTGATCTGTTCTTGGCAGTGGAAAGACTGAAAAAATTATCGCGAACTAATAACGTACTTTTTGAAATTGAGAAAGAGATAATTGTTTCTTTTCTTATTTTAAATACTTTACAAGGCGCAAACTTCTAAATGTCACCATTCATCAAAAGTAATATTTTACGATAACTAATAATCATCACTTTAAATTCCGTCACCATGACACAGCAAAAGATAACATAGTTCAAGGTTATTTAATAGTATAGGAAAATTTAGAATAACTTAGTTTACGGTAAGAGTAGTTACTACACGAGGAAAAAAAATAGTAAAATGTGTTTATCAACAATGTGTCTAATTTTCGACAAAAGTGAAAAATTAATTTCTTTTGTCATTTTATTTCATTTACATTATTGTTCTTGTATTTATAAATTTACTTTTCAATTCTACACTTTAGACAAGTTTTTACAAACAAAATTTTGACTTTTTCCCTGACCCTAGAGAATATTCGGATTCACTCCAAAAATTATTAGGTACTAAAAAAATTTTCTTTTACATTCATTTTCAAATTTCTTTAATTGTAAAATTATTCGAAAACATCAATAAAAATTAATTATTATTTTTCCATAGGAATTAAGAATTTATGAAAATAATTAAATTATTGAAAAGAAATTTATAAAAATTTTGTAAATAATTGAAATCCTGTGAAATTTTTATTATTTATGAAAATAATTAAATGTTTGCGTAGAATTTTATTAAAAAATTTTTTAAACAATTGAATTCTATAGGAAAATTTTATTAAAATAACTTCTCCAAAATTCAATTATAATTATTTTTTTTTGAGTTTTTAACTAAATTTCTTCTTTAAGGGCATTTGAACCTTGATGACGTCACACATGCTTTGAACAATCTGTAACGTCATCAAGGTTCAAATGCCCTTAAATAAATTATTTTTAATAATTTTGGAAAATGTTTTTGAAAATTTTTAAATCTATTTGTTTACAATTCAATTTTACGAAAATTTTGATTATTCGGAAATTCTTCAATTAAATATATATTAGAAAATAAAATACTTGAGATAATTTCCAAAAAAATTCAATTAAACTTTTTCAAAAAAATTAATTCTTTAGAATTGTTAGTTAAAAATTATGAAAAATACCAATTTTCAAAGATTTTAATTTAAAACATTTTCAAAAATTCAATTATTTCTAAAAGTTTACGCAATAATGCTTTTAATATTCAATTATTATCTAAAATTTTAACTGAAATTATTTTTTAAATCAATTTTTATTTGAAAATTCAACGGGAACTTAAGTATTGAAATACAAAAATAAATAAGTTATTTATTAAAATTATATTACAATTACCTTAAAAATAATTGAAATTCTATGATGAGTTTTATTATTTATGAAAATAATTGAATTTAAAAAAAAAATTTATTATTTTTGAAAATAATGGAATTATTGCAGTTTCTCTCTGTTATTGTGAAGAAAATTATAAAAAAAATTTTTATAATATAATTGAATTCCTGGAAAATTTTTTATTAATTATGAAAATAATTAAATGTTTGTGCAGAATTTTATTAAAAAATTTCTTTTAAATAATTGAACTTTGTAGAAGAATTTTATTATTTAATTATTTACCTAATTGACATTTTAACAAGAATTTTTAAAAATATTTTTATACATAATTCAATTTTTTCGACGAATTTTAATAAAATTTTTTTAAATATTTACATTTTTCGAGGAATTTGATTAAAAATAATTGAATTATTGCGAAGAATTTTATAAAAAAAACTTTAAATAATTGATTTGCTTTGAAAAAATGTATGTCTATTCTTTTTTAAATAATTGAATTTCTGCGAAATTTTTGTTATTTATGAAAATAATTGAAGTTTTATGGGAATTTTATTAAAATAGTAAATTTTGAAATTTTTACATGAATTTTATTAAACTTTTTGAAAATAATTGAATTTCAGCGAATAATATTGCTATTTATGAAAATAAATTAATTTTGGATAGAATTTTATTAAAATTCCTGAAAATAATTGAATTTCAGGGAAGAATTTTAATATTCATCAAAATAATTGAATTCTTTCGAAGAATATATTGTAAAACTTTATTAAAATCGTATAGATATTAGTTTCTCTTCATTCTATAATTATTAAACAAACCAAAAAAATTGAGAAACATTCTATAAATATTTTTAAGCCTTTTTCTTTAATAGTCGCATTAAAAGTAACTATTAAAAAAATCTAATCAAGCTTCTAATTATAAACTGCACGTAGTTATCAATATTGAAATAAACTAATACCTTAGATTAATTTTCAAAGTTGCCTTGAAGTTATAAAAAAAAAAAATATCTCCAAGGCTCAAGCAATTTATCAGCAAAAAAGGTAATTTTTAAAATTGTCTCCTCAAAATGAGAAAAAAAATTAATTTTGAAAAATTTTTGTTTCAGTGATAAAAATCATGATTTTTTGAATTAAAAAAAAAATGAGTGGAACGTTTGTAAGGAAACGTAATGTAAACAGAAGCGATTTCCATATATCGCAACAAGATAAACAGTTACATAATTTTTTTGATATACAAAATGCAGTTTAATATCTAATCTTGGAGAAGCGAGACACAGACCCCCAAGGTTTATGATGAGTGAGATGCTTCAATAATCATTTTAAATGGACACGTCACACAGAGGATCCAGTCCCCGTTGTATTAGAATTGTATATGGATTCAAAAATAGATTTTCATCGCCACAAACTCCCTGCAGTGCACCATCAGATGAAACTATCTGTTGCTTCTTATTCGAGTGTGTTTGTGTGTGTGTAGATAAACATAAACTTCATAATCTTTATTTATTATTTATAGTGAATTCTGTAGAAAATTTTACATTTTAAATGAATTTTAATTCAAAAAAGTGCAAATCATTTTTTCCGCAACCCATTTTTCATGTTAATGTAACTTTTTTCCATTTTTACAATTGTGAATTATTCTTTTGAAAATTTTTCGAAAAACATATTTTTGTCCTTTGTACTACTTGAAATATTGCACTTTAAACAATAACGTTTTCCAAAAAAAATTCGAAATATATTTAAAATTGGAAAAAAATAGTTTAAGTTTCGTGAAGAAGAAAACTAGAAATGTCGCATTCAAATTCAAAATCGTCGAGTCTATTTAAACAAGCGGTTATTCAAATCGGAGCCGGAGGTTCGGCAGGTTTTGTGGAAGTCTGCATTATGCATCCAATGGATCTCGTGAAGACGAGATTTCAACTTCAAGTGAAAACAAACAAAGTTGATCCTTTATATTATACTGGTGAGTATATTATAAGGTCATTCGGTTAAATTCAATGAAATTAGGAATTTCACAAAGTCTTCGTCTTCTCATGCCTTTTGTTTATTCAAAACTTTTAGTAAATTATCGATTCACACTTAACTATATTGTTATTAATTGAAAAAAAATTTTAAAAAAGGAAAAAAAATCTATTTTTTCTAAAGCGATAAATTTCTTAATTGAAATATTTCATAATAAAATTAATACATCTACAGCGGTATCTTTCAATAGAGCAATTCCACGTAAACTGTTGTATTCAAATAATAGAACCAAAATAGAACATACCCAAACAGAAATGGCTCATCAATATTATCATATTATCAATATTATCACATTTCTCAGTACTAAATTAATTTTTTGAAGATAATTTTTAATAAATTTATCATTTTCAAATTTTTATTTTAAGATTTTTCATTAAAACTTTTGAGAATTTAATTATTTTTAGAATTTGCAATTAAAATTCTTCAAACTTATATTTTCAAAATATTTTATAAAATACTTTAACCGAGAGCTGTGAAATGAATAATTGTTAAAGTAATTATTTTTCGGTTGAAAAATAAAATTTAACCCTAGTAAAAGTAATCACTCGTAATTACACGTAATTTTTTTAACAGGGTATAAATTTATACATTTTTTTTTATTTTTACGAAATTTTGACATTATTAATTTAAAGTAAAAGCTGTTTGTTCTATAACGAACATTAGAATTATATTATTAATTTATCTACTTTTCTATTGCAATGAGAAATTTTGTCTTTCATCAAATTGTCGTCAATTTGATCTCAATTTGAAGATAATTGATCTTTAATAGATAAATGCATAAAATCTAACTCAAAAGATATTGTTCATCGATTTGATATCAAATTGATTAGTCGAATTGACGAAAATTATTAAAACTTTTAAGAATTTAATTATTTTTAGAATTTGCAATTAAAATTCTTTAAACTTCGATTTTCAAAAATTTTCATGAAATACTTTAACCGAGATCTGTAGAGTGAATAATAGTTAAAGTAATTACTTTAGTTAAAAAACTGAAATTTAATAATAAATTTATAAAGAATTTTTTTATTTTGATGAATTTTTGAAAAAAATATTTGTTCAAACGAATATTAGAATATATCATCAATTTATCCAATTTTCTATTAATTTTATCATCAAATAGAAAAAATTTTGATTTTTATCAAATTGGCATCAATATTTGATGTCAATTTGACGAAAATTGAAATTTAATTTTAAAAAATGCATAAAATCGAATACGAGTAAATTAATTTAATAAAATATAATAATATTAATTATTATTACAATTATTTAACGATTAAAAAAATTGTCAAATTTTTGAAAAATTGCAATCATTGATTATAATATTGACGACATTGTAATATTATATTTATTTAGTATTGACGTTGGTTAATTGAAGATTTCTCTTTTTGGTATAAAATTTTTTATTTTGAATATCAACTTCAATTTTTAAAAAATTTTAGATTCAAAATTTAAAAAAATTCTTTTATTAACTAATTAAAGGGAGGATGTACCGATATTTTTAACTATTAGTGTATGGAGAAAAAATATTAAATATTCCGTAAAATTTTATTATTGTAATTTTTTGTGAAAAATAAAATCGTGGTCATAAGATAAAATTTAAAAAACATTTTGACCTAATTTTAATTAATTTTATTTTCTCCTAAAAATTCATAGATTTTGAAATTCTCATGTGTAATTTTGAAGAAATTATGTTTTTGCATCCACAAAAAATTGCCTAATAAAAATTTGATTTTTACTACTTTTTAAGCATTAGTTTTGAGAAAAAAATTGTTTCTATGATATAATTTTTTTTAAATAATTCTGAAAAATTCTATTAAAATTCATCAAAAGAAATCAATTATTTAAAACTTTGATGATAAAATTTTATATAAGAATTCAATTTTAAGAAACATTCAATTGTTATTATTAGCATATATAATAAAAATTTCAGAGGAATTCAATTATTTTTAATACAATATTTTAAATCAAATTCATCGAAAAATGTAATTATTCTTAAAAATTTTATTAAAATTCGCCAAAAGAATTCAATTATTTAAAAATTTATTAATAAAATTCTTTATGAGAATTTGATTTTAAGAAACATTAAAATATTCAATAAATTATTTTTTTATTTAAATAATTGAATTTTAGCAGAATTTTCAAATAAAAATTAATTTAACAATGAAATTAAAAATTCTAAAAATGCTTTTTAAAAAATTATTAAAAATAATGGATTTATAGAAGAATTTTAGTTTAAAAACACTAAAAAAAATTTAATTTCGGACAAGTTACAAATTATTGCAGAAATTCAATTGTTTTTAAAAGTACCTAATAAAATTCTTCGCAGAAATTTAATTATCTTCAAAAATAATAATATTTTTCTGAGGAATTCAATTATTTTCATAAATAATAAAAAAGACATTGCAGAATTTAAATTATTTTTAGTTATTTTAATCAAATTCCTTGAAAAATGTAATTATTCTTAAAAATTTTATTAAAATTCGTCAAAAGACATATTTAAAAATTTGTTGACAAAATTTTTTATGAGAACTCAATTTTAAGAAACATTCAATTATTCAATAAATTATTTACTTTTGTATTTAAATAATTGAATTCTCGTAGAATTTTCTAAAAAAAATTGATTTAAAAAAATTAATTTCAATTAAAATTTTAGATAATAATTGAATATTAAAAGCATTATAGAATGAATTTAAAAAAAAATTGAATTTGTAAAAAGTTTTAATTTTAATTCGACTTTTTTTAAAATTATTTAAAGTTCTTATTTCCTAAAATATATTTATGTAATTAAAGAATTTTCGAAAAATCGAAATTTCGTAAAATTGAATTGTAAACAAATGGATTTGAGAATTCTCAAAAAACTTTATTAAAAATTATTAAAATTACTAAAATTGTAGAAAATAATAATTGAATAGAAATTATGAAATTAATTTTAAAGAAGTTGCAGTATCAATATTTTTATAATGCAAAATAATGATTTTATCACTCGGTCATCTTTAATTATTATTAAACATGGAGAAATTTATTACTCTGAGTCGAAGACTCGGAGTGATCATTTTCTTCATGTTTTCTGTTAAATATTCTTATAAGTTATTTAATTCCAAAAAGTATGTACTTGAAATTTTTTAAAAACTTTTGAAAATTTTTTCAAAATTAAATTTTTGTAACAACTCCAATTATTATTTTCTCCTGAATTGGCATCGTTTCTTTTTAAAACTGCATTTTATAAAATGATATTCTATAAAAGCGGGAAAGAAACTCTAGAATAATGTCAATTGAAAAAATTCACTATTCAGGAATCGGAGACTGTATGAAAAAGATGTACAAAAATGAAGGCCTCGCTTCTTTCTGGAAAGGAATATTACCGCCAATTTTATCTGAAACTCCAAAAAGAGCCGTGAAGGTAATAATTGGTTAATAGAAAAGAATTAAAATAATTCCAGTATTCAATCTAAATTTAAACGGACAAGAGTAAAATTACCTTTTTTCACAGTTCTTTTCTTTCGAGCAATATAAACCGCTTTTCCTCTTTGGTGCCAGTGCTCCAACTCCCATAGTAAGTAATATAATTATTTATTCATATATTTTTTCCATAATAAAAAAGTTTTCATATTATCTTCATTTATCTCAGATTATAGAGAACATAACTTATAATAACAATTCAAATGTGTTTTCAATTAGACATTCGCATTGGCTGGATTTTTCGCTGGCATGACGGAAGGTATATTCGTAAATCCATTTGAAGTTATTAAAGTGCAATTGCAATCGAATCGTAAGAAGATGACTGAAACTCCATCGACGTTCGCTGTGACAAGAGAGATTATTAGAAAAAATGGATTTGGTTTTAATGGTCTTAATAAGGGATTAAGTGCAACAGTTATGAGAAATGGCGTTTTTAATTTAGTTTACTTAGGATTTTATCATTCCGTTAAAGGCTATCTTCCAGTGAGCAACGATCCGAAATTGAATTTTTTAATGAAGGTACGTTTTAATAATATTTAATATGTACCTATTTCTATTAACTTTTCGAACTCTCAACTATCAAGTTTATAGAGTTTTTTTTTTTTTAAATGTATTATTTTTTAAAAAATGTATTTTTTTTTTTCTTCAAAAATACTAATATTTCAAAATAAGTTTTGAATGTAATAGAATTAAATTCTTTCAACTATTAAAATTTATTTCAATGAAATTTGACAAAACTTTTAATTGATTCAATTTTTTTTTGGATTATTTTCGAGAATTCAATTATTTTCATTTGAAAATCAGTTTGAAATAGAATGCCTCGCTTAGAAAATAAAAATAATTAATTTAATCATTAATTGCGTCACTGATTATACGTAATATGTATCACTTAATTTAATTATTCCTAATTACCGGAATGAATATTTTTTGGAACTTGTTTAGGTCGGCATTGGTTTTTCGGCTGGAACAATGGCCTCTTGTTTAAATATTCCATTCGACGTGGCCAAAAGTCGTATTCAAGGGTCACAAAATAATGAGTATAGAGGAACGTTAAGAACAATCGCTACTGTTTATAGACAAGAAGGGTATGTATATTAAAAATATATAATTGTAAATCTTTTAGGACCAAAAATTTTATTTTGTTTTTCCCTGACTTTTCCCTGATTTCTATGACTTGTGGCAATCCTGTAGGATAATTTGCACAAAAAAAACTTCGAATACCAATTTTATTAATAATTTAAAATTATTTATTACTTAGTCATTAATTTTCATTTTTGAAGTAAAATAGAAAAATATGAATTTTTCAAATATTTCCAACAGATTCAGAGCCCTTTACAAAGGATTATTACCAAAAGTTTTACGACTAGGTCCCGGCGGAGCAATAATGTTAGTTGTCTATGACTACATGCACGCTTACCTCACAGTCAAGCTGAAGAATTAAATACTATCTTTCTTTCTATTCACAATTGTAATTGACGACGTTTCAATGTTATCGGACAATCGAACTAGTCTTTCTGCATATTCGTCGAAAAGAAAACAAAACAAAAGAACAAATACACTTTTTTCAATATCACCAAAACATTGTGTTCCTTTTCACACAGAAAACATAAAAATAACTCTGAAACACAGAATTCGGTGCAATGAGAACTAAACATCCAAAACAGTTTCAAGCCAATTTTCAAGATCCACAGATTTTGTTGGTACAGTACCAAATGTGTACATAGGCTCTACAAAAAAAAAACGTAATTTTTCAATCTATTTTATACTTTAGAATAAATTAAAAATAGTTAAACGTTGTAAAATGATTGAAAAAATTTTATATTTTTGTACTTTGAGAATAAATATAGAAGAAACAAACAAATGGTTTTCCTAAAGGTAAATTTACTTTTGAATTTCTTTGATCTGCATAACATATTTTTTTGCTTGAAAAAAATTTATAAAACATAAGAAACACCTTCATTACTTGATTTTCATTTAATTACTTTTACTAATTTTGTTCTAATTAATTAAAAAAATTTTTAACTAACCTATAGACCAGTGGTTTATAATAAAAATTTATTTCAACTTTTCGAAATTCAAATTCAATTTCCTTTTTGTATATTTTCTATTATTTTTCAATTCTTAATTCATTATAATTTTGTATGTCTTTTAAATTTATTTTTTTTATTTTTAATTTCTTAATTTTATATATTTTTATTTTAAATTTAATGTTTCTACTAATTTTCATTTTAAAAAAGCGTCCATCAGTTCGTTTAAAAGTAGAAAAAAAATTTTTTTTTATTAATTCATCTTAATTAATTTTATTCATTGCATTATTTTGATAAATTCCCTAATAAAAAAAATCATTTAGATTTTTAAATGTTAAAGCAAATTTTTATTAAAAACTACTTGTCCGATTGTATGTTAGTTTTGTTGTTTTCCTACAATTTGAATATAGGTAATTAATAATATAATTAATTTGAAAATCATTAAAATAGAATATATTTAATATAATTAAATATATTTAAATAAAAGATGTTTTGATTTAAATAATTTTATCGCTTCCAAAAATATTAAAATAATTAAATATAATTATTTAAACCGTATAAAGGCCTCGTAAAAATTACTACTAAACATAAAAAAACGAATGTAAAAAATTACAAACAATTAACTTTAATTAATTCAATATTTTTTGGAATCCATAAATTATATAAATAAAAGATGTTTAATTAATTAACTAACATTAAAATTGAAAAGTATTAATGGAAAATAGTTTTACCTTTTATTTTCGATTTGGAAATAACTTGAGAAAGCATAGGAATTTTTGAAATCGGTGCATCCATTGTTAAAAGAGTGTCTAATTCATCTTCAAGGTTATCAATTTCCGAAGTTTTATCATTTTTACAATCACCAGAAGCATTTTTCTCATCAATTTCTGTTCTTTCTTCATTACTCACTGTAATTGTCAATTCTGTATCCTAAAAAGAATAATTAAATTTAATACATATAATCTATTTTTCAATAAAGAGTTAAAATAATAAAAGTATTTTATTTTAATTTTTACTTTAAAACCTTTTGCAATTTAATTCTTTTTATAAATTCTTACAGCAATTCTTCCAATATTCAATTATTTTCTAGAATTTTTAAATGAAATTCTTCACTAAATCAATTACTTTTAATAATTTTTAGAAAATTCTTCGAGAATTTAATTATTATTCAAGAAAAAGAAAGTTTATTTAAAATTCGTCTAAAATTTAATTGTTTTAAACTCAATAAATATTACAAAATTTATATTCTTCGAAAGTTTTTTAATTAAATAATAGGTACATAATATTCAAAAATTCAAATAATTTTTTTAAAAAATCAATCAAAATTTTTCCAAGAAATAAGTTCAAGAATAATTTATTGTTTTCAGTACTTTCAGAGGATACTAAAAAGAAGGTTTGTAAAATTTCTAGAAATTTGTTAATTTTCCACTATTTTTTTATTAAAAAAAACTATGTTATTGTTAAAATTCATAAAAATGGAAAAACAAGTCTAAAGAAATAAATTTTGGAAAGTATTTTAAATTAAATTTTTTAAATGAATTTTATAATTTTACTTTTTAGTACTAAAAAATTGTCGAATTAGAACAAAGGGGGCTTTAGATCAAAGTCGTTTTTACGTATTAAATTAAAACAAATACCGATTCAGTAACAAAAATTGGTTGTAAATTATTTATTGTTAATTAATTATTTTAAAAAAAATTCTTCAAACGAATTTAATTATCTTCAAAAAAAATTGTAATAAAATTCTAGGATTATTTTCTAAAAATGTTAATAAAATTGAATAATTAAATGTTAAATTTCAATTATTAAGAAACAAGATTATTTTAAAAACTTGAAAGAAATTGTTTATAAAATTCGATTACTTTCAAAATTTTCAATAAAAATAATTAAAGAAACTCCAATATTTAAAAAAAAAAATTCGAAAAAATTCTTCAAAAGAATTTAATTAGGATTTTTTAAAAATTTTAGTAAAATCCTTTGCGACAATTCATTTATTTCCATAAATAATAAAATTCTTTGCAAGAATTTAATGATTTTTAAAACACTAATTTTAAAATTGAAAATATTTAAAAAGAAAAATTATTTCAAAAGTTAGAAAACAAAAAAGCAAACAACTAACATCAAATTGACGAACAGATTATATCGGAATACAATGATTATTAATATATAGATAGAAGATTGGAAAAAATTTCAGCTTTCCAATGAAAATAATTTTAAAAAATAATAAAAAATGAGGTAGTTTCTGTAAAAATTGAAAATTGTCGTTTTTATTATTTATAAATTGTTTTTGACCATGGATTACGTTTCCGGGTTGTTACTAACTCCAAATGACACATTCCAATTTTTGGCAAAAAAATTTTAATTTCTTCGACATGTAATGTAAAACATTTTATTTATTGACTCCCTGAAGAGGAAATCGTTTTGATTTTGAAACGTTGGAGTGAATTTTATATTAAATAACCATTTGTCCGAATGTATTCGTGTAAAAAATTTATTACTTTTACCTACTAATTGAAAAATAAGATTTATTTTTCAAAAAAGAGGAATTAAAAGCGTTTTACCTAAAAAAATTTTCTGCACTAAAAAGTACAGAAAAATACTTTAAAATTCACTGTATAAAAATTATAAAATCTAAAATAGAAAATTTTCTATCGAATTTGTATGCATTTGAACATCTAATTTTTTTTATTAGATCAATTCACGTGGAATTGTTCACAGTAAAGAAATTGATTAAGTAAAACGAACAAAAAAAAAGGTATTTCGAATGACAAAGATACATACATCTTTCTGTGTTTTACTATCTTCAAATTCCCTACGAACATTGGACTTGGTATCATTTTTTAAATACGTCAAATCGTGTGACAAAAGTCCACAAGATTTGCAGCAGCCCGAACAACAATCGTCCTTGGAATTGTACGTTCTGTCATCTGAAACAGTGGCTTTGACATAACTTAAGAACTCCTCCTCTGATTCCTCGTTTCTTTCGTTTTCCTCGTCGGAAAAAGAATGTATTTTCGGTTGAGGGGGAGGCAAGTGCTTCTGTATCCTTGCTTCCTTTTCCTCCTCTGTCTCGTCAATTTTTTTACGACTATTTCTAAATTTCGCTTTACGAAGATGTGATCTAACGTCCTTTCCGAACATTGAAGGTTTCGCTCCAGACGTGCGAGGCTTTCGCTCCGGTCTTCTTTTCTGACTACTTTAAAATACAATAAATTATTTATATTTTTCATTTATTATTAGAATCGTTCAATCCACTTTTCACGAGTTCTAATTGAAAATCAATCTCAATATTTAATTTATTTAAATACATACCTTGGCTCTGCCATTTTATATAAATAATTATGTTTCTCTTTAATTAGATAGAAAGTTTATTCGTATTTTAAAGCACTTATTGGAGGTGACACTTTTTTTTACAAATTTAATAATATTAATGTTAACGTCAGTGATTGTTTACACTTTATAAATTAGAAAAAAAAGTGAATGAAAGAAATAAATATTTTTTATTTTAATATGAATGAAGTTAGCAGCATGAGTTTTCAAAGGAATTAATTTATTCTCATTTCTCAGCCAATCGGATTGCGCCATTAGGCCCGAAAAGTGGAATATTTGAAAACTTACCTTTAAGATCGTTAAAAGTCATGAGAGTCATGACATAACATAACCTCAAAATATTTTAAAAAGTAAACATAAACAAAGAGTTTTTTTAATTTATTATTTATTAAGTTTGATTCTATAAATCCTAGAAAAAGTCTCTAATATGTGATTGTCGATTTTATTTCTTTTCACGAGCATGCAAAATAAATAAATTAAATATTTTTCCTTCTAAACGTCAAATTTATTAGGAGTGTCAAACTTTTGTATACAAGAATTCCGTTACATTTATTTTATCAGACTAGTGAGTATTGCTTTAAAATATTTGTTTCAAAAAAATTAAAAATAAGATTATACTAAAAAAAACGGAGTGTCTATTCGGTCAGTTAACTGTCAAAATAAGGTGGTTTAAATATTCTGCCAGTTCACTGTCAGAATAAGTTAGTTTTCTTATTTGGCCAGTGTATCTAAAAAAATATACAATTAATATCTAAAATCAGGCCAAATAAAAAAGAGACTCTATTTGGCCAGTCAAAATAAACAGTTTTTAATATTTCAATATACGGGCAAGCTGACATTTTGATAAATTAAAAAAACAACTAAATATATGAAGTAGAGACAATTTGTTTTCATTCTGCACAAACATTTAATTATTTTCATAAATAATACAATTATTTTTGGTAATTCAATTATTTTCATAAATAATAAAATACATCGCAGAATTTCAATTATTTTTAATACAATTTTAATCGAATTCCTCCAAAAAGTGTAATTATTCTTCAAAATTTTATTAAAATTCGCCAAAAGAATTAAATTTTAAGAAACATTTAATTATTCAATAAAATGTTTATTTTTGTATTAAAATAATTGAATTCTCGTAGAATTTTCTAATAAAAAGTTGATTTAAAAATTAATTTTAGATAATAATTGAATATTAAAAGCATTATAGCGTGAATTTTTAGAAATAATTGAATTTTGTAAAGGTTTCAAATTAAAATCTTTGAAAATCAGAATTTTCATACTTTTAACTAACAATTCTAAAGAATTAATTTTTTTGAATAATTTTGAATTTTTTTTTTAATTATTTGAAGTTTTTATTTTCTAATATATATATTTAATTGAAAACTTCCCGAATAATCAATATTTCATAAAATTTAATTGTAAACAAATGAATTTGAAAATTCTCAAGAAACTTTTGCAAAAATTAATAAAAATAATTGATAATTGATTTTTTTTGAAGAATTTTAATAAATTCCTTGAAAACAATAACATTTTTCGAAGAATTTACTTAAAATTGTATTATAAATAATTGAAATCCTGTGAAGAATTTTATTATTTAGGAAAATAATATTGAATTCTTAAAATTTTTTGAAATTAATTACATTTTTCGAGGAATTTATTTCAAATTGTATTAAAAATAATAATTAAAATCCTGTGAAAAATTTTATTTTTTATGAAAATAATTGAATTTTATTACACACAACGAATTTTATTACACTTTTTTAAATAATTGAATTCATTTGAAAAATTTTATTACTTGTAAAAATAATTGAATTCTTGCGAAGAATTTTATTAAAATTTTTGTAAATTATTTGATTTTTTCTTAAATATTTGTATAAGTTGTTGAATTTCCAAAAGGTTAGAATTTGTAATTTTTGCGAATTTGAATTCTTGTGGAAAAATAATAATGATTAAATATTTATTTAAAAAAAAGTTATTGATGTTTTGGAATAATTTTACAATTAAAGAAATTCGTAAATACCTAAATAATGTAATAAAACATTTTTTTGAGTATCTAATAATTTTTAAAGTAAATCAAAATATTCTTTAGGGTCAGGGAAAATTTTGTCTAAATTTTATCCGGAAATCAGGGAAAAGTCAGGGAAAGAATAAATTAAATTTTTGTGGCAACCCTATTTTTCAGATTCTACTTTGAAAAATATATGTCTCAAAATTTGAAACATTAAAAATTTTGAAACCTCGATTTGAAAAACCTCCATTTGAAAATGGAGTAATTTTTATTCCAGGGCAAAAAATTTAATTTTGCTAAAGATCGAGACTATTATTGGGTTCCGAACGTTAGACTTTGTGTACAGAACCCTAAAAATAATTTTAGGTTTTTATAAAAATTAATAAATATTTTTATAAAAAAAATAATGTGTTGGGGTATTATTTGAAAATAATGAAATTTTTTTTTCAGGAAATATTTTCTATATTAAAATGGAAATCTTTACGTTTAACAAGAGTCTTCAGGAGAGGCTCGTTGAGTATACAGGAATTCTGTCGAATCGAGAGGAAATTGTTTCAGCCTCGCAAATTCGTTCCGAATGGTCGTATCACGTGGAATTTGTAATCGAACCAGTCGGCTGGCGTGCATTGTGGAAAATTCCAAAACTCACCTGCCAAGATTTTCAAATTCATTATCCCACAATAGTGGCCGTTGTGATTCAACAGGTGGATTTTCTCGAACTTCAGGCCCTCGTGAAGATTGTCGCCGTCCAAGAGGAGATACATTTGCCGGAAAAATATGACGTACCACTCATTGAATTGTATCCAACACAGCATCAAGACGATATTGCCTTGGATATGATTGCAACGGCAAATTGCATAGACCAACTTCGATTCTTCTACAATTATCTGTGGATGCCTTGGGATCATGACGACGACGATAATTGCGATTGGACATTGTCGCATCTTGAACCCAGGCTGAGATTGTTTTTCGACATGAAGAGAGGCAGTATTTGTAAAAAGACCTGCGACGTTATTCGAACGTTGATGAGGGAAGGAAGGGAGATAAAGGAGAAAATTTCAAGATTGGAAGTTGATATTTCTGATGATGAGGATGTGCACAATGCCTCGTTGGACGATGGCAAGGCCTGTCAATTGTTAAAGTTGCATTTTCGATTGCAACAAATTAAAACGGAAATGGAAGTTTTGGAGAATCCGGCAATGAGGGATGTGTTAATTAGAAATCAAAGTTCGAGTGTTATGGAAATTGAGAGCAAAAGGCGGGAAAGTGGAGTCAAGAAAATTGAGAGTTATTTCGTTTGGCTCGGTGGATCTTTAGATGAGACGGTTTCTTCTTTGAATCAAGCCAAAGGATTTTTACCTCCCGACACATTTGTCAAGTAAATATTCAAATTTTCATATTATTTTCAACTGGCAAAACTGAGAAACTAAAATTGAAAAAGGTTCAATTCATTAGGAGTCAAAAATTAAAAACTGTTAAAATTTTCAGAAATAATTGAATTTACGAATTTCTTTTAAATTTTTTTTTGAAAATAATGGATTTCTTTTCGAATAGGTGAAAATTTTTAAAGTAATTGAATTTTATGAAGAATTTCTTAAAAAAATTTAAATTGAACGATATAATTTAGAGAATTTTAGAGAAATTACAAATGACAGCAGAAATTTAATTATTTTCAAAACTAATAAAATTGTTCGCAGAAATTCAATTATGTTCAAAATTTTAAAAAATTCTCGTCTAAATTTCAATTATTTTTAGAACTAATACAATTCTTATCCGAAATTCAATTATTTTCAAAAATTTTAATAAAATTCTTAGCAAAATTTCAATTATTTTCAAATTTCCTAAAAGAAGTCAATTATTTACAAAAATTTAATAAAATTCTACGCAAAAATTTAATTATTTTTACGTTTAATTATTTTGAATTCACAGAAATTCAATTATTTTCATAAATAAAACGATTTTTGCAAGAATTCAATTATTTTCGTAAATAAAATTCTTTATAGGAATTCAATTATTGTAATAAATAATAATTTCGCAGAAATTCAATTATGTTCAAATATTAAAAGATTCTCGTCTAAATTTCAATTATTTTTAGGAATAATACAATTCTTCTCCGAAATTCAATTATTTTCAAAAATTTAAATAAAATTCTTAGCAAAATTTCAATTATTTCCAAATTTTCCAAAAGAATTCAATTATTTAAAAAAAATTTAATAAAATTCTACGCAAACATTTAATTATTTTTACGTTTAATTATTTTGAATTTACAGGAATTCAATTATTTTCATAAATAATACGATTTTTGCAAGAATTCAATTATTTTCGTGAATAAAATTCTTTTTAGAAATTCAATTATTGTAATAAATAATACGATTTTTGCAAGAATTCAATTATTTTCGCAAATAAAATTCTTTTTAGGAATTCAAAATTATTTTCATAAATAATAAAACTCAATGCTGAATTTCAATTATTTTTAATACAATTTTAATGGAATTCCTCTAAAAGTGTATTTATTGAAACTTTTCCTAAAATTCGTCGAAAAAATTCAATTTTTTAAAAATTTGTTTATGAAATTGTTTATAAGAATTCAATTGGTCAATAAATTAATTTTTTTATTTAAATAATTTAATTCTAGTAGAATTTTCTAATAAAAATTAATTTAAAAATAAATTTCACTTAAAATTTTAGATTATAATTAAATATTAAAAGCATTATAACGTGGATTTTTAGAAATTATTAAATTTTGAAAAGGTTTCATATTAAAATCTTTGTAAAGTTTAATTTTTCACACTTTTAACTAACTATTCTGTAGAAGAATTAATTTTTTAAAAAAATTTATTTCAATTTTACTTGAAATTATTTTTTTGAAATTTTTATTTTTTAATATATATTTAATTTTAGAATTTCCGAATAATTGAAATTATGTAAAATTGAATTGTAATAAAATAAATTAAAAAATTTTTAAAGAACTTTTTCAAAAATTATTAAAAACAATGGATTTATAGAAGAATTTTTAGTTTAAAACTCTAAAAAAAATTTAATCTTGGAGAAATTACAAATTATTGCAGAAATTCAATTATTTTCAAGTGTATGGTGTTAAAATATTAGCAGAAATTTAATAAAATTCTTTTTAGAAATTCAATTATTTTCATAAATAATAAAACTTTTACTTATCGCAGAATTTCAATTATTTTTAATACAATTTTAATCGAATTTCTCGAAAAATGTATAATTATTCTTAAAAATTTTATTAAAATTCGTCAAAAGAATTCAATTATTTAAAATTTTTTTGATAAAATTCTTTATGAGAATTCAATTTTAAGAAACATTCAATTATTTAATAAATTATTTTTTCTTGTATTTAAATAATTGAATTCTAGTATAATTTTCTAATAAAATAATTGAAATTTCGTAAAATTGAATATTGTAAAGAAATTAATTTGAAAATTGTGAAAGAACTTTTTCGAAAATTATTAAAAACAATTGATTTAAAGAAGAATTTTAGTTAAAAATTCTTGAAAATAATAATTGAATTGAAATGATGAAAATAGTTTTTTTACAGTAACAAAATTCTTACTATAATATAATGATTTTATCAATTTTGCCATCTTTAATTATTATAAAACATGAAGATATCGATCACTCCGAGTCGAAGACTCGGAGTTATTGATTTCTTCATGTTTTATAGTTATGAAAAAATTTAATTTATAATTTTAAGTAAAATGTTCTTTTATTTGACTTCGACTGGTTATATTTTTTGTGAGTATTTGGTTCGTAATTTTTTCGTAATTTTTTTTTGGTCCGTAAAGTCCGTATTTTTAAATACTTTCACTGCTTCAAGCCCTGTAATAATTGTAATGAAACATTTGATTATTGAATTTTATTATGTAAATTTAAAGAAAAGAAATTTAGAGGAATTGAAATTCGTATAATTTTTTTACAGGACGTCCAGTTGTTTAAAAGAAGCTTTAGACGTTTGTGACGCAGGAGATATTATTATTCTTGGAAGAGGCGATCATCCTATCAGAGGATCAGGAAATTTAGAAGACGGCGGAATGATCAAGGGAGTTGATTCAGCCGAGAAGACGATTATTTGTCCCAAAGAAACTGAAAGCGGTCCGTCTTTATTAGATTTTTCCGGTAGAGAAGTGAGCACAATTTTTCATAAAATTATAATTTTCTTTCATTAGAAAATGTATGTTTTAAAAATTAATAATGAATCTCAATTTTTGTTTTGCGATTTTCAAGGTGATACTGGAGAATTTGACGATAGATTTGGGAGATATTCAGGCGGGAATTCTTGTGAGAAAAGGAACAGTAAAGTTAGATGGATGTCGAATTTACACATCCAATCACAGTATAATTAAAATAGGAATTATCGTTTTGCCAGGAGCAAAACTAACCGCACAAAATACAACTTTAGTGGGATTAGGAACTGGAATCATGATTCATTCAGGAGGAGAAGCTAATTTAAGCGAATGTCATTTCGAAGAATGCATAGATGGAATTCAGGTATTTTAAATTATAATTTTAATTACAAAGAATTGAGTTTTAAATACGGTACCGTTCGGTAATTACCTTTTTCATGATTCAAGCCTCCGATATTGGTATCCGGACAAGAAGTCTAAAATAAAAGGTCCGAACAAAAAAATCCAAAGTAAATAAAATCCAAAAAAGTAAAAAAAAAATAGTTTCACTTTGGACTTATTTTTTGGATTTTTTGTCCTGGTCAAAAAGTCCAAAGAAATTAAAACTCCAATGAATATAATTGAGATATAAAAATTTCAATGGTTGCCTTGAATGAAATTGTCCTTTTTTTGAGTTGCTCATTTCGAAAGTAAGTAAACTTAACATTTTAAATTTCTGAAAATAATTAAATTAATCGAGTAACTTAATTGGAATTATATTGAAAAAAATAATTGAATTTTTGTAGAGAATTTTATCAAAATTTGTTGAAAATAATTGTATTTCTTGGAATAATCGTTTAAAAAATTTTATGTAGAATAATTGGAATTTTTCTAGAAATTTTTTCATTTATAAAAATAATTGAATTTTTGTGAAGAATTTTTTTATTTTTGAAAATAATTGAATTTTTGTGTGTAGAATTTTATTATTTATGTTAAATAATTAAAATCCTTCGATTTTAACATTAACTTTTTAAATTCCGATTTTATAGCGTAAAAAGTAAGAATGTGGTTTTTTCACATATTTCATTATTTATTTTGGACATTTTTGTTTTTGATTTTTTGTACTTTAGAATTTTTCACTTGGATTTTTTGTCCAATTTTTTGTCTCCGATGTGTTTTTCTGCTTTCTTCAACTATTTTCAAAAAATGCGACATTTTTCGATATTTCTTCCAAATATTGCAATAAAATACCACGTTTTTAGTATAAAATGCAGCATATTTTGATTTTTTTATAGTGTGAAAAATAGACGAATCTTTTAAAAATTATTTTTGAATAATTTTTTTAATTAAATTTTCGAAATATACAATTAACAAGATTTTGAATAATTGAAATTTTGTAAAATTTAATTGAAAAAAATTGATTTCTTTCAAGTGTTTTATTATAAATTTTGAAAATCAATTTTTGAAGAATTTCAATTTGCAAAATTTTGAAAATAATTTAATTCTCAAAAATTTTAATGAAAAATCTTCAAGTGTAAATTTAATAAAAATGAAAATTAATCAAAATTAGTTTCTAAAAATTATATTAAAATATTTTCGAAAAAAGTAATTCTCATAATTTTTTCATTCTAATTTTTAAAATTAAGTTATTTTCAATATTTTTGATAACCTACAAATTTTTAGAATTATTTTTAACATTCTGGAGAAATTAATCAAATTTTTAATTTAAATTCTTGAAATAATTCGTTTTATTTTTAAATTATACAAAAATTTGTTTACTAAATTTAATTATTTTCTAAAAATTACATTACATCATTTTTAAGAAACTAATTGTTAGAATTGTTTCATCACAATTTTTTAAGATTCAATTATATCTTCGAACAAAGTAAATCAACATTTTTGAAAATTTACTTTTTTAGATTTATTAAAATTTCAGAGAAATTTGAATTTATACTTAAAATTGTTCAAAAATTTGATTGTTTTTTTATATTTTTCAAAAATTTCATTATTTTAAAAATATTTTACCAAAATTGACTTGTTTAGAATATTTTCAATTCTATATAATTGAAAAACTATTATCTTTCAAAAATTATTTTAAAATATTAAAAAAAAATTAATTTTAAGAATTCCTTTATTATAATTTTTTGAAAATATTATTCCTTAATAATTTAAAAAAAACATGGCCAGTTACAGTTACAAATTATTATCTAAAAAAAATTTAATTTTCGTATTTAAATAATTAAATTCTCGAAGAACTTTCGGAAAATTATTGAAAATAATTGATTTAGAGATGAAGTTTAGTTAAAAATTGTACAAAATAATTGAATTTTGGAAGGGTTGTAATTGTAATTTTTAGAAATTATTTAATTTCAGAAGGTTTTAAATTAATATTTTTAAATATTATTTCCCCCGAGGAAAAACAAAAAAGAAAGATTTAAATAATGATTTAACAAAATTATTCTTTTTTTAAATAATTGAATTTAAAAATTAGAAAGGTCAGGGAAATATAAAATAAAATTTTTGTGACAAGACTAAATTAAATAAAAGACTTTTTTTCTATTTTTAACCGACTAAAGCGACTTTTTTTGCGCCTTAAAATCGATTCGAGGCCTCATGATTAGAAAAGTGTAATTTCAATCATATCGTTGAATTAAAAAACAATATTCTTTATTTATTTGATTTAATTTCTTTATTCTTTATATTTAGAAAATAAATTACAATATTTTCCTTCTTTCCTTTAGCTTCAAGATGATTCTAAACTGACAATGACAAACAGTCCTTTAAAAAATCTGAAAGAATATGCCATTCGTATGGAGTCAGGAAAATATTTAAATGACTGTGAATGCAAAACAGGCGGCACTGAATTATTAGAAAAAATGTCAGAAATCTCTCTGGAAGGCTGTAAATTTGCAAACAATGGCAAAGGTGATGTGTTTTTAAAATCACAAACTACAACCTCTTTATTAGCGAAATCTGAGGATATGATTTCGTGAAAATAAATTTTCAGTTTTTAATTTATTTTCAAAAATATTTTTTTTTAAAAAAGTGTAAAATTTACACATAAAGAGAATCTCAAATTCAATTCGAATTTTTTGTTTGTTTTAATACTTAGTGATGAACTGTATAATAATTAGGAATTTTAACAAAATGATTTCACGTAATTTATACTAATACAAAATTTTGTACCACTTTTTATTGTCATGATTTGACCGTGTTTGTCTATTAAAAAAAAGTTTTTTTTTTACTAAAGAAAATGGATTTTTATTTTATTACATAAAATTCACTAATTTCAAAAAATAAAAGACTTATTTTTAAAATATTTATTATAAAAATATTTAACAAAAATTAGAAGATTTAAACACTTAAAAAATACATAGACAGAAAAAAATTGTGTGATTTGTCCTATAAATCAACACCACATTCGAGTTTAAACATAAAATATAAATGAGAACACAAAAAAGGATAAAAGGGTAATTTTATAAAATAGGAGAAGAGCTGTAAAGCCTGTTAAAGTTTTCTTTGTAATGCCTTCAAAGCCAATCCCAAAGCCCAGTTTAATTGGTGACCAGAGATTTCTTCATAGAGCTAGAAGTAAAAAATTTACTATACTTTAGTAAATTACTTAGAATTTTTTATTTTATTCATTCATAACTTACGTGGAGCTTAGTTTTAAAATTGAGACCATAAATATTTGTCAGCAATGAATAAATATAAGTCGAATCGAGACAGAGAAACGGTTGATCAGAATTCGCTTTTCTACAAGTTTCTAAGACGGCTCTATGAATGTCTCCAATTGTTATCGTTCCACCTTGTTTATTGTCTATCAATCCAATCTGTATGAAAATACATTCAAGAATTTAGGTACAAAATTATTTAAAACCACATTTAACATTAGGCTAAATCTATTTCAAATAATGCAAATCGACTAACTTCAAGGCTCATTGTATATTTTTATTAAAATTTACAAGTAGAAATGCAGAAAAATTGTTTTTATCTGACTAAGTCAAAAGTTGTAAAATTTAAAGCACATTTTTCAAAATATTTTATTTTTTGATAAAAACTATATTTTAATCAATTGCAATTTATTTATTTAATTTTTTAATATATATTTAATTAATTATTAAAAATCATGGATTTATAGAAGAATTTTTATTAAAAACACTAAAAAAATTGAATTTTAGAGAAGTTACAAATGTTTGCAGAAATTCAATTTTGTTCAAAAATTTCAAAAAATTCTATTCAAAATTTAAATTATCTTTCGAAATAATAAAATTCTTCTCCAAAATTCAATTATTTTTATAAATAATAAAAATTTCACAGGAATTCAACTATTTACAAATTTTTTCGCAATAATTTAATTTTTCAATTATTTTCATGAATAATATATCTCATCATAGAATTTCAATTATTTTTAATATTATTTTAACCGAATATCTCAAAAACTGTAATTATTTTTTCGAATAATCAAAATTTCGTAAAATTGAATTGTAAACAAATGAATTTGAAAATTCTCTAGGAACTTTTGCAAAAATTATAAAAAATAATTGAAATCATGTGAAGAATTTTATTATTTAGGAAAATAATTGAATTCTTGCAACGAATTTTATTCAACTTTTTTTAAATAATTGAATTCTTGAAACGAATTTTATTAAAATTTTTGAATAATTGCATTCTTTTGAGAAATTTTACTTAAATAGTAGATTTTGAAAATATTTTAATTTCAGCGAAGAATTTTATTATTTGTGAAATGTAATTGAATTCTTGCAAAAATATTTAAAAATAATTAAATTTTTCGAGGAATTCATTAAAAATTTTATTAAAAATAATTGAAATCCTAAGAAAAATTTTATTATTTATTACTTATAAAAATAATTGAATTCTTGAGAATTTCAAAAGGTTTAAATTTGATATTTTTGAAAATTTTAATTCCTATGGAAAAATAATAATAATTAAATATTTATTTTAAATAAAACTATTGATGTTTTCGAATAATTTTACAATTAGAGAAATTCGGAAATAAATGTAATAGAACATTCTTTTTGAGTATCATATCATTTTTAGAGTGAATCAGAATATTTAAAAAAGTAACAATTTTAACTGTTTTACAATTTTTTATTTTTTAAAAAATTGAAATTCTTGAAAATCCATTCAATTGATTGTTCAGAATCATAGAAGAAGTATGTATATAAAAAAATAATCAAAATTATAAGAGAAATTAAAATTTTTCGAAATATCGAGTTTTATTTTAAAAAATAGGTACTAATGAATTCTTTTTTAATTTTTTAAAGTATATACCTATAATTTTAAATACTAGAAATTGCCAAAGAAAAAATATTGATCACAAATAAACAACAAAAATTTAGGTGAGTTGAAATTTTACCGGCCCCTTCCCTTAATAAGAAAACACGTATTTTTATTATTTTTCATTCATGAAAACTGTTTTTAACGAAATTATACGTAAATTTGAACTTTGAGTAATAACATATGAAAGATCAATGAAGAAAAATTATTTCGCTTGTAATTTTTTTCTAATTGTTAGGTAAATCTACGACTCGAAGTTAGTCGGTTTGCAGAATTTAAAATGAAAATGAAAAAGACCATAAATTGTTATATAAATAATGTGAACTGATTACTCAGATTGAAATCTTCGTACCTCAGAAATTATGTCAAAATAATAGTCAAAAGCATAAATCACTTGATTATTCATTCCCACTGGTTTGTCGATTATAGTATTCGTGAACTTTTCAACTACATTTATGCAGTCTTGAAATTTATTAGACGAACTATTGTCCTCTTCTTCGATACTATTACTGTTAACTTCAAAATAATTTTCCACTGACCCCAATATATTGTAATCTTGACCATTATAATTCCACGTAAAGTTAGCTACTGGATCAAAACATTTCGAGTGCACCACGACAATTCCATTTTCATTTTTTGCTGACGATTCCGATACCAAAATTGCCTTTCTCGCAGCCATGAGTCCCATGCCTAAATAGCTGTGAGTAAAAACACTCATATTTTGATTAAACACACTGATATTATAAACAGAGTGATTTACATTCTCCTCGTTCAGACGATAAGTAACTTCTGTTGATCCACCGCCAAGATCGATAACCGCCACCAGATTTTGCGTGCCCTGTTGACTAAATCGTTCCAGGAGGAAATTGACAGTGACCCAAGAAAAAATTCCCTCGTCAACACCTTCCATTATTGACACCGAATTTTCGTTCAATTGAAAACCGGAAGAGTTAAGAAAATTTCTCGTCACCTCCAGAATTCGATTCGCCTTGTCAGCAGGAAGAAGTCGAAGGCCGGCTGTGGCTTTCAGAAGAAGTGGAGTGTCGCCCCATTCGGAGGAAGGAATAGCGGATTTTGCCTTTTCAACAAGTATTCCTAGAGATTTCGTCGCCTCGATAGGATTGTCGGCGTATGAACTCAAACCCGGCTTCTCCTGATGGAACAATTCGCTTTCCAAGACTGGACTGCCATTCTCAGTCGAAGTGCGGAAACGAAATGCGAATACTCGAGATCCAGTCGATCCGGCATCAATAATGACAGCGTAAAGAGGTTTCTGAGAATCGAGGGTTGTTGTTTTTTCAACTTGAGGAAGGGTTGAACCGTTCGCATTCGCCACATGGCCTGATAACACAAATCCCAGGAATAACAGCGTGTATTGTTTTACAATGGTTTTTGACACATTCTTCTGGTTTGTTGACCTCGATTTATTGTTAAAACTCCTAACATTGTGATCATCTTCATCTAATCTTAACTGTAAAAATGTATAATATTAGTTTTAGAAGATAGTAACCAATTAGCGTTCATTTTTACCCTATAGGGCTAAAATAACGCATAGGAACAGCTGTTATTTTTCCCTAGGGGAAAAATGGCCGCTATTTTCATACGGTCGAACAAATGAATGACGTTCGATGGTGTCTAAAATTTGTAGGTTATGTGTAACTTACAGTTATCGCCCAATAAAAACGGCACTGCCTGTTTCAAATGACGTGAAATTGGTAAAAATTCATTTTCTAACAAATTTTTCTCTGTTATCACAGGCACTTTTTACAAAATCTGACAACGTACATTTGTCACAAATATTTTTAATTGTCTGAATTCAAAAGGTTTTGTTAATCCATGCAAAAACGCGGTTGCAGGATTGGAAATACAAAAGTAATGTAATGACAGGCAGCAAGACGTGTGTTACAGCCATTTTTCCAGTAGATGGCAGAACCATGCAGCGAGCGTAAAGGCTCAGCTGTTAAAATGATTCGCATTACATTGCTATGGTAATTCCAATGCGCTGCAACTGTGTTTCTGAATAGACCTTTTCATCTCGAATAATTTTTTCTCAATAATAATAATAACTTCCGGTCGGTCATATTCAAATTCCCCATGTTAATACATGGTGAATTTTTGAATATGACCGATTGTCATGGCGGACTGAGATTGCGCTTTCCTATATTCATTTCCTATTCGAGATGAAAATGAATTTTTCATTTATTTAATTTTTTGTTAGAAAATGAATGTTTACCAATTTCACGTCCTCATTTGCCGTATTTGTTGGGTGATAACTATTAATCGCACATTATCGAGAAATTTAAGAGACCATCGAACACCGTTAACTGCATGGAAAGTATGGGATTGAGAGCACTAGCACTAGCAGTGAATTCTTTTTAATGATGAAAGAAGTTGTTCTTCAATTAAAAATGGATTTTTATGTAATCGAGATGCGTTTTGACATTTTTAAGTGAGAGCGGGCGCAAAAGTATTTTTCACACCAGAGTCGAAAACCTGTGCCATGTGAGGTTGAGTCCACAATCAAATAAATCGTCTCGATTTCGATGCGCAGTAAGCAAAAATGTATGTACGCGCATCGAATCGTCTTGAAAGTCGAGACGATTTTTAGCTATTCTGGACTCAGCCTGAAGTAGGCTGAAAATCGAAGTTTTCAGACCAGGCGACGCAGAGGGGGAAAAAAGGCTTGCGCAGACGCGTAGCCAATGGCAGACGACGTAAAACATATTCACCGGTCGGCGTTTTTTTCTGTATACATGCATGCAGATACGAAACGTGTTTATTCCTCTGATTTTGTAACCTTTGTTTGTTTAAAAACAGTGATTTAGTGAATTTATTAATTTTAAGAAGTCATCATCAATATCGCAGCGTTCACCGCCTGAATTATCATAAGCAGCAAAAAATGCTTATTTTGACGTGCGCTTTTTGTAACGCAGAATTCTCAAAATTTGACAATCGAGAGTAACTAACAAAATTTCAACATCACAAAAAGCAATCAGGTTTTATTTCAATTTAATAATTTGTAATGTCACTATTCAATATTACTCTAAGTAATTTTAATTATTTAAAAAGATCAACTTAATTATTTAATGAAATTGTGTACAGTAAATGTAGGGTTTCTTGGTCGGGTTGTTGTGAAAAATACAGTGCGTGCCTCGAAGAGACGAATCTTTCTCGCCTCGAGTGGTTTATCGCCCTCGTCCGAAAAGACTGCGTTTCTCCCCTAGGTAGGTAATATTCCATTTAAAGTTATATAAAAAAGAGAGTTGAGAATTTCGAAGGCTTTGTGGTTACCACAGGTAAGAAAAAATGAAATTGGTCAAGGAAATCAGTGAAATGTTAGAGAATTTTATCAAAAGTATTTTTTTTTAAATCGCAGTGAATTTAAAAGTAAGTAATACCTTGATTAAAATTGTAATTTGGTTTATTTTGTAATGTATAGTTTCGGGACTAACGTGAAACTTTTAGAATGCGTGATCATTCTGAAACAATCAAATTTTTTCATTTATCTGGAAAAAAGTTGCATTGAAATATTGACGAATTTAACTAAATAGTTACTTTATTTAAAGGTTTTTTTTATTTGAGTAGAAAAAAGAAGAAAAGTTCAAAGAAAATGTGAAAGATCGTCTTAAGAACTCTTCTATATTTCGTAAGTATTTATTTAAATGATTCCACATTTTCTCATAATTAATGGATAAAAATCGTAAAATTGGGTTATTTTGTAGGTAAATAATTTTAAAAACATATTTTGTGTATTCTTGCATATAATTTAATACTTTTATCAATAATTTATTTATATAATACTAAATCTAATCAGTAGACATAATATGTGACGCTCCACGAGAAAAGGGACCTTATTTACTCTTGTCATAAAGTCCATTTTCTCGTGGAGCGTCACATATAATGAAATGCGACTCTTTTAAATAATTGAATTATACAAATTTTTCTTTTTAAAGAAAATTTGTTAAAAAATGTTTTAAACACAATTTTTTAAAAGTTTGTTAAGAAAAATATTTATTTCTAAATCGTTGATTATAAGCGATGTGAGTTTCGCCAAAGCAGAATAAAAAAAAGTGTAAAATAATGAACGCATTTATATATAATACAAAAACCATTTCTTTTAAATTTTAAATTAAATAATATTATAATATTATTGGATAATTTTACCTTCCCCTCTTTAGCAGACATTTTTCTTGATCTGTACTACAGAACTGAAAGTAGATCTCTATGAATATAATTGTCACGAACTTATAAGAGAGATCCCCTCCTTTAAACTTTCTTGACAATAAATTTGTCTGTACGGAAATTTATTACCATATTTTTTACTACATAATTTCTAAGAAGCGTGTAATTATGATAAAAAAAGAGATGGAGAGAAAAATATGTTTTAAACTCTTCATAAATTAATAAAACAAGTTGTTATCAAAATCATTCTAACTTTTCATTTTTAAAAAGTATCCATGTTTTAAATCAGTTATATATTTTTAACTGAATCAAATTTAGAGAGATTATTATTAATTTATATTAATAGTAGAAGAGAAAAAATAATTTATCTATAAGTGAGATGTATTAAAAAGAAATTTGTTCAATTGTGGTCGCAGGTGTATTAAATAAATCAAATTTACAATTTTTAGAAAATAAAAAGTTAATGATGTGAGTGTTGTGTAAATAATATTTAATTTATATCCAAAATAAAATTAAGAGAATCATTTATTCCACATTTTTTCTTCTATTTGAAAGTTAAAAAAAATTTTTGTAACAATATACAAAATTTTTATATAGCAATTAACAAACAAGGAATTTTATTTTTATTTGCTTTCCATGAGGAAACTATTAAAAAATTTTCAATATTTTTAGTTTGTATAAATTTTAAAAATATAGACAGAAAGGTTTTTTAAGGAAATTCTCTAAAAAAAACTTTATACTAAAAAAAATTTCCTTTGATGATCCAGTTACTGTTCACTTTTATTTTAACAATAACAATTATAAAAAAATTATATTTTGTGAATCTATTTACGCAAACTAATAATTTTATTATATCAATACAACAATATTATAAAATTGTTTTAAAAAATTGATTTATATTACTACACGAGTATTCTTAAAAAATGGACAGCTACTGGGATATCCACGTAATTTACACTATAAAATATTATATGTTTTTGAAAAGAAGATTATTCTTAGTTTCTCCTTTAAAAAAACATTTTAAATTTCGTAATACAATTGTTACTTGTGTTTACTTTGAATACTATTCGTGTTACAAATGTTTTACTCGCATAAATGAATAACTTTATGCAATTATATATCATTAATCATTATTTTTCAAAGTAATAATAAAAATCGGAAAATCAAATCTTCATATGTAAAATAATTTGAAGAAATTAATTATAAATTGAGGGTTCCGATCGAAGAACCGGTTATAATTTTTTTTCAATTAAAAATCATTGTCAAATAAATATAAAAAATTAAAAGGTTTTTAGAGGAACTTTTTCGTAATCTTTATACAAATACGAAATGCTTACTAGAAATTCAAATTTTAAATCCATTTTTAATTTAGAAGCAGAAAATTTTGAGCCTTAAAAATGTTGACCCTCAATATTGATTTCACGTATTTCTGTTTTGTTAACAAAATTCAGTCATTTCAAGAAATAAAACACTTCTTCAAAACATATATGCTTCTTTAATTATGAACGTTTCAATTTTAACAGAAATTTGATACATCAAATAATATAATTATTTTCATTATCACTGAAAAAAAAGTTCTGGTTAGGGTATATTTAACACGATATTCTAGTTAAAACAACTAGAATTCTGGTTAAATTAACTAGAATTCTGGTTAACCTAACCAGAAAAAATCTAGTTAGGGCATATTTAACACGAAATTCTAGTTAAAAACAGGTTTTCTGGTAATTCCAACCAGAACTTTTTTTTCAGTGTATGTTTTTAATTGTAAATTTATAGAATTTTCAAAATTAAAAAATTTTAACAATGATTTTAACGCATTTTGTTTAAAAAAAATACGTCTCCTTTGAATATTAAAATTTACTTTGTAACATGTTCAAAGCCAATCCTAAAGCCCAGTTTAATTGATGACCAGAAATACTGTCACTGATCTGAAAATACAAAATTTATATTACTTCAAAATATCATTTATTTATTACTTTATTTAGGGGTAGATTATATAGTCAAAGTTTTTTTGAATATAGAAAAAGTAAAATTTATATAAATTTTTGTATTAAAAGTAACATGAGAAATTGGTAAGAAATTTTATTACTTTAATTCATTGTCAATCTGATCCATCACTGCTAAGTTAAAAGTATGAAATCGCAACGAATTGATACCAAAAATGTGGATCAAATAAAAAATTGATCTAAATTTTTGGCATCTATTTAATCCGCTTTAGTATCCATTTGATAGTTTCAAAAAAACTGTGAGTGTGTAAAAGTAAAAATGTTAAATTTTTATAAATTATTATTAAAAACTGTAGTTTAGAATAAGAAGTAAACTTTGCTCTGAACCGAATGATTAATAAAAATAGAAGAAGCATGTTAAAGAAACCCTGCGGTTACCTGGAGATTGTTTTCTGGATTAAGACCGTAAACATCTGTCAACAAGGAGTAAATGTAAGTTAAATCAAGACACATGAATGGTTGCTCCCGATTCCCGATATTACAAGCTTCTAAAGCAGTTTTATGAATATCTTCAAGCGTAATCTTTCCTCCCATTTTTCGGTCTATCAATCCAACCTACGAAAGCAACGTTCATTAATTTAGAAACAATTAAAAGAAGAACTGATTAAAAAAATAGAATTTATCGAATTGTCATTTCTTTACCTCAGAAGTTCGGTCAAAATAATACGCAAAGGCAAAAATATCTTCTTTGTTTAAACCCACTGGTCTATTTTCAATCGTATTTGTGTAGTTTTTAACCAAATTCAGACAATCTTCAAATTTATTAGACGAACTTTTGTCCCCATCTTTGGTGCTATTCTGGTCAACTTCTGGTGCATTTTCTGCTGAACCCATAACTTCATAATCTTGACTTCCATACTTCCACGCAGCATTAGCTAATGGATCAAAACATTTCGAGTGCACCACGACAATTCCATTTTCATTTTTCGCTGCTGATTTCGGTATCAAAATTGCCTTTCTCGCAGCCATGAGTCCCATGCCCAAATAACTGTGAGTAAAGACACTCATTTTTTGGTTAAACACACTGATATTATGAATAGAGTGGTTTAAAGCTTTTATATTTTCCTCGTTAGGACGATAGGTAACTTGTGTTGATCCACCGCCAAGATCGATAACCGCCACCAGACTTTGCGTGCCCTGTTGACTAAATCGTCCCAGTAGGAAATTGGCAGTGACCCATGAGAAAATTCCCTCGTCAACACCTTCCATTATTGACACCGAATTTTCGTTCAATTGAAAACCGGAAGAGTTAAGAAAATTTCTCGTCACCTCTAGAATTCGATTCGCCTTGTCAGCAGGAAGAAGTCGAAGGCCGGCTGTGGCTTTCAGAAGAAGTGGAGTGTCGCCCCATTCGGAGGAAGGAATAGCGGATTTTGCCTTTTCAACAAGAATTCCAAGAGATTTCGTCGCCTCGATAGGATTGTCGGCGTATGAACTCAAGCCCGGCTTCTCCTGATGAAACAATTCGCTTTCCAAGACTGGACTGCCATTCTCAGTCGAAGTGCGGAAACGAAATGCGAATACTCGAGATCCAGTCGATCCGGCATCAATAATGACAGCGTAAAGAGGTTTCTGAGAATCGAGTGTTGTTGTTTCTTCAACTGGAGGAAGTGTTGAACCGTTCGCATTCGCCACATGGCTTGATAACACAAATCCCAGGAATAACAGCGTGTATTGTTTTACAATGGTTTTTGACACATTCTTCTGGTTTGTTGACCTCGATTTATTGTTAAAACCCCTAATATTGTGATCATCTTCATCTAATCTTAACTGTAAAAATGTTACTTATTTAGTTAAGATATGTTGACATGCCTCATGCTTATATTGGAAAGTTAATGTAATTGCAATATATGTAATAAGTTTACGTTTTGTTGATTTTTATTATATGGCATATCTCTAGAACTTTTAAACTTTTAGGTATTGGAAGACTTAATTTTTTTTCAAGGCACATTCTTGAAATTAACTTTATTGTCTTGTGTATTGATCAAATAATAGAAAAAACCTTGCGATACTCATTTCTACACATCGTTAACCCCCCTGTAAATGAGTTTAACCCCGAGAAAATGTTTTTAAATGCATAGATTTTTCATACAGTTGGATTTTTACATCAATCGGTATCTGGGGGTTTTTGGGGTCGCTGATTACGAATATGATATTAGTTTGTCAAAATTTAAAATGGCGGATCCAATATGGCGGACGAAATTTAAAACAAGTTAATGGATTTCCACAGCATTGGATATTCAAGGGCTTTTGGTGTCGCTGATTATGATTCTGAAGTCGGATTTCAAAAATTCCAAATGGCGGATGAAAATTTAAAAAATGTTTGTTAAAAATGCCCAAATAACAAATGTATCAGGCAAGAAGATTCGATTTTTCAAAAATGTATCCACCATATTGGATTTTCTTTTAAGAATTTTTTAAAAATTATTTCAAATTCCTAATCAGCAAATCAGAAAATTCTTAAATGTCAAAAGACATTAAAATCTGATAATTTTTTAAAAATTTCGTCCTCCATTTTGGATTTGCCATTTACAATTTTTTTAAACTAACTTCAGATAAATAGAGGACCCCAGAAACCTATAAATAATACATTTTAGGCAGTAAATATGCAGTAAAAAAAATTCTTAAAACATTTGTATCATTATACGCAATGTAAAAATTAAGTTTTTCCAATTTCAATAAAATAATAGTATATTAAGTAAATTTACCTTCCCCTTTAAAGCAGACATCCTTCTTAATATGTTCTAGCAATGGAAAGTTAGTCTATAAAGAAAAGACAGAAAAATTTTCTCGAAAATATAAGCGAGTCCCCCTTCCACGATATTTTTGTGATAAGTCTTTTGTCGTAAAATTTTCTTGCCACATCTTCGACAATCGTAGTTACAAAATGTTATATTGACGAAAGACTAAAGTCTTAATTTTTTTCAAATTTCATTTACTTTATTTATCAATATCAAAGAATAATTATTGTGACTACATCCAATAAGTAATAATTGTAATATCCGAAAAAAATAAAATGGATTGCGGCGCAGAACAATCTTAAAAACAAAAAATAGGGCATTCCGAAAATTTCTATATCGATAGGAGAAAACTATATAGCTTTAATTTGCAATAATTTATTTTAAAATAAAACAGTAGACAGATTTTGGTAAAAATAGCAAATTAAATAGTAATTTATAAAAAATCGAGGTCAATTTTTTGAAATATTGAAAAAATGTCACCAATGAAAAGAGAATTAACGAATCTGTCAGAATAAATATATTAACATATTTTTATAAACAAATAGAAATAAAATAAGCTTCTCCGTCTAATTTCGTATTTTTTCTAATCAATTATGATTACCTGTTTTATTACGAGTATTTAAAAAAAGGCATTATATTGCATTAGGTGAAAAGTTATTTAATATTTTTATGATCGCGATCACTGAGGCTTAGACGCGCTATCTTAAGTAATGAACAAAATCTAACAAATATTTTTGTTTAAAAGCATGATTATTGCATAGTATTCATACAAAATTTGATCAAAATCCATCAAATAGAACGGTAGAAAAAATTTATTTAATAATTTGATACATAAAAATTGTTTAAACAATAACTCTTACAAAAATTAAAATTTTGCAAAACAACTTTGGAATTATATTTTGATACGAAAATACGTTAAAATTATTGAAACGACATATAAAAATCTTTTCATGGGAAAATTAGTGGCACACTTTAGAAATTTTTAGCTATTACCACTAAAGAGGACGATTAATTCTTCCAGTTACAACTTTTTTCAAGAAATTGAATTTTCTAATTGGGATATTACACATGAATTGCCTCACTTTCTGTTAACTAAATATGGTTTTCAAAAGCGTTTTCTTGAATATAATACTGCATTCTATAGTGAAAAGAAAATTGAAACCTTATATTAATATTATCCCCGGAATTTTTCTGCCTGTTCAAAGTTTAAAATTCCAAGATCAACTAGTAGACGTTATCAAACGTTTTTAATAAACTACTTTCTTCATCTAGAGATTTAATGAGCCAATGGACAGCACAAAGGAAACTATAAATTACCTATTTTTGTAAAAAAGTGACGTTAATCTAAACATTTTTACTTCGACGTTACCTATACAATAAATTATTTATGTTAGTAATTTTCTCTGCAATTATAATTTTGCTGTAACTAAGCAGTGACAAATGATTACTTTTTTTCTTTTTTTTACAGTTTTTTTAAACTGTATAATTTTAGTTCTGTTTACTACAATGTGAAATTTTAATTTAAAAATTGCTACTAAAAATTTTATTAATATTAAATTAATGTACACGCGGAGAAAAAAAGTTAGCTAATGCAACTAATTCTTAGCAATCGCAGCTAATTTTAATTGCTATTATATGGATAGCAATTATATTAGGTACTCTAGCTACTAAATATTAGCTAGGCGTTGTTAGCTATAGCAGCTAATTATCTAGCTAACAAAATAGCTAAAATAAATAATATACCTGGCTAATATTATTATAGTTCTAATAATGCTTTTATTTTACATTGTACGAATTTTTAATATTCTCTCTTCTGGAAAGAGATAAATTTTCAATAATTTTGAACATAAAATTAATAAACTAATTTATAAAAATATAACATTAATATAGAAAATTTGTTCAAGCTTCTTATGGAAGGGACATTTTAAGCTTGTAGCAATCTTGCAAATGTTCTATAACAAGCTTGCTGCAAGCTATCTGGCTGTATGCATCGTTTTGTTATTTTGTTTAAAATATTTTTCTTTATAAATAACTTATTAATTTCAGAAGCTGAGGAAAATTTTCTCTAAAACAATTTTAAGATTAAAATAAATATATCTTATAAAGATATGAAATTTAAATTTAAGTAGAAATTTATACAAGCGAATGTTAAATTTTCCTTTTTTCGTTTTTGTAAGTTTCTCGAGCGAAATATTTTTAAAAAAATTATGTTTTCTTATCAATTAACAATAAGGAGTTTTATATTTTCATTTGCTTTTCGTGCCTCTCTAAATCTGAATCAGCGAAATTTCACTGATTCTCAGCGATAAGTATGCCACTATTTTAAAACAGCGTATATGCGCTAATTAATCAGTGAAGTTTCACTGATTATTTAGTGAAATTTCACTAATTCACAGCGCATATACGCTAATTGAAATAGTGGCATACTTATCGCTGATTCAGATTTAGAGAGTGAGGGGAATATCAAAAAAGTTTCGATATCTTTAATTTGTATGAATTGTAAAAATAGACGATAACGTATTTTCTAAAGAAATTTATATATTTAAAAAATTCTTTATGCTAAATATTTTTTAAGAAATTATTATTTACTTACATATTAAGAATTAAAGTTAAAAATTAACTCATAATTAATAAATAACTTGTTCTTAATAATTAATAAATTAGCAAAAAACAAAAACTAGAAATATTCTGACAAATATTATTTAACATATATATATATATTCCGCTTTGCACAAAAAATACTTTCAATTAATAAAAACTTTACTGAAAAATAGTTCTGGTTAGGGTATATTTAACACGAAATTCTAGTTAAAATAACCATCAGAACATTTCTCAGTGTTTAATAATTTTTTCAAAATAAATTTTTAAAAAAGTTTGTTGTTTGGTAATTGAAAACTAAAATCTTCCATATTATTTTCAATATAACTCTGCGCCAGTAATTATTAACCAATATTGCTTTCAGGATTTTATTTTTAAAAAAAATTAATACTATTATATACGTAAAGGAGATTGGGGAATTGTGGGCCACACTTTTTTTAGCTCAATATCTTACACACAAAATTTTTAAATGTTTCGTGTCAGAAACTAACATATATTATAGTGTATAAACTAAACTTAGTGTATAAACTAACATATATCATAGTCAGTTTCCCAAAATTATTACTTACCTTAAAGAAATTTCAGTTTTACCAAAGAGTCCAATTTTATGATTTTTAAAAATGTTGGGGAATTGTAGGCCACTGCTTAAATTGAGTTCAAAATCAAAAATAACGAAGAAATATATAATATTTATTAAATGGTTAGAAGTATTAAAAATGTTTAATTATTAGTTTAAAATTAGTTTAAAATTATTGGATAAGTAAAATAATAGGCTCCATTGATTACAAATTTTTAAGTGAACAGCTTTATCGCATGAATCGAATTGCTTTTGTTAAATTACTATAGCTATGAGTGATTTTAATAATATATACCTGCATTGTGCAATTAAATCGCCAAAAACAAGCAATAAATACTTCCCTAGAAAAAGTGGCCCATACAATTCCCTAAATGCTTCATTTTACAAAAAGCTTTGTATTATTTATTCATTTTAATTTGATGCAAGATTTCTTTTTGGAGTTAAAGTACCAATGTCACACAATAATTAAAAAAATATTTTCCATAATTTATTCTTAAAAACAATAAAAATATGAAGGCCCCAAAATAAATATTTAAATGCAATTTTTCAGGTAATTTTTGTTTACGGTTTATAGGTAATTGTGAAGCGTTGTAAAGTCATGAAATGCTAATGAAAAATTTACTTTGGACGAACAAAAAAAAATAAAAAAAATTCGGTGATGATAAAACTTATAAATATTATTAAATAATTGAGGTGGCCCACAATTCCCAATCTTCCCTATATTTGTTGCAATAATAATTTATGATAGAGATCATTCACATATATTACGTCACGCAAATTTGGACAATTTTTAACCCCTCCCCCCTACGTCACATTTTGTTGCATAGGAATTGGTAATTTTTACACAGGACGTCACAAAACTGTAGACCCCCCTCCCCCCTAAGCCTGTGACGTAATATGTAAATGATCCCATAGTGTAATAGTCAGTAAATATTTCTTTTAAATTTAATCTTTATTTGAAATAATTTATTTTCAAAGGTAAATGAAAAAATGTATCATTCATTTTTTTAAAAAGATATGAAATTATATTGTAATGAGATATATGATGTTACTTTTGTGCACAACAGCTGCACCTAGGACACTTACGTTTGGTAACGCAGATTTCTGTCGTTAACATCCATGGTCGCATTGTCGGTAGTAAATATGGCAGATGTCTTCATTATCAGCTGTAGGTAATGCAGATTTCTAACATAATCTTCGCCTTGATCGGTAAGGTAGGAAGCTGTATTATCGATTAAGCCGGCTTTAGTGTTCCTAATTTCTCCACTTAGCGCTACTGTTTCTAAAATGCATATGTGTGTATCCGTGTAATGGGTATATAAGTCCACGCTGAAAGGTGCGAAAGCACTAGGACCAACTTCTTCCAGAGCATCGGATCTACCCAGGAGAGAGCCACGCAGCAGAGACTACAAGCACGAGAGGAAGTACAGCTCCAACGAATATTCCGTGGACGAGAGGAGAGAGGCAGTACAGCAGCGACGAAGGTGTTCGTGAAGGAGGGAGAGGCAGCGACGAAGGTTTCCGTGGACGAGGGAGAGGCATTGTAGCAGCGACGAAGCTTTTCGTAGACGAGGGAGAGGCAGTACAGTACCGGCAAAGATTTTCGTGGACGAGAGAGAGAGAGGCAGTACAATCACCGACAAAGTTTTTCGTGGACGAGGGAGAGAGGAGGAACTGCTCCAGCGAAGATTCCGTGGACGAGAGGGAGAGAGAGAGAGGCAGTATAGCAGCGAGGAAGCTTTTCGTAGAGGAGGGAGAGTCAGTACAGCAACAGCACCGACAAAGCTTTTCGTATATAAGGGGTTGCAGAGGGCAGCACCGTCGAATGAGCTTTTGTAGAAGGGGTCGTGGAGGCGTCCA